CCTGGAGGTCGTGTCTGTCTCTTTTTTTCCGCCCTCCCTCCTGCTTGCTGGTCCTGCGCCTCCTGTCCCTGTACTCCGTACCATTGTATCTCTCAGTTCCCGTCCGCTTCGCGCAGGAGACGCCAAGCAGGAGCCGACAGACCTGCCTGACGCTTGCAGTATGGATGTGCATCTGCGATCTCCACCCAGGCTGTCCTTTGCCTGTAATTTTTCCCTTCTTTACAGACCGTGACGGAGCAGTAACAGCCGAGGGCAGAGTGGTAGCATGTCGTTTCCGTGGGCCTTGGACACTGCGAGCCAACCAGCGCCGCCAGCCACTTACCACCATGTAACCGCGATGGATTGTGATGTAACGGACGTCATCGTATCCAGGCAAAACTCAAGCTCGCGGGCACGTCCAGCAGGCAGAGCAGAGCACCAGAGCCAAAAGAAAAAAAACCTGGAGCCCGGGGAAGTGGGGAGCGAGAGAGAGTCTGTCGCGCTGTGCAAGAGTATATATTTAAGATTAATGGGAGGCGGGAGAGGCGTTTCTTTTTGCTTTATAAAAGCCTCTTGGTCGTCCGGCCTTGCGCTATTTCTAGCTTGTCTTTGTTGTTGTTGCTGTTGTTGATGTTGTTGATGACCCGAGCGGGTGTAACTATTTAAAGCAGACCAGGTACGCCCGATAGTCGAACAGCTTGTAGCTCTTCATTGCACTGCTTTTCCCTCCATCTCCTCCTTTTCTCCAGGCAAGGCTGTTGAAGCTATAGTTTCGTGTCCTAGCGAAGCCTGCCTTTACAATAATGGCCGAACCCGAGCGTGGCAACGAGCCTGCCACCAACACGCAGCAGCCGACCTCGACGCAGGAGACAGCTGCACCACAGCCAGAGACGCAGCAGGTCTCGCCCCAGACTCAGACAGCTCATGTCGAGCCGAAGCTGAGCAATGGAAGCTCTGACATTGAAGACGAAGAGCGCGCAGAGAGAGATCGCATCGACCTCCAGCACAACATATCCGCAAAGTGCGTAGATACCATGCATATAATAAATATACTTACACCTCCAAGCTGGAACAACACCGAATTAAGAGAAGGCACATACTGATCAAGCTGTGGGAATACAGAGTGCAGAACCCGCTGGCCGGCATCCCCAAGAGACAGCTTCTCCGTGACGTGGACGAGTTTGCGACCAAGTACGGGATCGAAGATGCGCTGCCGCTGCTGCGAAAGGGCGCCCTCATAGCAAAGGATCCCGCCAACTTCGAGACCGTCGAGGGCCTGACCGACGACGAGCGAGACTCTATCCGCCGGGAGGTCACTCACAAGTGGCGCCAGCCATGGTCGATGTACTTTACCATCATCCTCTGCTCTATCGGAGCTGCTGTCCAGTGAGTAGTTAGACCGACCTAGCTGGCCCGGCCTTGTTCTATGTGCATGACGTCCTAACATTCCACGATAAAGAGGATGGGATCAGACTGGTTCCAACGGCGCCAACCTCTCATTCCCTAAAGCTCTAGGTATCGATGATTCTCCGGGAGCTCCCAATGCTGAGGTGAACTCCTGGCTTGTTGGTCTCGTCAACTCGTATGTTAACCGAAAACCTTAGCTACCTTAAATCGCTTGTGTAGCTGTTGTACCTGCATGCTAACATGATTTCTCAGTGGCCCATACATTGGCTCCGCTCTATTGTAAGCAGAAGACCGAACTCAGACGAAATACCCCGTTATTTTTTTTTTTTTTTTTTGGGCTGCTTGTTCCTCAAGTGCACTGTCTGACTGATTAAAAATAGTGGCTGCTGGCTTTCCGACCCCCTGAACCAGTATCTCGGTCGTCGAGGTACCATCTTCGTCTCCGCGGTATTCTGTGTCCTGACCCCCATCGGCTCTGCTGTAGCTCAAACATGGGAACAACTGCTCGCAACTCGTCTCCTCCTGGGTGTGGGAATGGGTACAAAGGCCTCCACTGTTCCCATCTTCTGTGCTGAAAATACGCCTGCTATAGTCCGCGGTGGCCTCGTCATGAGCTGGCAGCTGTACGTTCCCCTTTCGGCCCCTTCCCTATGTTTGCATCTGACTAACTTCTTTACTAGATGGACTGCGTTCGGTATCTTCCTCGGATTCACTGCTAACCTGGTTGTGAAGGATGTTGGAACAATCGCATGGCGCTTGCAAGTTGGCTCTGCTTTTATCCCAGCTGTCCCTCTCGTGGCAATGGTGTACCTCTGTCCCGAGTCGCCGCGTTGGTATATTAAGAAGGGCAAGATCTCCAAGGCTTTCCACTCTCTCAAGCGGTTAAGAAATCACCAGATTCAGGCTGCTAGAGACCTCTACCTGATCTACTCCCAGATCCAGATCGAGGCCGAGCTTGCTGGAGACAGCAACTACGTCACCCGTTTCTTCCAGCTATTCACCATTCCCCGAGTTCGACGTGCAACTCTGGCTTCCTTTGTCGTCATGATTGCTCAGCAGATGTGCGGAAGTACGTATCATGCATGCATACACACCTCTTTTCCTTATGTATGAATATTTGATATGCTGACATGTAGACGTTAACCAGTCAACATCATGGCCTTCTACTCGTCAACTATCTTCAAACAAGCCGGCGCCAGTGAGTCTGAGGCTCTCATTGCCTCATTCGGTTTCGGTCTTGTCAACTTCGTCTTTGCGTTCCCCGCCATTTGGACCATCGATACCTGGGGTCGACGAGCTTTGTTGATCTTCACCTTCCCACAGATGACATGGACTCTCCTGGCAGCCGGTTTCTGCTTCTACATTCCCGAGGAAAACAGGGCCCACCTCGGTCTCGTCGCCTTCTTCGTCTTCCTCTTCGCTGCCTTCTACTCTCCTGGCGAGGGGCCAGTGCCGTTCACATACTCTGCTGAAGTGTTCCCCTTGTCCCATCGTGGTAAGTTATACATGTCTTTCTCCATAGAATATAGAGCAATAATTACTAACCAAATTAATTAACCAGAGGTCGGTATGTCATGGGCTGTGGCAACCTGTCTTTTCTGGGCAGCAGTGCTCTCCGTCTCGTTCCCCCGTATTCTTCAAGCCATGACCCCAACTGGTGCCTTTGGCTTCTACGCGTAAGTCATTTCCTCTTCCCCATGTCCAAATGAAGAAAAAAAGAAAGAAAGAAAGAAGCCTAACTCGTTTGAAACAAAAACAGTGGCCTGAACGTCCTTGCCCTGATAATGATTTATCTCTGGGTTCCTGAAACAAAGCAACGTACCCTTGAGGAACTCGACTATATCTTTGCTGTCCCCACAACCACTCACATGCACTACCAAGTCTTCAAGGTCCTGCCTCACTTCTTCCGTCGACACATCCTCCGCCAGAAGCACGCTGAGCTCGAACCCTTGTACAAGTTCGATGAACTTCACCGAGACGATGACAGTGATGACGCCCGCCCTAGTGTCCAGGCTGACCATGGGGCGACAGCAGAGAAGATGTGAGAAGAGTTTCTTACTGCATCTTATCTCATTTTAGCACCATTTTCGTCACCTTGTCTTGTTTAGATAATACAGATAAAGGGTGTCATGTTTTACTAGTTAAGGATAATGCCTCTCTTTTTTGCCTGTTTTAATTCTGCTCTTGTTGCTGGCCACTGAAACAGCTTGGTCTCCTTTGCTTTCATGCTATCTCGCTGCCCAGTAGGTAGACTACTGGGCAGTATCTGGTTGGTATAAGTTACGGGTAGTAGCCAGTAGCAGCAGGTAGAAGCAGCTCTAATGATACGCCGGTGTCTCTCGTTATTTCTATCTATGCTATACTCCGCACTAGGTCACTCCTACTATTACTCGTGCCATTAACACAGCTACGTATTACTTTTTATTGCCGTCATCGCCATCCATCACAAGATAGATACCAATCCATAATAATCATCAGCTAGCATCAAATCCAATCGTCCAAAGTCAGTCAGCCCGCCCAAGTGTACATCACGTGGCCTCCTCTTCCTGCCAATCCAACTTTGTCCCTTTTTGGCTTTTCTTTTGTTGTGGTCAGAAATAACGACCATCGTCGCCAACTCCATCTTCAACTTCTGTCTCTCCCTCCTCTTCGTCTTCCTTCGCCTCGCCCTCGCTCATCCTGCCTCTCTGTCTCGATACCAGGCCGACGTCCCGTCCATCGACCCTCGTCTCTCCGTCTGCGCTAGCCCCGACACTCTACCGTACGAGGTCTTACTCCCCATTCTCCGCCCAACGCCATCTGCAGCTCTCGCCCCTCGATCAGGACGCAGCTCTAGAGGCACTGTGGGTTCCCGCTTTTTGTCCCGTATAACTCCCATCGGCGGTGGAGCTGTCTTTTCCACCAGATAGGCGGCCATCAGCAAACCAGTAGTCCAGAACAAAAGAACAAAAGCGAACGCGGACAACTCGCAGACCGGGGGGGAGGTGACCTGTAATTCGGTCTTCTGCACTTGCGCGCGCATACCCCCGAGCCATCCTGTCCCTTTTAATCCTCTGCGAAAGAACCGGTGGCGGTCATCGATCTTCTTCTTCGCCGGACCAAGGTCTCCTTGACCGCTCAGAGCTTTGGCCGTTGTTGGATCCTGTTTCCTTTCTGCTGCTCGTCCTTTTTGTTTTTTCTTTATTTACCTTCTTCTCTTTGGCCCTTCTCTACCTATCTTCCTGTCTCCTTGCCTTAACGACCACGGCCGCACATTTAGATGATTTGGATGTCTGGGTTTACCATAATACTGCAATAACTGGCTTTATTCTATTTAATATCCAGTGAGTTGGCTTGTTTAGTAAGGAGAGAAGTGGCCGCTATTTATCTTAATGGTCTCTGTCACTAACATTGACTGCCTTTAGCCACGACCCATTCCGCTCCTTTTTCTAATAACGTACACACATCCGACCAACTTATACGGCTTCTCTCTCGGCTTCTACTTCTCCCTCTCTCCCTTTCTATTTTTTTAGTTGCCTTCAGGCTCCTTGCGGTATCTTCTGTCGGCACCTGCATAACCAATCCCTGGCTGTTATCATCTAGGGTGGGAGGGACTTTTTTAGATTATATCAATCATGCCTTGTTTTAAGGGTCTTGCAGTCAGCATCCATACGCCTAATGGGCCACTTGCCGAATACTCAGTTCAGCGCCATTCCCGTGCCTCTCGAATTGCCTGCTACATCCCGGTACCGCCTCCGAAGCTTCCCAACTCGGCCACGGGGAAGCCAGAACAGTCGACATTCGCCATATCAATCACCCTCCTCACACCAGGTCTGACAGTCCCTTATTCCACGCCAAAAGCCACGCCAGATAACCCCTATCCGAGGCCCAAGATTGTGGGAGGCCTCCCGGACCAACCTACTGCTGTGTCCTCCATAGGCCCATATCAACCCATGACAGCCTCCCCGCGAGAAACAGTTGCGGCATATATCTATTTTGATGGCAGACAGAAAGAAGAAGTGGCCACCTTACTAAGAAGGGGTGAAGAGACTTGGGTCAATTCGAGGTGGGTAGGCGTTCCGCAGTCCGAAGGCGGTGGGCTTGCCGAACGAGAATTCTTGTTTCGTGAAGTCGGCCTAGAACGATGGCTTAATGGATTAGATCTCGAGGGCAAGGATGCTGCAGAGAAAATTGAACGAAGGCGTCAAAAAATGGAGAAAAGGAGGCGAAAACGAGAGCTTCAACAACGCAATGAAAACGCTGCTAATGCGGCTGCGGACGAAGGCATGGATCTGGATGACAAGAAGCCAAAGCTTCTGCGGGAGAAGGGTGTTCTTCGTTATGGAGCAAATGATCAGTCGCCCGTGGAGCAGCTATCTGACGATGCGGAATTGCTATCCACAGATTCGGACTTTGATGACGACCCTATCCCAGAAACGGCCGGTCAGATTAAAGTAGCCTTGTTCCGAGTCTTGGCTTCCGGCGAGATCAAGCGTGGGGAGTATTCTCCTCAATTTGATGCCCATGATGATGATGAGGATCTGCATGGTGGTCCTGGCGGTGGTCAAGAGTCGAATGGAAACGGCAGCACGGCAGATATAGACCATACCACTAGCTTTGCGAAGCCAAAGTCGCTAGACCCCAAGTCCATCAGTACTCAGACGGTCACCGGAATCGATCCGACCGATAAGCCCTATGCCGTCTTTACATTCATGTATAGGGGTGAACGTAAGTTGTTTCACCACTTTGCACTGTTTACCCTTCTTTTGATTTTGGAGTAGATGAATCACTCATGCTAACATCAACCCCTTTTTCCTGCCTTATGATTTGCTACAGGCCAATTGCAGAAAATGGGGATATTAAAGGATCCCAAGTCTCAAGACAAGGAGTCTCTTAAGTCAGCTCGTCGAAAGTCTACACAGCCTGATTTTGCGAATATCAAACCACTGAAGCCGGGTGGCACTACCGGCTTTGTCGGCTTTAGAGATCGTGAAAAGGAGCAGAAGACCGGTAAAAGAAAGGGCTCCAATGGAAATGAACTCGACAGTGACGACGATGAAGATGACGAAGGTGTTTCTGTTTCCATTGTTGGTAAGGCTGAGGATGAAGAGGAGAAAGAGGCCAACTCTCTCCTATCTCCCGATGATGCCAAGCGGCAGGGTGAGCTCGCAGAAGGTGTTCGGCAGATAAAGGTATGTGTATCATGGACACCATTATTACTTAACTTCACCATGGCATGATGGGACGCTAACATAGCATTGCAACTCCTTTTTAGCTCAAACGACAACACTCTGCCGAACCCTTGTCCGCGGCAGCCGGTCTCGCAGATCCCGCGAAGGCTTCAAAATCAAGCACTCCCGGATCAAGGCTTTCCCCGCCAGTAACAGCCAGGCACGACTCCACACCACCTCACAGTAGTCTGCCCAAGGAGACAAGTATGAATTTACTCGACAATGATGCCTATGTTGGTAGCCCGCTCAAAAAACAAAGGGCAAGCATATCGGCAACTGACGAGAATGTTCATCGTCAGGGGCAAGTGGCTGGCTTATCATCTAAGATTCACGAGATCATGGACACTTCTGCTACTGCTACCTCGGCAACAGCTGGTGAAACCCAAAGCAGCCAGAGTAGCATAACCAACCACAATACAAGCACCACCACTGCTAATAATGATAGTCTGTGTGGGAGCTTACTCTCGGAGGGTATAATGGAGTCTGATATAAAGTCACCCGGCTTAGAGGAGGAGTTGTAGCGAACGGGCCCTCCCTTTGATTAATGTTCCAGGGGTTCAACAAAAACAAAGAGAATTCATGCAGCTCCCTTTTACCGTTCCTTCTCACCTTACACTCCGTACTTACCTAACTACAGCTTCAATTTCTATTAATATTCTAACCATCTCTTGCATGACTGTCGAGAGAAACTAGTCTGATCGACAACCTCCCCCCCTTTTTTTTGATTCCTGTCCCATCAGACAGCAACGCGGAATCCACTGCGCCATCATTCTGACTCCAAATACACCGTGGGTAAATGGACAAACGGGGAAAAGAGCAAATTAAAATCTGTTGGCTTTCTTGCGATTTGGTGCTGTCCACTCTTCCTTTGGTCCCTATGCATGTATCTCTTTTGTGGTCTCTTGGCTCCCATCGGTCAGTTGCAGAGCAGGTGTTGGCATCCAGGATCATGATCCCAATTGCTCCGTACATCGCAAAGAAACAAGAGTTCTGCCTCCTATTCTTGAATCAGGAAGTTATAAATATATGGATCGTCGCTCCGTAATTCTGTCCATTTTTTTGTGTCTTTTCTTGAGCTCTTCAGGCATTTCTATTCAGAACTCCTGTACGGAGTACTTACTGTGTGTCTGCTGCAGCCAGGTTAACTCACGTCAGCCCTTATACTTCAACCAATTTTTTTGGGCTGGAGTCACAATGGCCGACTCCGTCTCTCCTCCCCTTTACGCCGTCCCTTACATAGTGGTAGACTAGCTGCCGCTGCCGCTGCTGGTAGTGGTGGCTGTCTGCTAGGGGACGGAGTACTCTGTGCATAACGTACACCTGTTGGTGGTGGCCTTTGTCTTCCCTTACGACCAGCAAGGGGTCCCACCATGTCTCTCAGGCATCTACTCTACGAAACTGACGACCTTGATAGGCTTTGACTCTCGGTTATATTATGTTCGGACTATAGGAACAGGGGAAGTGGAAACATCCCCTGCCAAACGCAAAAGCCCGCAAGAATCCCTGCCGAGAGCCACGCTTAGCAGAGCTGCGATATAGCTGTCCTTGCAGAGCGACGAACGACCACCAAGCGACGAGCGAACCACCCCCTCCATCAGCTCTTGCATCTGCATCGTCGATCAAGATAATCGGTCATGGAAATAATGATAACATTAGTAACAGTCATATTAATGGTGATTTTGGTCGATCTCGAGAAAGATTCCCTTTTCTTATTCGGCAGGACTTTTCACATCACATCTCCCTAGCCCACCCACCAGCAGCCGGTGGTCATCATGTTAGGAGGGAGTCATCTGGCTATTATTGGGCGGCAAGTTACCTCGAGAGCAAGCCACCAACGAAAGAGACGGAGAAGAAAAGACGATTTTTCTTTTCTTTTCTTTTTTTCCCAAATATTTCCCGTCGGCCTCCTTTTTCCCTTTTCTCCCCTTTTCTTCTTCCTACCAATCATCATCCAAGCGGCCAGAAAATTGCCCCAGAAGCCACCCAGCGCCCGCCCGCCAGCCAGAGTCAAGAAAGGCCGGACGAGCAAGCCGAAGCCCAGGTCGAAAGTCACATGTCTTTGCCGGAGCCGTGGTTCAGAGACTCGCATGCTTTTTTGCTAGAGAAAAAGCCTCGTACGTACTCCGTATATAATGGGAGCTTGACGTCGCTAGTGTCAGGGTGGCCAGTCTACCGTACTCCGTTCGTACCTCGAGACAGAAGGATAGGATAGAAATCACTGATGAATGCTTGAGCGGCAAAGGATTGACCGCAAAAGGGAAACGGAGGGAAGCAAAACGGCCAACTCTGCTGCTCTGCGAACTCCCCTCGCTTGTTGCGCGGCCAGGCTTGCATGGTTCGATATCAACTCATATCTCGATACTGGAGAGATGAGTCTAGAAAGGCCTTCGTGGGCTGCAGCGTTAAGTTATCAAAATATGCAACAAGCCCATCTCCGTACTAATCACTCGATCACAGCTAAAATACGCACGCTCGATTTCAGTACGAGAGGGGAAGCAGCACGCTAGTTAAGTAGGTAGGTGGCCAGCCAGGTGACGACAACCAACTGCTTGCTCCATCATGGCCGATATCAGTGTCTACCCCATCATCCTGCTTTTTACGTGCATACAACAGCCCGGCCTAGATACACTGACTTGCATACATATACTCCGTATGCTCTCAAATCTTTATGTCCCTCCTTGTACTCCGTACGCCGTCCTCCATAGTAGCAGACGTGGAGAACCCAGGCACCAGGTCGCCCCTACAACAGCCAATTAAGGAAGTCAGGGAAGACTCAGGTAGATGAACAAACCCTATTATTGAGGCTTCCACCATACCAGTCAGAGTCCACAGTCGAGTCTTTTCTTCTTTGCGATTAGTCCAGAAAAGCAGGGAGATCCACCGGCCCACCCCTTAGTGACACTAGGGTGCTTGCTCAAGGGTTCCTGAATCAGATGTTACCAAGGCCCGTTTTCGCCCTCCAGGTACGGAGTAGTTCATGCATAAGGCAGGCAGAGGTGGTGGCTGCCACGCATATATATATAACAAAAAAAAAAAAAGAAAAAGGGGAAGGCGAACAACGCAACAGTTACTCCGTACAGTAACAGCCCATTCCCCCGGGGTACGGGGCACGCTTTGTCCTATCCAAGTCCTGCCATAAAAATTGGCCAGGAGAAAACGCAGCAGCAGCAGGGAAGAAGGGGAACCAAAACATTAAGGAAAAAACAAAACCGTTGTCGATGAAGCACGCTACAAGCCCCGTCGCTTACGAGGTTGATCAAGGATCTGGCATGGACTCCATCCATGGATGGGGATATCAACGGGGTCATGTTGAACCTTGAATCGACCCAAGGAACGGCGATGCGTTTAATTTCCCAAGCGGCAAAGACATGGACGTTTGGTCTTCCCCCTTCTGACTGCGAGCTATGCCTATTTCCTACGTCCGTTTTACTTTTTTCGAGTTGAAATCGCCTCCGCTCGTATACCGACCTCGCTGCACGATCAGGCATTATTATATTTTGCTTCGGCCTATCTACCTCCAAACAGTCGGGATTCCACTCCAACCCAAGTAAGCGGGTCTCCAGGCGATCGATGCCGACTTATTTCTTATAAACATTACCATCTCTCGCTTTCTCGCTCTTGTCCCCTTTTTTTTACTTTAAGCCTCCTCGTTTGTACTCTTCGTTTCTCGATCGTGGTGTGGTTGCTCAAAATTCTATTTCTGGCACTAGAACTCAGAGCTCTGGGGGGGAAAGGCCATCGGCATTTTAGAGGGCATATATTTTATACATATATATATCCCAGGAGCCCACTCGCTTTCCAGAGACCGGAAAGAGTGGCCAGCTAGGATCTCAACAAGTCTGCCCAAGCCTTCAGCTCACTCCCTTGATTGCTCCTCTGGTTGCCCCTTGAGCTTTGAACCGTCACAATGAGAAATCCGCCTCCAGAGGTCATTAAAACATGGCCGAAGCCCAACTACGTCAACCCAGAGTACGCTGGGCCGGAGCTGGCCATTATAGGAGTGATCTTCACGACACTATCAATTATCGTCATGTCACTGCGGATGTACGTTCGCCTTCATTTGCGAAAAGCTGCATCATGGGATGATTGGCTTATGGTGGCTGCTATTGTATGTTCCTCTTCTTCTCTCAATCCATGTCCAGTAGCTGGACATTTGGCTAATATATCCACTATAGCCGTTTTTAATGGGCATCTCAGCATCAGCAATTGTCAGTACTAGATATGGATGGGGTAAGTTCTTTCCATTATAGTCAATCGGGTCATCGGTCTAGAAAAATCGCTGACGGCAAGTTTTATTTGGCAGGCTTTCACATCTGGGACTTCAAGTTCAGCGAGTTCAGGGAATCAAGAATAGTAGGATACCACCACTCGACTCCAGATTCTCCTTACCTTACACCTCGTCTGGTTTTTTGCAATACTCTGACCGTATTATAGACGAGTTACATATGTCAAGTCTTGTTCATTCCGCTCATGACCCTCGTGAAGCTATCTATTCTGGCCTCCTACCTTCGTTTCTTCACTGAAAAGATATACATCCGGCTAGCATGGCTACAGGTCGGCCTGGTTCTTGCCTGGTTTGTGGCTTTCATGGTTCTCATGCTCATTGCTTGCATGTAAGATTGCGTCCCCGTTTCATCTGATATCTCAAAAGAAACGGATCCTAATTCGCTTGATATCTAGCCCACTCTCAAACTACTGGAACTCCTTCTTGCAAAAAGGTTGCATGGAAGAAGAATATAGATTGCTTCCAGGCATTTACTCCAACGCTGTGATGGACGTTATGATACTTGTCACTCCTTGCCCTGCGCTTTGGAAGCTACATCTACCAGTTCGGGACAGAATTGTACTCATTGTGATGATGTGTTTGGGTTTCATGTATGGCTCTCAAATCTCTGATCCTTTACTTTTTTTTTTCTCTCTTGGTACACGACTGACCTGGTATTCTGTACAGTTCTTGTGTAGCAGGGTGCGTCAAGTCGTGGTATATGTACCGGACTCTTGTGGGAACATACGATGTTACCTGTAAGTGAAAGGATCTCAGCTCCCAGACCCTTTAAAAAAAGCCTGTTTTCGGAAGGCTGACTTGATATTCAATTTTAGGGGAAGGATACAATGTCTGGGTGTGGACCGACCTCGAAATCAACCTTGCTGTGATCTGCACATCTATACCCGTTCTTCGGCCGTTTGCACAAAAATATTTCCCCAACCTGGGCTTCAAGAGCAGTAGCGCGGGGTCACGATACGGCAACCGATGGGGCAGCAGCAACCCTTCCAACGGACTGGGCTCTGGGGGAATCTACAAGCAGCAGACCATCCACCAGTTCGTCAGATCCCGACAGACCGAGGACGAAGACGACGGAGGCTCGACCATTGCACTGAGCCCGGCGGAGTTCCCTTCAACAAAGACCTATCCAACCTCGCCTCGGTCCTACGACAGCAGAGCCAACGACGTGCGCAACCCGTCCCGGAGTGGCTTCCGCAACGAACCCGCTTATAATGACTATCAAAAGGATCGATATAACAACTACGTTTGATGCCCTGGGGGTTCATATCTTATATAAATTCTTTTCTTTGGTTTAATTTTCTGGGAGGTATCCTTTTAAACGGCTTTGGATATGTGTTTCCTTTCGGCGTTTTGTCGTTTACTTTTCTCCTTTGTCTCCTACTCTTCTACTGCCACTATCTTCAATCAGCTTTGGCCTTTTAAAAAAACCATACATACCCCTTGGAGGGAGGTCTATTTCTGATACCCAGCTTTTTCACCCGGCCTATATACTTTACTTTTACTTTCTTTTTCTTTGACTTTTTTCCTGGCTCTCTTCTTGCTGTATAATTTTTTTAAAGTATAGCTATATAGTTGGCTGGCCACGGAACGTTTTCTCCTTTGGCCACCCTAGAGCCGAAGACAAATACCTACCTACATACATACATACATACATACACTTTTTCTTCTCCGTCCGATCAAAACCTCAATCTTCTCTCCGCATTTCCAATAACCAAGCTTCTCTTGAACGTCCCCTTCCTTCTATTGCCTGACCCATGGCTCTTCAACGATCTAGTGATCCTCTAGTCTGGATCGACTGTGAGGTTTGACCCCCGTTCCACCCAGCTTCTTCGTATAAAAGTCTATCTGGCGCAAGTCAGCTAACCAATGAGGCCGGCAACACGCAGATGACGGGTCTCGATCCGGCAAATGACCACATACTGCAGGTATGCTGCTTCATCACAGACGCGCAGCTCAACCTGCTCGAACCTGAAGGCTTTGAGGCCGTCGTCCACCAGCCGCAGGACGTCCTCGACCGCATGAATGCCTGGTGCATCGACACCCACGGCCGCTCAGGCCTGACTGCCGCAGTGCTCTCGTCCTCCACGACGGCCGAGGAGGTAGCCTGCGACCTGCTGGCCTACATCAAGCAGTATGTGCCCACGCACCGCACCGCGCTGCTGGCCGGGAACAGCGTGCACGCCGACCGGGCTTTTCTCGCCAAACCGCCGTACGCACAGGTGCTGGACTGGCTGCACTACCGCATCCTGGACGTGAGCAGCGTGAAGGAGGCCGCTCGACGATGGGCCAGCGACGAGGTGCTGCGGGATGCGCCGGCGAAGAAGGGCGTCCATCTGGCGCGGGAGGACATCCTGGAGAGCATCGAGGAGATGAAGTACTACCGCCAGAAGCTGTTCCTCTCGTAGCTAGCCTCTCTCTCTCTCTCTCTGTCCACGTCTGCCGTCGATATTACTCGTGCATTAATTAATTATCATAGCTATTTGGGGTGGCGGGAAAAAGGAGGTTGAGGTTGCGGCCAGCAGAAACAACGTGATGCCCCGCGATGCCTGACGACGTCCAGGGTTTCGACTCGTTCTCTTTCTCTCTCTCTCTTTCTTCTTCTTCTTCTTCTTCTTCTCCTGCTTCAGCTTCTTTTCTACTGCTTCACCTTCGTCATCTGCCATTTTCTTCTCTTCTCTTCAGCTTCAGTGATCCTGGAGCATCGTAATTGGAGATAAACAGCGAGAACCGAAGCTCTGCCTAGCTAGCTACCAGCTATCATGGCCGTCAAGACCGTGGACATCACCCCCTTCCCTGACCAAAAGGCCGGCACGTAAGTACAGCGAGCTACGCAGAGCCAGGAAGCCCTTTATTTTGCCTGCTACATGCAGGGCGGGATTGGAGTGATTGCTAACGTCGAGCTATAGATCTGGTCTCCGGAAGAAGGTCACCACTTTCCAGCAGCAGCACTACACCGAGGCCTTCGTGGCCAGCATCCTGCTCTCGATCCCTGAGGGGGCCCAGGACGCATTCCTCGTTATCGGTGGTGACGGCAGATTCTACAACACCGAAGCCATCCAGCTCATTGCTCGCATTGGAGCTGCATACGGCGTCAAGAAGCTGTTGATCGGACAAAATGGCATCCTGAGCACCCCTGCAGCTAGCCATGTCATTCGTAAGAGACAGGCGACTGGGGGGATCCTGTTGACTGCAAGTCATAATCCTGGAGGTAACTAAAAACAAAACAATTGCGTGATTCTCGGATCGCTTTTCGTATCTAGACATTGAACTGACAGGGAGTGTCCCTCTCACCGCAACCAACAGGCCCGAACGCTGATTTTGGTATCAAATACAATCTCTCAAACGGAGCTCCCGCCCCGGAATCTGTGACAAACAAAATCTATGAAGTATCAAAGTCTTTGACCTCATACAAGATCGAAGACCTTTCGGAGGTTAAACTCTCGGAAATTGGCACCCAGCAGTATGGGTCCCTGGAGGTCGAAATCATTGACTCGACCGCTGATTACGTCGAGATGTTGAAGGACATTTTCGACTTCGGCTTGATCAAGTCTTTCTTGCAGAGCCGCCCGGATTTCAAGGTCTTGTTTGATGGCCTCCACGGTGTCACCGGACCATACGGAGTTGCCATCTTCCAGAAAGAACTTGGCCTGCCCGCTTCCAGCACCCAGAACTGCGTTCCAAGCCCCGATTTCAATGGTGGCCACCCAGATCCCAACCTGACCTACGCCAAATCGCTGGTGGATGCAGTCGACAAGGATGGTATTCAGTTCGGAGCGGCCAGCGACGGCGATGGTGACCGCAACATGATCTACGGTGCCAACGCGTTTGTTTCTCCAGGAGACAGTCTTGCCATCATCGCCCATCATGCTAAACTTATCCCGTACTTCCAGAAGCAAGGCGTCTACGGCCTGGCCCGATCCATGCCGACCTCCGGCGCTGTCGATCGAGTTGCCAAGGCACAGAATCTCCAATGCTACGAAGTTCCGACTGGTTGGAAGTTCTTCTGCGCTCTGTTTGACAATAAGAAGATGTCAATATGTGGAGAGGAGAGTTTCGGTACTGGCAGCAACCATATTAGAGAGAAGGATGGCCTCTGGGCCATCGTTGCCTGGCTCAACATCATTGCTGGCTACGCAAAGTCTCACCCTGACAAGCCATTGAGCATTGCTGCCATCCAGCAAGACTTCTGGAGCATCTATGGACGCACTTTCTTCACCAGATACGATTATGAAGATGTTGATAGCAACGGAGCAAAGAAGGTCATCGATGACCTGGCTGAACTTGTCAACCAGAAAGAAACCTTTGTTGGCTCCACTGTCTCCGGCCGAAAGGTCACTGGAGCAGGCAACTTCAGCTATACCGATCTGGATGGCAGTGTGAGCAAGAACCAGGGATTATTCGTCACCTTTGATGATGGCAGCCGCATCGTTGTCAGACTTTCTGGAACTGGCAGCAGTGGTGCTACCATCCGTCTCTACATTGAGCGCCACGAGAGTGACTCAAAGGCGATCCTTAAGGATGCTCAGGACTACCTAAAGGACAATGTCGCCCTCGCTGTTAAGCTTCTCAAGTTGAAGGAGTACATTGGCCGGGAGGAGCCCGATGTCAAGACCTAAGCAGATTCAATAATCTTGCTCTACTTTCCGCAAGGCATATACATACCTCTTGCAAAGTGAGGAGTAAAAAAAACTGGGGATTACTTTACGGACACGAAGCATTGCAGCATTTCCACTCGTTAATCCATTCGTTTTCATGATCTAATGACCTGTGATGAAACAGGAATAACCCGAAAAAAAAAGGCCACGAGAATGAACGTCAACACTAATTGCACAGTCTAATTAGCACATAGCCTAAATACTTAAATAAACAGAATAATATATATGTGCATTAATCATAGAACTGGAGTTTCTAGTTACGTACAAGAAAACATGGGAATCATCATCATCTACATAGTCAATTCGGCATTTGCGATGTCTTCCTCGTCCACCAGTCCTTCCAATTTACCACGAACCCTTCCCTTCGTGCTTCTTCGGCCGCAAAGACAACAGCATGGCTTCGAATCGCCTCTTCCAAGGTACATCCTAGAATCTCGACCTGAGCCTTCTTTACATCCCACCCCTTGTTTTCTACGGAGTCCACCGCCCTGACAAAGGCCCTTGTGAGCCCATAATCCCCACCCCCATGGGACTCTGCTTCTTCTGGGGGTGGTGGAGCTATGGAATGCTTCTTCGTCTCTCCCGTCCCGAAAGTGAAGATGCTGATCGTCTCACCATCATATGTTATTTCACCCAGGGTGCCAGATATCCGGCCACGGCGTACACACTGGGATTCGGTGGGAGCCACCATATGCAGCGTAGCGAGCTTGGAACCCCTGCTGCCAAGTGGTGATTGCGTGTTTGATTCTGATCCAATATCAAGGCCGTGTGGTATGGGGTCGTTCCCCCAGGACATGGTGACAAATTGGTCGTCGCATACGCTGTTATCAGACTCGTACACGCATCGCCCGTACCATGGGCGCGAAGCAATATCCTCATCACGCATAGTCTTGACGTCGTAGTCTTGCGCTAGGATGCCGAGGAGGTTTTTCTTTGCTGTTTCCATGCCATGTTTGGAGAGAACGTCTTCGATTTCCGGGTATACGTTATGCGCTGGGAAGCCTGTACTGCCTTTCGCCAGACACAGATCATTATATATCTTGACAGAGCTATATATGCAATCCCGTTCAATGGGGCAGGAAAGGCAGTTCGTGCTATCTCCAGCTGCAACGGGCTTGTTCGCCTTTGTAAATTGGGCAAGCATCCCCGTAGAGGCGATGGTTCGCGGTAGATGCTCGGGGTAATCCACTGGTGCCCCCGGCGGAGGTGAGCAGAGCAGCCACAGTATGAAGTCGATGTCATGACAGCATTTGGTCAATAAGCTGCCATCTCCAATGTCTGTCTCTCTCCTCCAATTCCCACGAACATAGCTATGAGCAAAGTGAGACCACCCCACTGGCTCTGTATGCTCCAGAGATATGATGTCTCCTATCACCCTGTCTGTAAGGAGGAGTTTGCGAAGCAGCTGGTTGTGTGGGCTGTATCGAAGTACATGGCCAATCGAGAATATCTTTGACGGCAACGGCGATGTTGGAGATGCATCTGTAATAGCCTTGGAGGCTAGAAGAATGTCCTTCAGAGACAGAGCCAGTGGCTTCTCGCACATTATATGTAGATTCAAGGGCGCGATGGCCTGAACTATCTCCAGGTGTGAGTCATCCAGAGTGCAGATGAAGACGCCGTCAACTCCAATATCAGTCGACGAAGATGAACCATCCAGCTTGCTGCGTCTGTTTTTCTCCCAGTCCAGCCAGCTCTTCCAGTCCTTGAATTCTTGTCCTGTAACCGGCTGCTTTTCCCCCCAGACGTACTTTCGTCCAAAGCGTTGGCGGGTCTCATTGTTAGGCTCGGCAACGGCGTAGATAACCCCGTCGGTGGCATTGGTTACGGCTTTTCCATAGGCAGTTCCTCGTTGCCCAGCGCCAATAACCAAGAATCGTAATGGCCCTGGTTGTCTCGCCATGGCTGGTGTAGTTGGTATCTTCAAGTGGGTGTTGCAGGTCGTTGGTTATGTCTGCTGGATGGCTAGATGGCCAGTGGGCAGGGAGGTAAACTACTCAGTTTTTATATGGCCAGTCAGATAGCTGTGCGGGGATCTATCATGCATGCAGTTGCTATCATCCTCTCGTTCATTTGCTCGTATTTTCTCCTCAATCCACCATGGCTTTGATAATGGGGGGGGGGCATATATGGATGACAGTGTTACACATACGAACGTTTGCTTATGAAAGGCGGCCAACTAACTAATCGGCTATTTTGATAGCTGCTGGAGCAAGCCTCTATGTAACTATTCTCCACACACTTAGGATACTCTTATTCCAAATCCTGTTTAACGATTCGCCAGTTAACTAAGGCGTGAGTAGCTAAATATAACAGCCGAATATCCCTGCGGCTTCTTAATATTCGAATGCGCTTAAAAACTTAACTATTTTGCAGTCAAGCTACCAAGTATGCTAGGAACCCATCAACAAAAAATGCGCCAACAATATCTGAAAGTAGTTACTCCATCAAATGCATGCAATGAAAGGAAGATATAGTGAACGACGAATCCACCGAAGGAGAAGAAGATGGAAACACATGCTCCCGGAAATGCAGACAATCAAATAGAAAAGAGCGCCAACAAATGCATCAGAAAATTGGAAGCAAACTAAACAAAGGAGCGTGATTAGGTATTATCCGATCCATCAATGGGAGTAAGTAATGAATAAAAAAGGAGATGAAATTTTTTGAACGCCGGTTGACATGCAACAAACTCGCAGGGTCTTGTTCAGAAAAGAAATATTAAGTGGTAGTAAGGAATGGATTCTCTCACTTATGCCATCGTTTCGCGGCAGCGATCTTTGCAGCTCTAGTTCTACTAGAGCCTCCGCCTTCGCGACGATGCCATGCATCGTGTGGCCAGACCCATCCTCGAATTCGCTTTGCCTCGCGCTTTTCCCGCTGCTGCGGCTCGGGAATCCAGCTATCCTTATCCTCTGGCAGGGTGCGTTGACGAGTTAAGGCTCCTGGGCCACCAACATTTAGATGCCATGATGGCTGAGTTGGTAGAGGCACGGACTTAGACAACATGAGCAGGTAATATAGTGCCATAGTAGCAGAGAAAGGGCCAGAGAATCCTGTAGGAAAAGGAGAGGTCCCTCGGGATGAGGTAGAATAGTCGGATGACTGAGCCGAAGAGGCAGAAGTAGAGCGAGACAACCCGATGCTAGATAGTGATGGGTTATAGGGTGACTTTGTTGCGATTGGAGTGGCCAGTTCGAGGAAGCCAAAATATGGCACATCGTCGCCTTCGTCACAACCAGCACGCACGCAGACAAGTTCAATCTCAGTCATGATGAATCCATAGCGGCAGGAGTGTTCCCTCATGCAGCGTTGCAAATGAGAGAGGCCATTGAGATACTCAACACGTCGATGAGGTGCTTCATTTCGCATTCCAGTGTTCCATCTGTTGAATGTCTTGACTAAGCCGACAATGCGGCCACGGGGGAGGCCAGACGGAGTCTGCTCTGTATCACTAGCATAGTTTGCGATGAAATGCGGGTCGTTATCCCTGTTTGCTGGATTTATTGGAGCAGGGTATAAGGACAGACAATCGCGTCCTTGGGATATGCGAAGAGCGGCATTTACTCGCGGGGCATAGACATCGCGGATCAAATCAGTCAATGAGAATTCTGAGTCTGGATAGAGCCGAGATGGCGCAACAGTGCTAAGCGGGAGGCAATCCTGGGAAACCCCTGTCGTAAGAAGCTGGGGGAAGCGAGGAATAGCACTCATAGCTTCAAGGGAAAAGGACGACCATTGTCGTATATTCCTGACGTCCCACCAAAAATGTGCTGGGTTCACTCGATTTGAAGGGTAGGCCATAGTTTCGACGAGGTTGATGGCCTGCATGGGTGCATTGAGGTACTCCAGCAAAGTCGTAGATGCAGATGACGACGATGAAGAGTAATCCATTGGTGGTGCAAGGGATGGCGGAATGACATTAAGAGAGGGAGGGAAAGAAGGGTCAACAGTCGAAACCCCCAGCGCTCTTGCTGTGGTATCAGAAAAGCCACAATGATTTTGTGTAGATGCAACCTCCGAGGTGGGAGCATAAGCTTCTGCACCGGCCGAGTAGGCAGAGGTTGGATAGGCGGGAGATGGGTATGTACCTGGGTAAGCAGGAGTAGAATAGTTGGACGTTGGATAACTAACGTGTGGATCACCTGCTGTAGCTGTGTAAGGGGTGGTAGGGTATGTGGGTGTTGGATATGTGAAAGATGTTGCAGAAGCAGGGGTGGTTGGGCTATATTGAGAAAGGTACTTGGGGATTTGGCGGTAAGTAGGGTAACCATAACGACTTAGTGTGGCATCATCGATGCTAGAAACAGACGGGTTCCGTGAATGAGAAGCTCTTCGTCTGGAGCTCGAGGGAGGGACTGCAGAGAGGGGAGACATAGCACTACCCCCAGGGTAGCCATATGATGCAGGTGTGGCACAAACTGGGGAGACCAGCGAGCAGTCAATAGGCTCAACTGCCCTTCGGGAAATAGAAGGGCGTGAAGCAGGATAAGGGGCAAACCCCGGGGGATTCTGCGTAGTCGAAAGGGCTTTCCGACTTCGTTGCGGGCCATAGTGTGATTGAGGCTCGACAACAATATCCTGGGGTCTGATTTTGGGCAAAAGTAGAGGGCCCGGTGCTCGTCTACCTGGAGACCTGCTAGAAGTAGATACACTAGTCGAGCGAGATGCGGGTGAAGAGTCATCGGTATATGCAGAAGAACAAGCGTATTCAGAGGAGCCTGACGTTGTCCGACTATGAGCAGAGCCAAGTAGCTCAGCATCAGACATAAGAGCCCGAGGTGGCGTCGACGGCTTAAAGTAGTAGAGTTCTGACGCCATTTTCGAAGTTGTATCTAGGGGGTGTTAGAATTAGGTTGCCATAATTAATATTCTGAGGTTCATCAACGTACCAATCTAAGGAATTGGAATGGGTATAGTAAAACCAATATGACGGGGAAAAAGGGAGGGTAAAGCTTTTGTGACAATCCGAGATGCTAATGCTTGAATGGAGATACAAGTGAAATGATGAGAAAGGGAAGGCCAGCTTCCAATAGTATGCACCGTATTCAGTAGGTATACAAAGAAAACGTGTAGTTAACCAGGGTATCTGGAGGGACAGAACATGGGAACCATACAATAGGAAATGCAAGGGAAATAGAGAAACAAGAAAAGGAAAAGAAAATTAAAGGAGAAGTTGAGCCTGGGGAATGAAAAATTGAACAAGCCAGAGAGAATTCTGGATGGGCATTGTGGACATTAAATCTTCAACAAGTCCAACAGGGACTGGCAGGAGTTGCAGGGCCATAACCATACGAAGCTCAAGAACATAAAGATATCTGAAACATGCAATGAATCATATCGAGGAATAAAAAGAAAAGCGGGAAAGGAGAGACGCGCCCATTGGCATAAAATTCCGTCTATTCAGAAGGCTAAAAATGTATCCTCAACCCTCGACCGAGCCGCCTGTCTGGAGCGTAAAGGCGGGTCCTAGGTGCCGGGCCTTAGGTTGCAGGAAGCGCCAAACTGAAAGAAAGGGGAAAAAAAGAAAGAAAGAGAAGGGCATATCTGATACAGATCACTAGGCGAGACGGGGTGGGATAAGGGGTATGGGGTTTAGCCCGAGTCTCCTTTTGCGTCGGTGGGAGCCAGTAGTAACTCAGTAAGTTACTTCTTCCCCATGCTCATGCCCTTACCGATATCATCGATCATCACACATAAGGTAATGCTCCGGCAGAGACTCTCCGTGAATAACAACCTATATTTGGACATTCATTACGCAGCTGCTATTTCTAGCCAGGGCTAGTAGGCGCTATGCATGGCTGTTTCAGAGAGGAAGAATGTCACATTTAGACGTTGTTGGCGCCAAAGAGAGCTCCATCGCATGAAATAATATTGCCGCTTCGCGGACAAAGATAGATATTTCTCCGCCGGCCGGGGAGGAAGCCCCAGCAAGGGTAGTCGGAAAGTGGGATATCGTGCCAGGGGAATGGGAAAGATGCGACTGTTTCAGGGTCCTGTAGCGGTTCTTGAATGCAAAGGCACTAGTTGGCGCCCATGAGCAAGTCGGCCGCCCGTCCCATAAATATAAACAAATATACATATGGACGAGGTTGTCGTGATGGGGACGTGCAGCAGTTACGCGCCGACGTGGGCGCGTCTGGGCGGGACAAGGGTGTTAAAGCCTCCTATTGGCTTATGCTGTGACCTGACTAATGGCCACTAAACTGTATTTGGAAGGCAGGCGCTAACTGATGACCCACTATTGTCTAAATGAGGAAAGTACGGTTCACACGTGACTAGAGCCCCAGTGCACGTACCATCATATCGGTCACATGACTCCTTCTCTCGGCGACGTCAAAAGTGGAAACAACCAACAACCTGTACAATAAAAACCGGAGTAACATTTTCCTACCGGGGGGGTTAAATGAGAGACGGGAGGCATCAAAGAGGGACCATGCAGCTTTGACGGCGCGAAGGGAGACAGAAGAAGAACGCTCGAGCCAGAAAAAGTACCTCGGAAAAGTCACCCCCTTGCCGATCCACAGTTCCAGCTCCTGGCGTTAACGAGCTTTCTTACCCGTCTGACTGGCTGTCAGCTTAGGCTGCATGCCTAAAATGTGTTTCATATTTTGTGTTACAGTCGGTATCATCGCCTGTAAGTGACCGTCTTTCGGCCTGAAGAAGTAATCCACCAATCCAAACGAAGCCAATTCAACGCGATGTGTCGCCTTTGCCGCCCAATGGGCGCGTAGGGAGGACGAACGGGCTTAACTTCACCCCGTCCCCGCGTCATACAGAGTACAGCGACTGAAACTACTGCGTGGGCTTGTATAGTTCCAAGGAACACAGAATACATCGTAGCGAGAATATCCTAACAAGTTAGGACGATTGAAAAAACCCCATGTATTAAAATTAAGCATGTGTCTATGCTATGTTCCAAAAGGTGAAAGAAGAATAGTAAGCGTGAATGGGTAAGCGTGGTTGGTCTTGGTAATCATGGTAAAAAAAAAGACCGTGTCCCTCATTTCTCCATCACTGTTGAGCCCCCCCAAGTTCCCCGTTCATGTGGCATCACTCGATTGCTCATGCAAATAAGGAAAAGAAAAGCATACCCCGTTCGTGTGCAAGGTTTATAATCCCCCTTCTAAGAAAGAGAAAGTAGAAAAAGGAAGAGGCAGATGTGAGTTTTGAATTTCATCTCCTGAAGATGGAGATGCGGTTGCACCCTGTTGAAAAAGCCTTTTTTTGAATTATGCTGAATGGACCCTTCCGCCACCTCTTATTTTTAATTAAAAATGTTTATTTATGCCTTGACGGCATACTCTCTTCGGAACATGTCATCGACCTTGGTTAGGTAGTAAGTTCCAGGGGTGATGTTGTCGACGTTGCCAACAGGAGTGAAGTTCTTCTGCAAGTGAGCCTTTTCACGAAGGAGGCACATCTGTAATTATTTGAAAGAAAATGAGGTTAGTTCAGTTTGTAATCATTTCCAACATGAATGTATGAACTTACATCATCGTAAACCTGGGGATCGACCACACGTCTGGCATCGAGTCGCTTTTGCAGATCCAACTGCTTGACAATATTTGAGACATCACCGACAACCTTGATGCTGAACATGGAGCTAGCCAGGCCGCTTCCATAACTGAAGATGCCAACACGCTTGGGCTGGGCAGGGTCGAAAGGAACTTTGCTGAGTAAGCTGACGAGTCCTCCGTAGACACTTGCGCAGTACATGTTTCCGCACTGAGTGGCTACTTCGATAGATGGAGCGATACGCTCGTTGAATCGCTTCTTGGACAGGCCCATGAAGGTCTTTTCGACTGTCTTGTCGGTGACAGACTTCTCATAGTCGAGGTTGCGGACTTCAGGGGCAACTTCAGCGAAGGCCGGGTGCTCTGGGTTGTCAAGGTAGTCGTTGTAGAGGAGTCGTCCGTACGACTTAGCTACGAGCTTGCAGGTGGGAGCGTGGAAGAGAATATGATCAAATCGGTCAAGAGGGGTCTTAGACTCGTCTACAATACCGTTTGAGTCACCGTTTTGGCCCTTAAGGACTTTCTCTCTGGCGTTGTACGCCTTGTAGCAGGCATCCACGGCTTCGGTGTAGCATCTTATGGAGTAGTGACCGTCAACATAGGGGTATTCGCTGGTAAGGTCAGGCTTGTAGAAGTCGTAGGCATGGGTGATGTAGGTGCCCCTGAGACCGGGCTCAAAGACAATGGGAGCATCGGGTCCGACGAGCATGGCAACACAGCCAGCTCCACCGGTGGGACGAGCATTACCCTTCTTGTAGAGAGCAATGTCACCAGCAACAACGATGGCGTCTCTGCCATCCCAGCCAGAGGACTCTACCCAGTTGATGCTGTTGAGAAGAGCATTGGTTCCGCCGTAGCAGGCGTTGACGGTGTCGACACCCTCGATGTTGGTGTTGCCAGAGGGAGCAAAGAGCTGCATCAGCACGGACTTGACGGACTTGGACTTGTCCAGCATGGTCTCTGTGCCGACCTCGAGGCGTCCAATCGACTTGGGGTCGATGGAGTATTTGCGGAGGAGTGAAGACACAGTGGTCAAGCATATGGAGTAGATGTCTAGGATCTGTTAGCAGAAGCCCCACGACATAATACATAATACTAATACAAGAAACGGAGACCAGCAGTTTATCTCACCTTCTCTGTCATCACAGAAGCTCATCTTGGTCTGGCCGAGACCAATGGTATATTTGCCTTGACTGACTCCATCGAACTTCTCGAGCTCGGCTTGGTCGACGCACTATCGGAGGCATTTAGCAAGGATTTAGCAATGACCCTCCTTTACTGTGCCAACAAGGACACTGGAACGAGGTCTCACCTGGCTGGGGAAGTAGATCTCAAGGGCTTTGATGCCGATATTTTGAGGTCGGGAAGACATGGTTACGGTGGGTTTTTTTTCCTTCTCTCTCCGTTCTGTACGACGAGCTTCGGTGTATATTTCTGAGAACAAAGACTGTCAGCGAGGGACACAAGTACTGCAGGACAGAAGAGTGTGGGATGAAGACGAACAAGGCCGAGCAAGCAGAGCAGCAAGCGACAAGAGTGTAGGTGGCTGTTCAATTCTTCGTCTTCGTGCAGTGGGGGAGCAAAAGGGGAGCGGTGAACAGGGGGAGCAGTAGTGGACGCAGGCGTATGTAGCAGACAGAGTGGGTGAGGTGATAGCAGGGGAACCAACTAGTGGGGGGACCAGCAGCTTACGGCGGGTTTATATAGACAATGCAATTGAGACGGCGACTTTTTGGAGCTGGGGATGAGGTTTCTCCTTTTATTCCCCCCTTTCGTCTCGTCTCTTCTTTCTTCTCTCTTCTTCTCTTCTCCCACTCTTTATCTTTTTTTATTCTCAACCAAGCTAGCTAGTCGACTTTCAACCGCCTAAAAAATGGTTTTTCCTTTTTTTTTTTTTGCACAAAAAAAAGATTAAATTTTGATGACTAAGCGATATCGATGGGTGGTCAGATCATAGGGACTAGGCCCGTTTAGGACTAGCGGCTCAACAGGGAACAAAGCAAGACGTGGCAGCCGAAGAGCGAAAAGCGAGGCCGACGTCGAGGAAGCCGAGTTGTTCATGCATGCGGAGGGCAGACAAACATGCAGAGCGACGAGCGTGGTTGGTATCTTCAGGCTTATGCAGAGTCGTGCTGTTACTTGTGTGCTGTCTTGCAACTCCGACGCTCAGCCACAGAAGTGGCTTATCGATAAGAGCGCCAACTAAGTTTTGTTAGCTTACTATCAGCTTAGTCATCCGATTGGTTAATTAGCTAGTCATTCCAGGCATCAGCGTTTGTCGGAGCATGCGAAGAGAACGGACAGGACGGTTCTTCAGCGTTGTGTATAAGGTTAGCCGGATATTGCTGGTTAGCTAGTTGTTTGATTGGAAGTGTGGGCAGTATCCACGCGGCCGAAGGCTGCTCGAGGAGTCCGTGATAAGGCTCTGGCGGATTACGCAACTATGTGAAAAGTCAAGCAAAGGGCTGATAAAGTACACCGTACGAGGTTAAAGACATGTGTCCCCTGCTCCTCTGCTCAGCAAGGAGTATGTTACACTGCTTGCTTCTACAAGTTATAAAAAGATCCCAATAATAATAAAATATATTGAACACGAACAGGCACAGGGCCGAGACCGAGGCACGTGACATGGCTGTGCATCGGGGCTGACCTCGTAAGGGGAACAGAAACATCGCGAGCAACTTCAACTTTGCCAAACGTGATAACGACTGGCGGGTTCTCGGGAAAGGAAAAGAAGGAGATCCAGTCAGCTTACACTCTTTTGATACACTCCCCCTCGGCTGGTAGAACATGACCAGGGACCCCTCGACGGTTGAACGGTGACCGTCCCCCTGATTTCGCGCGACACAGCGTCGTCGTCTGCCTCGCCCTCCGCAATATTTGAAAGGTGAGGATAAACGGTCCCCTCTGCGGCGATGGGCGACCAAAAGGTCCCCTATGAACACCTCCCGATCCCTACCTATGAAGAAGCAACCTCCTCTCGCCCGTCATCCTCGCAATCCCGGCTCGGACCTCGAGAAGTAAGCGACGATGCCGAAAGGCAGGGCCTCCTACACAACCATGACACGGCCGGAGAGCGCAGCCAGCGGCCATTTTTGCGGGGATACAGACCTCCCACAGTCGAATCGGCACGGTCAAGCCTTGACTTTCTCTCAGAAAATGGGAGTTCTGCTCGTGGGTCGACGGAGCAGTTGCGGAGAGAACTAGAGGAGATGGAAGTCGAGGATCCTCCACAGGCTTCGTCATCGTCGTCGTCTTCCTCCTTTGCTAAACGATTCACAAGCTTCAAACGGACCCTATCGTCAATAAACCTGCCGTTACGAAAATATTTCCCTACTTTCACTCTACCATCCTTCAACTTTCGCTTTAATATATGTGCGGGCATAGAGCATCAGCAGAGATGCATTATCCTACTGAGGGTCTTTGCCGTTTGTCTAGTCGCTTCTCTTGTTTACCTACTCTTCGTCTCAAACTTCTTTTCGTTCAGCAACAGGATCAACCAAGGCCAGATATACCAACCCGAGTCTGTCCGTGTGTTCCTGGAGAACCACATTAATGAAACAGCCATAGGACAGAATCTCGAACGGGCTACAAATTTCCCTCATATTGCGGGCACAGAAGGGAACTACGCCTTGGCTAAATGGGTAGAGGAAAACTTCAAGTCATATGGGCTGGAAAGTGTCGAGTTGGAGCAGTTTGATGTCTATCTCAACTACCCTAAGAAAGGTGGGAGGAAGGTAGCCATAGTTGACCCTCCTGAGGCGCGATGGGAGGCGCAAGTTGAGGAAGACCAGGTGTACACTGATCCGCCACGGGAGCAGACAATGGTGTTCCACGGACTCTCCAAATCAGGCAACGTAACAGGACCGCTTGTATATGCAAATTATGGATCCAAGCAGGAATTTCAAAAGCTTACTGATATGGGTGTGAGTGTCAAGGGGTCAATAATCTTGATCCGACATTACGGGACACAGCCAGACGTGGCTCTAAAGGTCAAGGCTGCGGAACTGGCTGGTGCGGCTGGTTGTATTATATATTCTGACCCAGCTGAAGACGGATTCCGGAAAGGGGATCCTTGGCCAAAGGGAAGGTTCATGCCCAAGGATGGGGTCCAGAGAGGTGCAGTTAACCGCGTTGCTATGGCGGCTGGTGACGTCCTCAGTCCTGGGTTCTCTTCCCGGACAGATGAAAAGAAGCGATTAAAGGTTGACGAAGCTAAGGGGCTTCCCCAGATCCCAAGCATCCCTCTCTCCTGGAAGGATGCTCAACACCTTTTGATGGCTCTCAAGGGTCATGGTAAGAAGGTACCCAAGGACTGGGTTGGTGGTGTTCCAGATATCAACGAATGGTGGACTGGAAACGAAGATTCACCTAAGGTCAACTTGATGAATTTGCAGGATGAGGTTGAGCGGCAGCCCATCTACAATGTTATTGGGCGAATAGTTGGCGTCGAGCAGTCCAAAAACAGCATCATACTGGGTAACCATCGTGACTCCTGGTGCTTCGGGGCGGTAGAACCTGGCAGCGGAACTGCGGTTCTACTAGAGATTGCCCGTGTTTTTGGTGAGCTCAAGGCTCGTGGATGGAGACCACTGCGGACCATTGAGTTCGTCAGCTGGGATGCAGGCGAGTATGGGATGATTGGATCCACTGAGCACGTTGAAGATAGAACAGAGCTTCTAAGGGCTAATGCATTTGCCTATCTCAATGTGGATGTTGCTGTCTCTGGAGATAAATTCTCCGCCAGAGGCTCACCCCTATTTGAGCCTATTCTGCTCCACATCTTGAATCGGGTACCAGATCCCAGGAGAAGAGCAACTATTCGGCAACTTTGGGACAAGGCTGGGTCTAAACTTGAAGGACCCAACGCGGAAGGTGATTCTCTCCCGTTCCAGACAATTTCCGGTACTTCTAGCATCAGTCTGGAATTTAAAGGAGACCGTTACCCTGCCCACAGTTGTTACAGCAATTTCGACTGGATTCATAAAACGGGCGACCCTGGTTTCTTATACCATCGTGCTATGGGCCAGATCTGGGGCCTGCTCGCTCTGGAGCTATGCAGCCGACCCGTCCTCCCATTTGACATACATCCCTTTGCTAAAGCTCTTGCTCAGTATGTCTTGGATTTGCATAAATACGCCAAAAAGATATCTGTGCCTCTGAAATCTCTCAAGAACCGAGATAAAAATGATAACAATAAATCAGACGACGGCGTTGTTGACCTGGAACCTCTATATGACGCAGCCAACTCCCTTAATGCCGAAGTTGCCAAGTTCCATCGATGGGAAGGGAATTGGAATGCCACTATATATGACCAGAACGGATTTGAAGACGATGTCTCGGCTCTCAGACGCATGACTCACAATACTCACATGGCCTATTTTGAAACAAACCTTCTAGACCTAGAACAAGGCGGAGGAGTAAGCTTTCTTTCCTACTGCCTTTTCAAAATCCCCTCTTCTAACTTGATATCACAGGTCCCTAACCGCACTCAATATAAACATATGATATTCTCCCCTCAACTATGGCCTGAGAACCCCGAGGACTCGACTTACTTCCCTGCCATTAGGGATGCCATGGATTCAAGAGACTGGACCCAAACCCAGGTATGGATTGATAAAGTCTCAAAGATCATCACCAACGCAGCTGTCAGATTAAACCAATAATCTTCTATCCCTTTCCCTCTCTTTATTATCTTTCCCCTTTCTGTCAGTATATATTTCATCAATGAACGAAACAATCATCTTCCAGAGTCATTGCTAGGACGATTCACCGGAGCAGCTCAATGCATGGCCCTTTTACTTGTCCTTTTTCAGTTTCCTTTTCCCACTTATACCTCGATCACGGCGTTTGTTATACTATACAGCATTTGGCATCATGCTCGGTTTATCTCCTTTTTTCGTCCTACCTGTCTTCAACATTTCTTCTTTTCTTCTCTTCTCCTGAAATCCTCGTATTATTATGACATTCAAGTTGTTTTCTTATCCCTCTTTTCCCTCGTCTAGCGTGTACTTCATGATGCTATCGAGTACACGTCCTTCCTCTCGTCTTCAAATACCATTTTTTATACTAATTACTAGCGAAACCGCCTGTTATCCTCCTTTACTATGCGAGATATCTCTGTCCTTACAGCGTTTCTTTCCTTGTTGAAACTTGGTTGATGAAACTGTCTGTTCAAATTTTGGAACACACATAAAATTACCTACATACCAGAGCTGTATATAATTTCCTTATAAAGCCCTTCAAGTTGTTGAAAATATATCTCCAGCTGAAACACTTAGTATTACAGTAGGCTTTGACACAACCAGTTTACGGAATCGAATCCATTGGTTCTATCTATGGTTATTAGTCGAAATACACAAGCCATTCTATCTGGCGAAAGAAATCTCCAATCCTCCATCAGAGTTATAACCAGCTTCTTTTCAGGGGAAAGGAAGAGAAATATATGTATGACCCCCAAGGAAACACAAAATACAGAACAAACAAGCGAAGGCGAGAGAGAAATTGGTTTACAATCTGCCGCAAAAGGTAGAAAAACGCAAAAAGGAGAGTACGCAGTAGAGCGAGCGAAAAGGAGAATGGTAACAACCATAAAAGGGATCAAAAGAACGAGGCTATTGATTTCAGGCCGTGGGAACGTGATTATTGCTAGAATAAAAAAAGAGAGAAAGGAACTATAAAGATCAAGTGGACTATCCAAGACAACCGCAGATGCAAGCCATTGCGTGAAGCTGGTGTAGCCCTAGGAAACTGGATGACACTCCCCATTGCATTTTTCAGCTAATAGGAAGTTTGCTCATGTCACCCTTTCCATCCTTAATCCAAGCAGGATCAATCAATCTCTCTCGTTCAGCGTAAAGCTGTTTATAAGCGCCGCGGATAGTACCGTCACTAACATGGGCAACACCGGAAATCTCCTTGGCCGACTTCCCATGGCCCATTAAGAAGGAAGCCATGTATATGGAAGCAGCGACAATGGAAAGTGGTGAGCGGCCAGCGAGATCGCCCATGGAAGTGACTCTGTCCGCGAGTAGGGACGAAACGTTCGTAACCTGGAAGGGGAGGTCAAGAAGATTGCAGAATCGGTTGCAGAGATCACTTGGCTTAGTAGATGTAGTTCCAGTGTATGCGTCGTTGGGGTCAGGAACGCCTGGTTGTAGTATGTTAGTACATGGCGTCATATTAAATGCCACACAGTGTCAGCTTCATACCTCCACTTGAGACCACAGAGTTGATGCGCTCAAGGTTCTGAGCTGTGAAGAACTTCTCCAGAGCCTTGTAAATCCTGCCGATTTCCTTCTTTGAAACTCTTGTGACAGCGAATATTTCAGTAAATGTCCGCGGAACCTTGCACTGCCGACAGGCAATGAAGATGCAACCGGCTATAATAACATCTTGGGATTTCCCCTTGAATGCTTTCGCATCATCAACGATTTTGAACAGGTATTTTGCCGTATCTGCAACGTTCTTTTGAATGTTAAACCCATCACACAAGGAGCCTATCTCCTTATAGGCAGCAAGCAAGGCCTTGTTTGTTTTCTCTGTGGACATCTTGCTTTGGGCACGATGAAGCTCTCTGCTGCGAGCTCCACCCGTACCAAACGAAATCTGCGTCTCGAGCTGGTTGCCGTTAAGCAGAGGGTTAGAAGCGTCACCGACACGAGAAGGGTCATCATTATTCTGATCATCATTTGAGAAAGTACGCCACTCTGAGTGAGGGTCAATTTCCCTATCAGCCAAGACGAGGCCACAGGAGCCGCATATGGTTTCGTGGCTCTCGGGGACTAGATTAGGAGGATTCTCCTTACACTCCGGGCATATAAGCCGCGCAGCTAGGTTCTCCTTCCACGGCATCTGAGCGGCCTCCCCCCGAAGACCAGTTCCTACAGCCGCCATTTTAGCTTTATGAACCTTCCCTTTTTGAGGCCTCAGGCGACTAGAATGACGACGCCTTATCTTATTGTAGCTAACGGTAAGGTTATGCTGAGACGCGCACACACGGATGAAGAGCGGCGAATACAGTTTGGCGGTTGGTACCGAACAGGAGAAAACGAGAAGAGCTGGAGGGAGATGCGAAAAGAGGATCACTGGGCCCTTGTCGGCACGCTTTTCTTCTCCAGTTCAAGAGGATATGCGAACAACCACTGCCTCTTTTAACACCATGTTAGTTCCAAAATAATATAGCGAAAAAAAAAGAGGAGCAGAGAGGGAGAGAAAGAGGGTCAAGCGGATGATGATGGCGTATTTTATATTTGTAAAATCTTTATTCTTTTTTTAACCTTATCGAGGGCCTTGCGGAAGATAATGGAGGAGAGTGGCAGCTTCTTCAAGGCCTAAACTGGTTGTTTTATTCCATTTTTTTCAATATCATGCTGGTGTGCTTTTGTATTTGTTTGCGCGAGATGCCCTTGAAAGACAGCAAAATCATCTCAGCTTTACCTTTCTAGAGAGAAAACCCTTGACTTTGGCGGACAAGAGCGCCAGAACCCCCTAGACGACGCCGCAAGATGCCCTGGCCGGGCAGGCTGAAGGAAATCGAACTTCTGCTAGGCTTCCACGGAGAGTGGCAAGGCCGGTCGACACTTTAAGAGAGGAGAGAAGCGCAGCCGTTTGAGCGTGTGAGGTGAGATGAAGTGAGTTGGTGCTCGTCCCGACGGCTGTGCCTGAGTGCGTCTCCTATGTTAGCGGTCTCCAGTCTGTGCTGCGGCGGAAAGGCTGGGGTTGTCTGTCGAAAGAGGGAGGCCGAAGGTCGAAAATCGAGGATCGAAGTTGATATCAGCAAAAGAGTGAACGAGGCTTTGCCTCTTCCGGTGACTTGATGCTTAAGTAAGCATTTGCTGACTCATCAAACACCTACTTTCAACCTCAGAAGAAAAGAAGAACGAAAGACGAAAGGACGAAGAGATATCAAAACCACCGAACAAACTCAGCTCCCGAAGCAGCCAGCCTGTCGACAGCCAGTCAAGCCCATACCTCCGTCGCGATGATGTCTCAGTCCTTCAGATCCTCGGTAGAGAGAACCCCCAATTCCCGCGCCCTCGCCTGCTATCCCGAAACTGGCCACCAATGCTAACCGGTCAACCACCAGGTCTCTTTTCTGAGCCGAGCAGTCCGCCAACAGAGCCCGATTGTTCGTCGAAGCTTTGCTACTACTCCTATCAGACGTGGTTAGTTATGAGACCTTGGGCGAGCGTACACTCTCGTCAATTGATGAATAATCATGCCGAATTTGGAGCAAATGAATGACTTACTTACCCGTCCAACTTTTTTCCCTAATCCAGCCGACCCCGTCCAGGACCTGTATATCCGTGAACTCGCTGCCTACAAGCCCACTCCCCGCAAGGCCAACGACGCCGAAGGCCATGTCCAGAAGTTTTCACCTCCCGCCGCTCCCCAATCCCCCGAGGAGGCTAACATCACCGCTGAGCTGAAGGCCTACGAGTCCCAGGCTGTCGAGGTTGAGGGCCAGGGTCAGGAAGCCGGCCAGCCCACCCCGGTTGAGGAGGACTGGCTCGAGATGGATGAGGAGAAACCTGCTGCTCACTAAGTTATTTATCAGTTCGCCCGTCCGTCCGAGCGGCCCGATGATAATATGTGTTGATCGATAGAATTAGAGTGATAGGATGGGATGTCATCATGTATAGTTACACATAAACTCGAACACATTTCTTGCCTTTTCCCTGCTTGTTCTTGTTATACACAGTGTACAATCGTGAATGTTGTGTTGGCTCTAGGTGTGCTTGATATATAGCTATAACTTGGCAACTGGGCATTGTTCGACTACTTACTCGACTGTTGTCAATTCATTTACGTGAGATCGCACTAGTGCTACTTATCTTCCTTTATGTGACTAGAAAATGGCCACTTTAAACGGTTTGAACACGTTATTTTATCCGGCATTAGTATATAGCCGCGAAAAGCAGCGGCCGACCATTCGGCAATATTCCAAACATCCTAAGCCCGACCGACAGTAAGTAAGCAATCAACAACAACAATAACAACCCCTACAACTGACATCACATCCTATTCTCTGCTTTCCTGACGTCCGAAAAAGAGGCTCTTCCTATTTGATAAGTTCAAAGCCAGCCGCCTATCAGAACACTCGAGACGAAGATCGAACAGGGACAGCAGAAAGATGCCTGGTCAGTGTTCCCCCCGTGGGGGCACGGACAAGATGGCCCTTTTGAGTTGTGTTGTCCTTCTTTTATTTTTATTTTAATTTTTTTTCCTATAATTTTACTGCGTCTTCTGCGTCTTCTGCGCCGAGCTGCAGCTAGACATGCAGGAGCCAAAGCCTTTCAGGACCAGGTAAGACCAGACGAAGTTGGTGTTGGCTCCAGTAACATGACAGTGAGATGGCCGTCGACGCTGGACTCGATGTATAGACCAGATATCAGCCTTCGACAGCAACCTGATAAACTCCACCGCTGGCAATCACCCAGTGTGTATGGAGCGAGTGCCAACGCCCAAGAACGACAAAGGGACCTATCTGAAGCCGCGTCAGAGATCTATTAGTTAAATTATCCCATGTGGGCGCTCTACAGGCATTATCGGCCTTCAAGTGGATATAACATTAATGATTAGGGAGAAAAAAAGCAAGCAAGCAAGCAAAGCAGAGGCAGTGGGAGAAAAAGGGAGAAAGCAAGACCCCCGCCACGAAGCAGGCCGGAGGACAGCCAAGGGGTGCCAAAGAAGATGAGACACCCAGAGACTTCAAACGCGAAGATAAGAGAGAATAAATCAAGGGAAGAAAATGGCAGAGAGGGAAGGGCCCTATGCCGTCTGAGAGTCTGAGAGGCGGCTGCAGGAACTCGCAAATGGACATAATCTTGCCTGCTGGCCCTGTCCGCCCTGCATCTCTCACGCACATGAACCAAGCTAAGACATGCCTTTAGGTGTGGCTGTCCTTGGATGATAGCTTCAAGGCGATCTTTATAGAGCCATGGCAGCGGCGGACGGCGAGCGAGGGTGTGCGATGTCGATGTGCGATGAGGCTAAAGGGGACACCTAGATAGAGACAGACAGTTAGTTATAATTATTATATTGCTTCAGGACCGGCCTCTTCTCTTATCTTTTCTTCTTCTTCTTCTTCTTCTCTTCTTTGGCACGTTTGTCTGCCTTTGACTTCCCCTTCACCCATGGACACGGCCCGTTGCCACTACCTGCTGACTTGATAGACTGGACGGCTCATAATTATTCAACCCATCCGTCAACCATCAACCAGCGACCAAAAATCACCGAGCGAGCCAGAGGAAACGCAGCCAGCCAGAAGCCCGCAGTCGAGCAGACGGGCCGAATCGTCTTGTCGCTGAGGTCATCGAGCTGCTCCCGATGACGAACCTACCCTGTCGCTAGGTTTCGCTCTCTTCACACGCAAGTGGAAAAGCCGTTGCTGGCTGACTATTTACCTGCGCTCTCTGGCTCCCTGTCTCTCTCTGCTTCTCTCTCACGCCTCCGTCGCCTGCTCTTTTTCACTCTTCTTTACGACGGCCTCGAGAGAAAGATCCTCTCCTTCGTCTGCCCCGTGCTCCTCTATCTCATGGTTTTGCTAGATCTCGAGAATCCTGCCATTGACGGGGAGCTGGCCTCTCACGGTCCTTGGGCCTAGTACCGCCAGCCAGCTCCGTCCGCCGCACCCTTCGCAGCTCGATCACACTCGATTTCTCCTCGCCGTGCCTCGATTATGCCAGATCAGAAGTCGTCTAACGATGGGTCGAGGTCCTCCCCAGAGCTTGGTCGCTCTGCCAGCTACATTCACATTCCCCAGCTGCTCGACGACAGCGAGACCGCCAGCATCAAGAGAACCATCTCGGAAGTGAACCTCTCGCAGCTCGCCACAGATGCACAGTCGCCTACACAGACCATCGACGTTGAGACCGGCAAGAGTATCCTGCGGCAGGCTTCGTTGCGAGAGAAAGCTGGCCGACGGCCACTACGCAACTCGAAGAACCACAACACGGCCACAGGAGCTGCTACAACTACCACTCCCACCGCTACTACCACCACCACTACGACGACGACGACGACGACGACAACGACAACGACCACTGCTGATACTACGACTCCTGATACCACCGATAATACTAGTACATCTTCTAATAACACCCCTTCAACCCCGGCCAGCGTCAATCCCAGCGTCGAGGTGACAGCTGCCCCCAGAGTGTCTACCGAACGCACCCGGAAGGCCTTTTCCAAGCCGTCGTTCGCGAACCTGACCCTTAAGCCATGGAAAACTTCTCGCTCACCCTCGCCGGTGCCGATGCAGTCTACTTCTACTTCTCCTTCCTCGTCTCCTTCTCCAGATCCCAAGCCTGTGTCTTCTGCAGCTACTAGCTCTTCTATAACAAGCACGCTATCTGTCAAGACAACGGATACAGGGTCATCAACGACCACGGCAACTACTTTGACCTCAGACTCTGCGTCCACCTCCCCCATTGAATCCTCAGGTACCACAACTCCCAAGAGAGGCCGCAGACCGGCCAGCATCGTCTCTCTCAAGGGGAAATCCCATGCCGAGTCCAGGAGCAACCGAGATTCTTCGCAACACTCGATACGCCGGAGACCGTCCTGGGATCGCCTGGTGGCCTCCGTCAGCTTGTCCAGCAGCAAACAGGATGTCCCTCCAGTTCCTCAGGTCCCCGTCTCCCAAACTTCACGCGCAAAGCCAGAATCTCCAAAGAAGAGAGACGAACTCTGGCACGTCTTCCGAGGCCTTGATGTGGACTACCAAAAGTACGGATTTCACGCTCTCCTTGCCCTTCCCCAATCCTAGCTAACAACTACAGATTTGCCTCGAAATCGACTCCTCTTAAAGTCAATGTCCTACGCTCGTCTTTCCTCCCCGTCCTTTCTCGCATCCTAAACCATCCGTCTAATCACAATCTCCGGCCAGAAGACTTGGACAGACGTACAAACATACTTAATAGATGGTGGACCGGCTTGTTGGAGCTTCTCAATGGACGAAATGGCCAGTCTATCACTGGAACAGACAGGCCTGTCTACCTGGAATCAATTGTTGCCATCATGACTCGACCAGAATGGCGAGTCCCTTTCCAGTCAAACGTATCTGGCTCTTCGTCTACTTCTACATCGAGGGTCGACTTGGCCGCTAGGTCTTACACCTCTCTGGAGACGACAGGATCCGACTTTCTAGCGGAATCAATCCACCATAATATTCGCAATACCTTCAACCAGAACTTACTTTCCCAGGTTGGCTACTCAATTGATCGTATGTCCGTGAGGCATACTCCGGCTAGCCTGGTCTCCTTCTGTGGTAAAACTTGTGCGTACGCCTTCTTCTTCTGTCCCGATGTCGCCAACGTCCTAGTCAAGCTCTGGAATATTTCGCCTACCTTACTCCGGAACGTCATAAATGAATTTGACCCTGGTCATGACCATGTGCTTAGAGGAGTGATGGCTGAGGAAATCTCATCCCAATTTCCCCCAGCTGTTCGGAACCTTGCGTTTTCCGGTCATTCGTCCTTCCTACGCGCTCTGCGGCGTAATACTTCAGTCCCGCTTGCTGCTGCCCAAATCAACTGGTTCGGCCCATGGGCGCCTCGCTGGGCCGGCCGGGATACAGACCTTTTCTTCGTCTTCTTGAAACATTTCTACCTCCTAATCACAGACCTGCTTCCATCCATTAGCGACATGTCGAAAAGGATATACGTTCCCGGATTTATTCCAGTGCACGCGCAAATGCTAATAGTCCTGCAAAATACTCTCAGCAAGCATACCGGGCTACAGCCCACGGATGCCCTTCATAGCACAGCAACTGCGACGTTTGATGATCTGCTGGACGGCGCAGAAACATCTGCTAGCCTACCCCTGAGGCAAACCAACTCACTAATATTAATGTCTGAGAGCAGGCTGATCATGACCCTGCGGGATTTCCTTGCAGACTCCTCGATGCAACAGCTGACAAAACAGTTATTCATTGAATCATTCTGCAAGATCCTCAAACTTGGCGCACGGAAGACGTCTTTATACGACCATAACGCTTGTTTTGCCTTATGCGACTTTGTCGAGGAACTTATTCCAATATTACCTCCGTACTGCCGTACCAATGACGTGCCTGATCCTCTTGACTGGGACTTTTGGCTAGATGTCTGTCTGGAAATGCTCAAAAGCAACAATTCCCTTACGGAAGTCCGGACTTTTGCCTTTATCTTCACTGGCTGGGCGGAGATCAACCATGATATCAGACGGAAGGAAAGGCTGTGCCTCGATATGTTACTAAGCACTGCCCTGTTCACCGAATATTTTAACCACTGGAGCCCCATGGTCCGCGGATACTATCACCGCTTGATTTGCTGGAGGTTAGCTCGGCATGATGGTACACAACAGTCAGAGCTTGATATGTATGTCTTTTAGGACGTGACTCTCCTTTTCTCTTTACTAACAGTTCTACTACAGTCGTATCTACCAAACCTTACTGGATAAATTAGGGCACATCTGGGAGCAGTTTGTTACCCATCAGTCAATTGCAGAGAAGGGACTTGTGGCGCCTGTATCGACTGCCCCATGTACACCAGCTCCTGGACGCCGTCTTATTATCATCAGAAACGACTATTTCCCGCCAGCCCCAAGTATGTTTGTGTGTCTGGACAATATCCTGCCACCTTCGATGGCAATCCGCTCACATAATGGAGAATCCTCAAATAAAGCCCAATCTTCAACAGCGGAAGCCGAATCCACTTCACCACAGTTAAAGAAGACTTGGAAAATACTCAGAACTATATTCAAAAGCAACTCAAATCCCAAGCCTGGAGAAGTGACCCCTCCTGGTAGCTCGAGCCCAGAGACTGCCAGCACTACAACAGCCAGTGAAGGCCGCAATGCAGGCGAACACCCTAAAGAAGATGGAACAGGCCCAGGCCCCGAATCAGGATCGAGCGCTACTCCGCGTCAAGCGTACACTTTCCGGTTCTGCCTGGAGTGGATTGACCGCCAAAGATGGCCAAGTAGGAATAGGCAGCTCTACCCCCCATCGCTCCCGGCACCAGCTCGCCTGTTTCTCCATGCCCTCCAAAAGCCTCCCATTAATATATCCGATTCAAGTTCTGGCTCCAGGTCCCATTCACGCTCAGGAACGGGGTCTGAAGACAGTTCTGAAACCGATTCGGCTACCGAAGAGCCCGATTCCCGGGTAACCAGTGGGACGATCGCTCCTCGTCCAAACAATGCATCAAAGAATCTCTTCGCTGCACGTATTCATCCTGCAAGTAATGGTCAAATGAACAAGTATGCAGGTAGAGCACTTGCTGAATGGGCCATGGTCGTATCGGAGTGTGACAATTTCTTTGAACGAAGGCGCGACGAAGGTGTCCCTTGTGACCGGTTGGTTGAGGTCCCAACCCTCGGTGCCGACAGCTTCCGCAAATAAAGACCTACCTTGGAACAAAAATCAGCAGAAGAAAAAAACCCAACACATAATAAAAGCAAAATTAACAGTTGGGGAAAAAAAAAAGATGAATGAGAAAAATGATATCCCTGGCCTGTGAGCCTGCTTTCAGAGAACCTATCTACCACCCCCGTATATAATTTCCCACCCGTTCCACTAAAAAGAAAAGATGACCTACTACTTACGTCACCATCACATTCGCTTTGTCTGCCCACTCTAGCAGGGGTAATTATCACCTGCACTTCACTTCTTCAAGTTGGTTACATGACTGCGCCTCCCGGATGGCAGCCAAGGTACCCTTCACCCACTCTAATACCCCCTGCAAATACAGGTTTCCTCAAGACTCGCATCGCATCGCATGACGCCCGTATAACGCATTGCATTGTAGTATTTACTTGTTCGATTCTTCTTCCCTTTCATTATTCTACCTACCCTTCCCCTGTTTACATCTTTCCTCTCTCCTGTTTTTTCTGTGTATAGATTCGCTTGGCTATGCATCTATTACTGTCCCCGAACTCAACCTTTCTAATTTATTACTTTTACTCACGTCCATTGTTTGGTCCGTGAGGTGTCAAGACCACTCATTAGCATTGCGCATGTACAGTTAGGAGTAACCCGGTGCTTCTCCTTTTCGTTTCTCTTTCATTCCCCCTTGGAGTCTTGATTATTCTATTGTTTATAATGGTGGGAATATATTCGATAGCATGGTATTGACACAAAATATGAACCTGTAATAAACATTCCTTTTAATGACCTTTGTATGAAATATTATCATACCAGTGGTAGAAATAGCCTATAGCTATTTATAGGTAAGGGGCGAGAATGAGGCTGAAAATACTCACGTGACACTTCTCTACCGGCTCCTCAAGCCACAAAGTGAAGCTTTAGAGCTTGACCTTTCAATGACAGGTTGAGACCGTGATCCTGGATGGGAAGAGCTACGCTGCTCTCTGGAAAGAGCCTGGGCAGCAAGGCACCATGTCTGAAAATTCTCCCCATGTCAAGTCTATATTCGACACTCCTCCAAGCAAACCGTCCACGGCGAAAAGATCACATTTTGAGCGCCAGAAAGCCGAAGCCGAAGCAAAAAGGCAGAGAGATAAGGCAGAGACGGCTGCAGTCTACGAAGACTTTGTGAAATCATTCGACCAAGATTCTAGCCCATCTACTTCCTCCAATGCGTTCGGTGGACGATCCACCCAGCAACATCATCATCATGCGTCTGCGACAGGTCACGGCCCCTTTAGCGGCGGTCCATCGAAACGACACTTTGCCGGGCCAATGCGAACTACCTCAGAATCGATCGGAAAACCACCTTTATCATTCTCCAAGAAACGACCATTTGAGTCTCTAAGAGACTCTCAACGAGACCGGGACAAGCCTCGTGGGATATTTGGTTTTGAAGGCGCGCGGGCGGGCGACTCGTTGAATGCATTCCAGGCATCAGACGACGAAGAGGAGACAACTATTGATAAAAAGGAGGCGGAGAAAGCAGCTGCGAAGCCTACATTGCATCTCGCATCCCTACCTCCTGGTACATCTCCCGCTGTTGTAAAGTCGTTGATTCCTCCGATATTGGTTGTAGACAATGTCAAGATATTACCACCCCCGCCGCCGTCAACACATGGAGTGAACGAAAAGAGAATATGGTCTGCTATTGTTACACTGGCTCATGACACTGCCGCCACGGATATGGATACGGTGGTAAGCTCATTACAGAATAAGTACTTGGGCTGGGGGTTTTATTTGTCGATTTCTAGACATCTATCGTCGGCCGCCATTCATTCAAGTATACCCATAGCTCCCGGATCTACGTCATTAACAAACCAACCCTTCGGTGCTCGGCCCATAACTCGTGCCAGTCAGTTTGGGCGCGGAGGGCCTCATCGTTCTGGAATCGCGCCACCTTCATCATATGATTCCAGATATGGGAGTAGGAGTAACCAGGGGCTTCAAGTCGACGTGAAGCCACCTTCAGACTTGCGACAATTGAAGCTGATACATAAGACAATTGAGAATCTATTAACGTTTGGACCAGAATTTGAGGCCCTGCTTATGAGTAGGCCGGAAGTTCAAAAGGAGGAAAAATGGGCCTGGATATGGAATTCAAAGAGTACCGGAGGGGTATGGTATAGGTGGAAATTGTGGGATATTTTGACAAATCCCGGCAAAAGACGCGGTAGAGGGCGAAACCATGCTTCAACTACCGTCATATTCGAGAATGGCCCTATGTGGTCAGAGCCAGAGAGAAACTTACGATTTGAATACACTACCAAACTTGAGGAGTTTGTTTCAGACGAAGACTATGATTCATCTGATGAAGATGATTCAGATAGAGAGGAAGAGAAGAGGCGGGATGACGCTGCGAATGATACAGGGAATGATGGAACTGGCCATTTGAATCCCTTGCAAAAAGCAAAGCTCACACACCTACTGGCCAGACTTCCTACATCACACTCAAAACTTCGGCGGGGCGATGTGGCGCGAGTCACTGCATTTGCAATCAAGCATGCTGGTGGAGGAGGAGATGAGGTTGTTGATATGATTGTATCCAATGTGAATAAGCCCTTTGCTTATACTTCTGCCAACCCAGAACGGCAAAAGGACGAAAATGGAGCTTCGGGGTCAAACAAGAACGACGCTGACGAACCTGTCAAACTCGATAATGAACCCACGGAGCAAAGCAAGAAACCAACTGCCGATGGGAAACTAGATACATCATCAGCCAGTTTGGTTGGCCTCTATATCATTTCAGATATCCTTTCATCATCGTCTACAAGCGGTGTACGGCATGCATGGCGCTATCGACAACTCTTTGAGAATGCCCTGAAACAACAGAAGACGTTCGAGAAGCTCGGTCGAGTAGAGAAGGAACTTGGATGGGGCAGATTGAAAATTGAGAAATGGAGGCGAAGTATCGGCATTCTTCTCAATCTGTGGGAAGGCTGGTGTGTTTTCCCACAGGCTAGCCACGAAGCATTTGTCAACTCCTTCGACCACCCTCCACCTACTGAAAAAGAACAAGCGGAAGAAAAGGCTCGTGTGGCAGAAGGAAAAGAGACGGGGGTATTTGGCAGCAAAGGCAAAAACAAATGGAAAGCCGTTGAAGATAACGGGACAACAGGGCAGTTTGACCCTGCTGCTAACCCTACGGACGGTGGCGACCCTATGGACCTGGACATTGACGGAGCTCCTATCGCCGATGATGACCTAGACGGCGAAATCTTCTCCGATATAGACGGAGTCCCCATGGAGGACAGCGATTTGGAAGAGACCGAAGTCGCTGCTTTGGGTCAAGATAAGCCACTCAGCAAGGAGCAAGAGGAAAAATCAGTTTCAAAAGAAGAAATTCCACCACAGGACCCTATATCTCAACCCGCAGAGCCTGCTCAACCTGCTCAAAAACGCCGTCGGCCGAAGGCAGAGGACATGTTTGCAGACTCAGAGTCCGAAGGCTGATAAGTAGTCCTTGCCAGCGTTTGAAGAGATCATCTTGACCGTCTTTATCTTACGAATACATCAATCTATCATCATCCTTCATGTAAATTATATTCAATACTCTTTTTTGAAGCATCAGCAGTCAACAGCCGGCTCTTCACTGTGATGTTGAAAGAAGTAAAAATATATATGTATTATTTGACTTCGAAACGGGGACTAAACGCCAAGAGTTTTTCCTTTGGCCGCCAAACCCCCCACAATATAAATAGAAAAAGCCCCTCCGTCACTTTCTTCGCGCCCAAAGACATAATCGCAGACAAGCAGTTCGATCGAAGAGACATAGAAGCGGCTACGAGACTACGATAAAGACAAGATGGCTGGTGGGTTTCTCCCTTTACGCGGTTTCCAAAAAGCCCTGGATCATAGTGATATTGCATTCAAAACTTCTTTCCACTCGCATCCATGGGATGGGAGGAATATCTTGCTATGAATCCCCTATTTAAGACTCTAGATGGCTAATGAGACGGTTTCAACAGACTTCGCACAGGTTGCTAGTACGTCCCTACCAATATCCTTAACCGTGATATCTTCCCACTTGCTGCCTTCTACGGTAGTGAGAGACCGTATATCTATAAGCCGGATGCAAAGCAGCCAGAGCGAAGAAGAGTCCCTAACAGTAATCGCGTTCATGGAACAGAGCAATTCGTCGAGTTCTACTACCAGACCTTCGATGAGAACCGGGGTAACCTTAGAAGCCTCTACGTAAGAGCTTGATGCGACCTTTCAATGACAGAACTACCAGGCGTGGAGAGCTAATAAAGATATGACACTATAGCGCGACCAGTCTATGTTGACGTTCGAAACCACATCCATCCAAGGAGCTGCTGCTATTTTGGAGAAGTTGACTGTGAGTACTGCCATGCGCAGGAAAAGCTGGTGAATCCAGGCTGTTGCGCAAGTCCCGGTTAACCTTGGCCATAATCATCTCTTGCTGACTTTGACCACTATAGTCTCTGCCATTCAAGAAAGTCGCCCATCAAGTAGCTACCCTTGACGCCCAGCCATCAAACGAGAACGGTGGAATTATGGTCATGGTCACCGGCGCTCTCCTGGTATGGAATATCCTTATCCTGCTTATCACGCATTATTCCCAAGTATGAAATTGTACGTGCGTCTCCTGACTCTCTCATCTCGCAGGTTGACGACTCGCCAGCGCCCATGAACTACAGCCAGACCTTCCAGCTCCTCCCCGATGGTGCCGGAAGCTACTTCGTCTTTAACGATGTTTTCCGCCTTGTCTATGGCTCTTGAGCGACGCACTGAGAAGAAAAACGGAGGACTCTATAAACAGCAGTTAGCCGGAGGAATAAAAGAATACAGGCAGCCACTGTTGTAATTAGTTAACTAGTATTTCAGATCGTGTTCTATGATAAGTTTCTTCTGAACAGTCGCACCTGAGACTGCTCGTCTCCAGCCATTATCAGCCATGAGCGGCCTTAAATGACCGACCAACCCCCGGTACCGGTACGGCCGCTTGAGAGCCTGCCTGCTCCTAGTTGGAAGCCGTTGGATCAGCTGTCCACGTATAACTGCGTGGCGGCGCCTGTGCAGAGCAACTCTTTAGGCTGCAACATTGTCCATTCGGGCTTAAATAGCCACCAAACACTCCCCTAGGCTACCCAAGTGTCCCATTCTGACTCTCTCTTTCACCTTTGTCTTCCATCTTCATCCCGTCGAGTCTTCCGAGTAAACAGGCTGTGGCTTGTTGTCCTGGTGAGTCAGCGAGTGAGGCTTGGCAGGCGAGGCTTGACCTTTCTGGCTTGTTTCGCTTTCAGGCCATCTTGTCAGTTACTCGCCTGGAAGGTCGACAGACAGTCAGTACAATCAGTCAGACAGCTTCGTTTCTTTGCTGGACAAGTCACTGATATCACCCTTCTGCCCTGCTTGCAGGCATCAGCTTTGTGAAACTCCGCTTAAGCCCAGGACCCATTTGTTATTGTTGTTGTGGCTTGAATCGCGCGTGAGCTGCCTTAAGAGTGAACTAGCTTCTTCTCCAGCTCTTGTTTGCAGCCCACAAGCCAGAGCAGAAGCCAGAGCAGCACTGTGAGTTGTCACTGATTTACCATTCTCTCAGATGCTATCTAAGAAGTGTCTGCTCCATTTCTATCGAAGGGGGAGTGCTAACTGTGGCTGCCAGTGTTGTTTACCCTCTATTGTTTTTGATCAGTTCCGGGCTCGCACAGAGCTCTAGGCTTCCACTGTTCCCACCAGCAACCCACCAGCATCGAAGGAGGCCATAGCCCGTTAAAAACATCATCAGCAGTCATAATGACGCTCGCCGAAGAGTTTAGATCAAGGAATTTCAGTAAGTCTATCAGACGGACTTCCTGGCCTGTTCCGCATATGCTAACGCCAGTCCTCCAGGCATCTACGCACAATGGTTAGCCGCTCCTACCGCTTCCTCCGACTCCAGTCTACCCAGCCGAGGAGTCCTGCTGGTTGCACTGCCGTTATACATGCCCGGTTGGAAGCTAACACCGTATATATAGGACCGGAATCCTCTCCATGCTAATATGCTTTGCTGTTGGAATTTCTAACCTCTTTCGTGTTCCATCTATCATACTTGCGTTCAGCATAGTATGCCTGTAAGTGAACCATTCAAATTACAGCCAAACGTGTCTTACGGCCTGCTAATTTGGCGACTGTTGCAATAGAGCCTGTTCCCCGGTCATCCTGTTTATCGAGGTACCACTGCTCCTGCGCATCTGCCCTACTTCGTCCAAGTTTGACGCTTTCATCCGCCGTTTCGCGTCCAACACAATGCGTGGAGTTATCTACCTTGCCATGAGCGTCATTCAGTGGCTCAGTCTTGTGTCAAAGGAAGCTACGAGCTTGATTGCGGCAGCCGTTTTCCTTCTCTTTACCGCCATCTTCTATGCTCTAGCTGCTGCTAAGGGCCAGGAATTTACCGGAAGTAAGACCCTTGGTGGACAAGGCGTTGCGCAAATGATGGTCTAAATGGGAATGACCAAACGATGTACCTTTGCGACCTTCCGTGGCCAGCCAAGCTACTTCCCTTCCCTCAACGATCGAGGGATAACCAAGCGCCTTAAGTATTCCCACGATGCACACGATCCCGCCTACTGTTCCTTTTTTCCCCTTTCCTTCTAAGCTGAGCTTCCATAGCGGCAACGGTTTTGTCACTGTGCCGCAGGTTTTATTCCAATTCCCATACGTACCTCCTACCCAATGATAGATACCAGCTTGCTTATGTCTTTCTTTCTCTTTTACTCTAATGGATGATCTCTCTTATCAGCTTGTCTCCTTTGATGCCATGGACAGGAGAAACTGATCTGGAACTGGACACTTCCAACCCTGGTTTATTGCTCTATTCCTTAGCCTCTCTGTAACTTCTATAGCTTTGCTCTTTTGTACCATCTGTATGTATTGTAGGCTATTACGAGACTCTATCATGCTATGTCTAACCGCCACTCCTCCGTTTCTCTCTTCTCTCTCTCCCTCTCTCTCTCTCTCCCTCCATTTGCCGGGCTCTTTCACTTCTTCACATGCCGTCCACGTGACCATCCGCGTCATTACTGGAGCTACGTAACTAACTTAACGACCTGGTAAAAAGCAAGGCAAAAACATCTCGAAACACGTTGGATAATTTGATATCAGTTACTACCAGGCAATACGGTCACTTGCAAGCCTAGGGCTGAACCAGCTATCACGTCGGGCATCAAACATGCTATGATCTCCTCCTGAGTGCCAAAAGGCAGTGACAGTGACGTCTTCATAGAAGGGCCTTAATACGGAGTATATGGGGCCTTGCTGACTCTCAGCCCCCTTCCTAGAGACAGCTCAAGAACCTCTCTTTCTTGACACATTTCTACTGCTATATACACCGGTAAGCATTCTCATTTGCAGTGAGGCGAGGTGCTTTCTGTTTTTTCCCTCTGAAGTTTCTCCTTGTCATATTTCATTGAATCGATCAAGATTCTTGCCACTTAGACCAAACCACCCAAGCTACCCCTTATTAGCACCTCATTCTGAGGTGAGTTCTATATAGAATCAACAGGGAGATTCTATATATACATGCCGTCTATTCTCAAGCATGTCTCGGAGGAGTCATAATTCCGTGTCAACTATACCTTCAAGGCATTCTGTGGGGGCTGGGTGTGAAAGCATTCGGATAGTACAGGCACTGACCTACCTAGAAGCGTTTCTCCCCTTTATCGACTTTGCAACTACATACAATATCAGCTTATTATACTACAGAATCTACTTGTTACCGCCATGTCAACCAAAGCCCCTCCTCCCATACCTCCGCGACCTTCTCGCTCTCCGAACAACGCCAACGCAAACCCTCCGAAGATACCCCCACGCCCTACGAGCCGTCCAGATAGAAACTCGCCCCCAAAGCTAGACAGTTTTGCCCCATCTCCACTGAATGCGCCGCCTTCTAGATTATTAGGTGCTGATTCACCGATTGATCCTTCCATCAGGCCTGATAGCGCTACTCTTCCTCCAACCGCTCCAAAGCTTGTTGAGCTTAGGAACCCCGTTACGCAGGGAGAAAAGGTAGCCGGATACGGGGTAGAACAGCCCGCAGAGACAAGGAATGTTCATCAGGACCTTCATCTACACGCACCTCGGCCTTCATTGCCGACTTCAAGTGCAACAGCACAGGTTCAGGCCGTGACTCGGACAGACGCTTCACATGGACATGAAACGGGATCGGAGGAAGATGTCAGTAACCAGTCACTATATCCTAAATCAGGCATTCCCCATATCCAGCTGGAATCGTCAAATGCGTCAACCAGTCAGAAGTCTTATCCCAATGATGAAGGGACCGCTGCCCCGGAGATGGGACAAAGGGTGCCTATGTACCCTAACGCGGGATATGTACAAGCACCATCCCCGTCGCCTGGAACATCCAGCCCCAATGAGCATCGAGATAGTCACAGCCGGACTAGAAGTAGACAAGAACCTCCAGGCAGCTATGGTCTCCATGGGCACGGAGTAACTCCTGATGACCCATTCGAAAAATCATGGTACCAAAAGCATCCAAAAGAGCTGGCTCTGGAGGAACAGGCGTTTCATGCATCAGGTGTTGGCAGTCCACGTCCGGACTGGGCAATGAGCAGTGAGGATCTGAACAAGATCGTCAAATCATCCCGAGTTACAGGTAGGACTCCTTAAACACAACTACCTTATCATAGGCTTAGTCTAACGATTCTAGGTGCATCCGATAATATGATGGGTACTCCCGACGAAGAGCTAGGGAATATTATGACCGAACAACTTGCCTCTCGTCTCCAATCACCACCAGCAGAATCTTCACTACAACATGAGGTACACCGTGAAGATCCAACTTCTCATCCTATACCTGAAAAGCAGAAAGATTTAGAGAGCCTGGATGACGCTCATAATAAGAAGGCAGAATCTCATGAAGTAAAGATTCATGTTGATGAACCTTTACATCATCAGCATCATCCAGATGGCTTCGCATTGGCACCGGAACCTGAGGCTAAACTCACAGAACATCTACCGGAGGAGGAAGATTTCCCCGTACTTGCTTCGGATGAAATTGACCCAAGCTCTGCGGCATTGCAACCTGCTGTGTCCCCTCCCTTTGAACATAAACACCATGATCACATACAAGATACTGAATCTTCCCAGCAAAGGGAACAAACACGCCCTACAGGTTCTGGGAACAAAGGGCTTGAAAGTAATAACCCTGGGGATCAGGGTGAAAGTGAATCCATGCCTGTAAAGCATACTAAAGAATACGAACCCCTATTCCATGACGATGACAGCGAAAGACGTCTATCTCCGGAGCAGCGCTTCAAGTCACCAGTCAGCCACACGCAGAGGTTTCCTAGTAAGGATATCTGGGAAGATGCTCCCAGTAGTACCCAGCTACATGCAACTGTGTCAACTCCAGATATACCCAAACGGCCTAAGAAGGATGGGTCAGAACATGAGGCTCTATTTGAGACACCTGAACAGGAACAGGAAAGGGTGCGAGAAGCAGATAAGATGCTGGAAAAATCTGGCTTGGAGGAGCCTCCTGCTCATCTAGAGGAACCTCGATCTGAAGAGGAGGGTCCAAAACAGCGTTTTCCTAGCAAAGATGTCTGGGAAGAAGCCCCCGAAAGTCAACAGCTCACTGCTGCCGTAGAAGCACCTGCAGACTCCGAGAAATCAGAAAAGCCAGAAAAGCCATCATTGCCTTCACTACCACCCAGACCTTCAAGGCAACCTGATAGATCTTCCACAGAGGAACAGGGGGACATATCACCAACGAAGACTCAGGCCACCAGTCCAACTGAACTAAAGAAGCGGCCATCAATCCCTGATAGGCCAAAGCCACAGGTTCCCCAGAGACCTACAAGGAAGAAGGGCCAAGAATCAGGTGAACCGTTGTCAAAAACTATATCTGGAGAAAACGCAGACGATACAGCCCCCCCTGCTACAAAATCCAAGCCAGCACTTCCTCCACGGGCAGTTGGCTCGAAGATTGCAGCCTTGAAAGCAGGGTTCCTTTCTGATCTAGATAGCCGTCTTAAACTCGGTCCACCAGCTCCCAAACCGAAGGAAACGGAGAAAGAGGAAGAGAAGCCAGCAGAGAAAGGCCCACTCAGTGACGCCCGCAAGGGAAGGGCTAGAGGGCCACCAAGAAGAAAACCTGCCGCCAAGTCTACTCCGGCAGTAGCAGAGGCTGAGAAGCCACAAACTCCAGAAATCAAACTTGCTGATCCATGGAATGTTTGGTCAATCGGTCCTGACGGGGAAGTGAACGTTCCGGGCAGTCAGCAGGGTAAACCCCTTTCTGAGCCTAATGATATCCAGTCAGAATCTCCCTTTGCACCTCCCCCCACGAAAGCAACTGTGTCACCTCCCGAAGACCCGGAGAGCCAAGCACCCCCGCCATCCAGCATTGACAAGGCTGTGGAATCCGCAGTTTTCTCTCAGGCTGCAGAAGCTGAAGGCGATCACACTCCTTCTGGGGTGACACATTCACCACCACAGCCAGCCGTGGAAGAACCCCTTTCTTCCAATCTAGTATCCAGTGAACACTCGGAGAAGCCTGAAGCTCCAGCTGAGGCAGAAACTGATACAAAGGGATCTGGTGAGAGTAATGCCAAGTCAGAACCTTATTCTGGATTGAAAGCATCTGGAGAAGCTCCAAATGCCGCTGGTATAATGGATAAACCGAAGAGAGCCAGCTTTGAGGAGGATTGTGTGCCAGCAGTTGAAGCCGAAGTCGAGCGAACATCAATTGCTGAGTCCAGGGGCGAGGCTGAAGATGCGAAGCCCGTCGAGAAACAATAACCGCCTCCCGAACTTAACTATAGCTGTATTTATTTAGGATATACATACTTGTTGTCAATGTTTATACGGATTCATTACTCTAAGACCGTCTGCCCAGTTGGTAGTGTGTTCTTACCTGGTTATAGTGATATCCGGGTCCTTGGGTATTTCCACGAGAAAGACACCTATACCCTTAAATCGTAGTGGTCCTCACGAGTGATTGACCTACAATCACCTCATTCCATAAGCTGACAGTGTTATAAGACTGCTACCTGGGATTATTTCCTACCGCGAGAATTAAATAGGAACAGTGTCACCGAAATTCTAGCGATCGTTCAAAAATTATTTACTAGGGTAGAACGCTTTTCCGATTTTGATTATCTATACTAGGAATATCTATATTATCCTTTGTCGTGACACCTGCCTCATCTCTTCAATACTTTGGCTCGATATGAAACGACTGATCGAAAATGTTATTCGGGTCATGCTTTGCCTTGAGCTTCTGTAGCCTTGGGAGTTGATGGCCATATACCTCTGAAGGTTCCTCGTCACCATATGCAAAGTTAACATACCTAGCCATGGTACGTTAGCAATATTTAGCTATATCATGAATACTTGTCGAGTTTAGTAGGAAGCACATACGTAGCTGGGGGATCGAGGCCGCTCGTGGATAAAATCAAGCTACGAGTGAACCTGCCGTAGGATTCAGCAGCAAGATCTAGTTCTTCATCATTGTACCAAGGGACCACCAGAGCGTTGAACTTGATCCGGCCTCTCCAAGGTACTGAGGACGAATTCACTGGGAATGATTGCACTTTGTCCATAGAATATGCCTCGAGAATGACGGTGCTATTGCGAGACTTTCCATCATTTGACGAAACCCAGGTGACATATTCGTCCCAGACCTGCTTCCATGTCCCGGGATCTATTTTGGCGAGGCCAGAACAGTATGACGGTTTACGACCGCCTTTGATGCACGCGCTCTGGGATCCGTCATTCCAGTGAGTATAATGGGTGCTGGCTGTCGTGTCAAGCGTAGGACCAAGGTTGAGTAGAGATGAGAAAGCTGCCCTTCCTTCAGCCTCAGAGCCGTGGTAGAATGGGGTCACGACAATGGTAGGTGTTTTGGAAGGGGCACGGGCGTCTAGAAAGTACATCAAAAGATTCATCTCCGGTTTCAATTCGAGCTCACTGATAGCTTTGGCGACTGCTTCAATCTTGTCCCCTGTAAAGGTGAGAATACCCAGCCACGCATATAGACTGGCTGGTTGCACGGGGTATGCCTTCATAATCACAGACGTCACAACGCCAAAGTTAGGACCTGCACCGCGGACAGCCCAGAAAAGGTCATCACCATCTGTAACCGTCTGCAGGACACCGTCTCCAGAAACGACATTGAGTGATAGAATGTTGTCGACTCCATATCCATATATACCCATCAGGTTACCGTACCCTCCTCCCAGGATAGCGCCGATAGCACCAACACAGTTGCAATTCCCAGTTAAAACCAAGGTACTGTTTGAAGCAGCGGCCTCGATTATCTCAGAAATCAGAACACCGCCCCCCAGCGTGACTTCTGTTCTTTCATCGTTGAAAGTGACCGAGTTCAGCTGTCTTAAGTTGATAAGTATTCCGTCCGGAGGCACATCCATTGTAGTAGTAAACCCATGAGCTCCCGACTGGGCAAAAAACTGGATATCATATTTAATGCAATATTGCACCTGATACTCTCTGTCAACTCTGGAGGTTTGACATGTAGGCGAGGGAAAGAGTAGAAACTTCAAAACACACCGTCACAGCCACATCCTCCTCACTAGCTACACTAACCACGACTCCGGGAGTCGGCGAGTAATACTCACTCCATCTTGCAAACTCCTGTCCATTGTCAGAGATCCGGGCAGACTCAGATAGCTGAGGCCCGAGTTCGAGCCTCACTTCATCCAAGGAGAGACTCTGGGCTAGTAAGCCCAGAGCCGAAAGGATGAGCGTTAATGCCAGTAGCAACATGGTTTATTGCTAGATTCGAAGGGCGGATAACAAGGTGATAGCGTGGTAAGGTTGGGATACCAGATGGTAGAATAGCAGCCAGCCTCTGTTTTGCTGGTACGTAAACAAAGTGAAAAACATCGTGATCATAAAATATGGTATCATGTTATCAAAGATGCTCTTTCTTCTTTACTTGACGTATTCCTTAAAGTAGAAACTCTCATGGTTGAGGTCTGACCTTGCCGTGAGATGGGGCTTTCCCTCGAGATGCAGGAAGAGTATACAGGGAAAGCCCGATGGGTATAGTGTCGTCATCCAAATAACCATATTGCAGAACTCGAAAGATATAGTGTGCCTGGATGCGATTATCATCTAGGGATGTTATACATAGCTCTGCTGCCGGAAATGAAAGAGTTGATGTGTTGTTGCCTTGCAGAAGGCCAAGCTGATGTTGCAGGATAACTTACATGATTGACGCCCTCGTATTATATTATCCTGTAATTTTAATATTTGTCATTTTGATTGGTTGCAATTGCCAGAAATATGTAATGTTGATATTATACCTGCTTAGTCATGAGGATCTTGCATCTTGATATCCTGAGATGGAATCGACGGACTGAACTACACATCAGAAAGAGATTATGATCAGAGCCATTAGTTGCCCAGGGAGCCTGCATTTAAACATCAGCTGGGCGGCAGTTCCATCTCCTGGTCAAGGTCTGGTATCTCACGGTGTCAAGCTTTCAAGGATTTCTAGAGCGGTTCTGCTGTAGAGGAAGAATTACTAGTGACGAGTTGGCGCGTTGATCGGATCATGGCGACGGCTAAGGATTTACAGGCACTGCTTCGATTCCTAACGCAAGATGCCAGAATACCCCTCGCTACTGCTATTAGCAAGGCTAAGGGCTTACAAGAAGCCAAGCTACTAAAGTATGAAAATATGCAATCTGACTGAACTGAACTGAACGCACATGCACACTCAATTGCGGTTCAACGATAACGCGTTTCATAAATCACAGTGACTCCTGACTAACAGAAGATTCAATAGTCCAGAAGATATTTCTAGAGCAAAGTTGACGGCGGTCCAATCAGTATTTACAGAAGCCAAAACTGCAAGACAGGTGTGGAACGCGGCGAAAAGGGTTGTCAAAAAGCGAGCTACAGGAGAGGAGAAGGATGATGGCATGGTAACAGCATCATCTGTATCATCACCTTCGAAGAAACGGAAAGCAACAGTTGCAGGGCTTGACATGACTCCTCAGCAGCTGGAAGAGTCACTTACGCTGCCCGTAAGTACAGATTTGGAAAGGATTTCTAAGACGGTGATTGTCACCAATCGAGCCCCACTAGTGTTAGCATTTGCAGTCATGTCACTGAAGTACACAATGCCCGAGCAGCCGTTGTCCAGCAGACTAAGCCTTGCCCAGGCTGTGGTGAGCGCAAACAGTCGCACAAAGGCTCGCAGTCTGGGTATAATAGATACGGCCGCTCCCAGCGCTGAGGACGCTGGATGGGCACAGGGACAGCCCACGGTCAAGGTACTGGGGAGGAGCATCAGCGTCCTCCGACGGGTAGGGTACGACTGGGACGACAAAAAAGGAGAAACTGCATCTGTATCACCACCAAGTATCGGATTTGATAGCAAGAAGGAAACGGTGCCAGAGGGAGGTAGCAGCAAATCCCCGCACGCCGAGACGGGTTCCCCTGCACACAAATCGAACGTGCTATCACCCAAAGAAGACAATGACGACGACAATCTCCCAGCCCTATGGGGTCTGGACTTGGAGGGTGATCGTAAATCGAGCGATGGCCGCCAGCACAGCAGATATGGTGGGTACGACGGCGGAAGTCGAAGCCAGAGCACGCACCTCCCTGTATTCAGAGCTGAACCAGCCCGCGACTACCTGCTCAGATCATTTTCTGAGCACGAGCACGACCCAAAGCAGCCGGACAGCGTGAAAAAGGCCAAGTCGACGTCGATGCCAGCCAAGGAGATTGCTCTCAGTTTGCTACTTGGCGCGATCGATCATGTTTGCCAGTCATGGGCGCCAACGCTGAGCCGAGACGAATTGGATAAACATGTCTGGAGATGGTACATCGCCGTGCGGCCAGAAGTCGAGGGTGGCATCTCAGGATGGGGCCAGAAGGGAAAGGTCCATTTATCTGCGATCCTTGATTTGAAGAGAAGAGACCGAGATGAAATGCGTGTGTTTTAGTTTCGAATATTTTTACGAGCCATCAATCAAAATTTTTGGACCAAGAAGGGCTGTGGGAACTGGCTATGGAGAATTTCTGGGCTCAAGATGGATTATATGAGCTCATGAACTGGGTGTTGCTCGGCCAATCGTGTTGGTTTTATGCATCAAATCATCTCCCGTTTGGAGACATCCGTTCAGAAACTACCCCCACACCCTTGCCTCGACAAAAACTTCCTTATGAGCCAGGCAGGAGAGGGGAGGGAAAAGAAAGAGAGGGAGAGAGAGATACGAATCAAAAAAAAAATAGCGTTGGCGTGCCAGATGCCGGGAGGGAGAGCAAGGGAAGCCTCCGCAGCTGCAGCAAAGGCCAACTTTCCGACATCGAGACAGTTTCCTCATGCGTTTTCTCTGATGTCATATTGAGGTCTCACTGGTGTGGTTGTCCACGGGAAGGCCGTGTCCACCCTGGCTCCATTCCAATGAAGAGACTTGAGTGGCCTCCGTTCGAAAGTCACCAACCTTGACCAGAAACCCTCGATTGAACACGACACGGGCTCTCGCATCGGGAAGAAAGCAGAAGAAAGCAGAACCAGGACGACAAAGATAGAGAAAACAAAAAGAAACAAACAACAATAATAACAATAACAAAGTATAGATATGAAAAAGGAAGAGTGCCCCTAAGAATTACAAGACCCAAGAGGCGGTCCTCCCAAGGGAACGACACACTAGTTGTGGCTAGGGCGAAGACGCTCGCTGGCTGACGGTTAATGCGATGGACAGGGGTGAAAATGCAACCAGGTTTATGCCACACAGAAAAGGGAAAGGATAAAAAAAAAGAAAGAAAAGCAAAGAGGAGAGGAAAACTCAGGTCGGCCTGCATGCTGGGCCTCCGGGAGCAGCCATCTTGTCACTCTGGCTTCCGCAGGGCCTGGTTGGATGGGCTGGTAGGATGCCGACGGTGGCCTCTTGGAGACCAGCTCCGCTTTGCTTGCTTGCTTGCATACAACTGGGTGAAAGAGAGACAGACAGAGAGAGAGAGAGAGTTAGTATAGGGAGGGAGGAGCCAGGGCCGGAGTCCTGCATGCTCGACGGGCATCTCTAGGTCGATGCCACATCGCCGTGCCAGGACGACCGAGCAGCCTCGAAGTGGGCTCTCTCGTGGATGATCGCTCTGCGGTTATCTGCCTGTCTCTCTCTCTGCCTCTCTCTCTCGTCGACGGACCGATGGAAGCTGTCGCTCTCGCTCGTAACACTACTACGACTAGCTAGCGGTAACCAGGCCTCGATCTCCCAAAGGAGGAGATAAGGCCGCCCCTGAAGCCCACCGAGGAGCGCACTCTCTCGTGCCTCTCTCTTCTGCCTACTTCGCATACGGCTCTCGCTTGTTTTTTTTTTATCAAGCATCGCTGCCTCTGCTTCCTCGCTTCTGTCTGTCTGTCTCTCTCTCTCTCTCTCTCTCTCTCTCTTTCGCTGTCTCTTGTTGTCTCTTGTTGTCTCTCTCGCTGTCTCTCTGTGTCAGCTAAGGAGCAAAGTCGACCGGGGGGAAGGCAAGTCTTGGCGCGCGGTGAGTTTCAGATCGTCGTTTTTCCTCCCTGCCCGACTCTCGTCCGCCTCCTCGACTTCTCTTCGACTTCTTCGACTTCCTCGACTTCTTCTTCCACTCCCTCGCCTTTCCTCCCGCCAAACAACACAGCAACCACATCCGCTTCTTCGACGCCGTCCATCCACAACGACGACGGGGGTTCGTCGACATCCGTCCCCCCTCGAGCCACAGTGTCCCGACCGGTCGCCAGTCTCGGGCGTGTGTCTCGCTTGCTGGAATCGTGTTTTCTTCCGGGGCTGGTTGTCGGGTTCACACAGCCGCCGTGTCTGTCTTCTGTCTTCGGGGGGTAGAGCGAGAGAAAGGGAGCCTTCGAAGGCTGAAGCGCCGAAAGGGATCGCTGCCCCCGGCGGGCAGTGTATCGTCGATTGTCCTGCCTAAAACATGAGCGACCGGCCGACGTCTCCCTCCAAGGGACCAGAGGGCGATGCTGACCGTCAAAAGTCACCCTCGATAGAACAGTCGAGCGGTGGTGCTGGTGATGGCGGCGGTGCTGGCTCGGAACAGTCCAGCAGTCAGGCATCTCCGGTGATGGACGTCTTCAGCGACGAATTCTCGGTCGAGCGGATAGACAATTCATCACAAAACAGCCAAAGACAGTCCGTCAACAGCCTCTCGAGTCATTCGTCATCGAGCTCGGACAAGACAGAGACTAGAGATGGACAGGATCAGATTTCGATTCCTCCGCTGCCTACCAGCTCCTTCCAGGGCATCCCAGAGTCGCTGGAGAGACGCGCCTCCCAGCTGCTTCAGCAACAGCAACAACAATACCAACAACATCATCATCATCAAACAGTGACGTCTCAGGTTCCGGACAAGAAGCATTTCCCTCCAGATGCCGGGCCGGTACCTCGGACATCATCGCCTGCCGTTTCTATCGCTCAGAGTACCGCATCCGCCAGCCATCGAAGCGTCAGCACTGTCTCCAGGCTCTCCATCCCTCCCCGCGCATTGAGCCCCTACACCGGTCAGACAGGACCTAGCCATCCCTATGCCATGTATTCTCAAGGAATATCCGTCAACAGGACATCATCTATCTCCTCAAATTCGACAGTACGGCCGCCCGAGCGAAACTTCGTCGCTGCTGCCCCGCCACAGCATCCCTACGCCCTATACTCCCAAAACACGGTTCCTGAACACGTTCCGGATGAACCTCTCAACACTACTGTCCCTCTCCCCTTACCAGGTCACCCTCAAATATACAGTCAACCCGCTCCTGCCCCTGTTGCAGATGAGGTCGGAGATATCTTAGGCACAGATGGATATAGAGAACAGCTCCCTCCTTACACTCGTTACCCCGAAGGTATTCCGGAGAAGTCTTACTATGCCCCTGCTGCACCAACTGGTGTTCCTGGTACTACCAACACCCCCTCACAGCCTCTAGAAACACCCGTCTCACCAGTATCACAAGTGTCGTCCCGCACCTTGCTTAGTGAAAACGTTCCAGGTGCTGTTGCCCCTGCGCCAGATTCATCGGCTGCCGAATCAGGCAACACGTCACAGGAAATTGTCAACGAAAAGGAAAAGAGAAGGAATCAGAAAATTTGCTGTGGGCTACCACTGTGGATCATTGGTCTCATCGCTATAGGTCTGATCACAGGAACTCTAATAGGAGGTGTCCTCGGTGGGATTGTAGGAGCCCGTCAAGGCCAGAAAGACAGCGGCAAAACACCAGATCCGGATCATCAACCAACACAGTATGTTTTGTCAATATATCTGTATATCTACGTCATTGATCAACTAACCGTGTGATAGAACCCTACCACCCACTCCGACAACTAGTGGCACCTTGGATGCGCTACCTCTCCCAACCACATCTGGCGCCCCTGTTTTCTCCCCGATCCCTACTGGGCCCATCTCAATCTCCGGAAGGACGTTCAATTCCCTATCTCAAAGCTGTGTTAACACCACAAGCCTCCGGTTGTCTTGGGATTGTGTGGACTATGGTCACTTCAAAGGGTCCATATCCGTCGGGCCCAAGGATACTAGAACAATAAAATTCTCCCAAAATCCTCTCACAGGGAAATTTATATACGGCGATCAAATACCGTTTCTCGCAAACAAGGACTATCAGCTACAGCCCGCATATGACGCGTCTGCCCCCGATGACGGGCCTGCATACTTCTTCTATACTACCTTCGACAAGCTCGTCATTATTCCCGATGACGAATTCCCATATGGTGTCCTTGGGAGATCAGTGAAGGATTCCGCCCAATTGAAACGTTCTAACAACAGGTCAGGAAAAGTTCAGTCTCAGCCGGGTGACAAGCCCTGGTTTTGCTGGTGGAACACAACCTACATCGAACTCTTCGTATATGCCAATAAGAACGCGACAGAAGATGACATGAAGACCAGTAGCGATGGCTCTGACGATGGCATGCCTTCAACCCCGCCAACACCTTACCCTCGTGAATCTACTCCTATCACGGCATCATCATCCCCTACCCCGACACCTATTACTATGTCCGGCGAAGGCGGCAGTAACCTACCACAAGCATATCCCCAGGCCATCAAAATCAAAGAACTCCGATTCTCCGATGCGAGTCAGTCTCCGCCATACTGCCAACAGATGCAAGTCTTGGATGACTGGAGCCTATCAACGCTACAGAACCAAGCGACCATCGAAGAAAAAGACTCAAGGTCCGGTCCAGACAGCGAGAATATCGACATTAGCCAAAAATTGGCCCGCCGGTCACAGCTAATTGGGTCCAGAGACGTTGTCCCCGACCAGTGCTATTGTGAATGGTTATACGGTAACTGACCTGCTTCGTCTTCTCCCCCCCCCCCCCCCCCCCCCCCCTTTTTTTTCGACATGACTTTCGACTCTTACCAGCACAACTATCATCATATTGTCACATTTCCTACTTTCCGCTACTTATAGCCCTCCTGCTCAGGCGTTTAAGGTAATATCTTGTTTCTTTTTCGGCATCGGCGTTATATACTAGGCCTGGAAAGATATTTCTGATCTTGTCGCATTTTATCTCATATTCTGTTGTCATCGTATATATATATATAACTATATATATAACAACGACTTCATCTCAGTTATTCCCTTCCTTGCTCGGTCACTCGTTCACTCGGCTTCTGACAACCATCTGGCTTGTTTGCTATACCTGTCTGCTCATACTCGGCTTTCCAGATCATTCGGGGGGAGAAAAGGCATATCGTTTTTACATTCGTTTCCTAATATCATTCTATGCACATAAATATGTTGTATCCCTGGTTATACCCGTGGATTGTCAACCCATGTATCTTCCATCTCTCATATGTTGACCTTTCTGTCTTGAATTAATCCGGCTACTCCTGGATTCGGCAGACGCTTGTTGTTATGTGACTATTCTCTTCCGCAGAATACATGTATTCATCTATATCACCTATTCTCTACATTCCAGCCTTTTTCTATGTAAAAACTATTTCCCTAACCAGTTTTGTTAGGCATCAACGCCCATGCCCAGCACTATCCCAGCGCTGCATCCATTCCATAGTCCGCAGCAGATATCAGTTCCACTTCCTCCATCCCTAACTACCAGGTACTTTGCCTCTCTTCACGAGACTGGACTCCATGCAAGGGACAGGGGTACGTCCAAGAAAAAGAGCATATCTTACTTAAAACGTCCACGATCGTCAGGCGGTGGAGATGCAAGTAGGACGCCGGAATATATACTCCTCGCGGCATCCTCGTCCCCGGAATATTCGCGGAAGTTCGTTGAAGTCTCTGACCATCAAGCACTCTGCTCGCTCATTGGTGGAACCGCCATGCCCGGAAGTTGGATAGCTATGACATAATAAGCTGGAGAAGTACAGCAGGAAGTTGTATAGAGTTGATGGAAGGCAAACTAGGGATATAAAAGGGCGAGTACATTTAAATGTCCCATTCATGAACAAGACTCATGTTCAACAGTTGTCGACTGGCTGACTCTACGTTGTTGTATTCGTTCGTTGGAGAATCAGGCTGATTTTGAACTATGAACCGGCCACGGACGCTCACACAAACTCTGCGCTTCACACCATCACGATTACCGATCTTGAGAAGAAATGGGCTGGCAAAGTTGTCGGTAGCACAGGCGACACGGGGAGAACGGTTTCCCAGGCACAGCAGCTATCATGAGAGATCCATCCATTCAAGTTCCCAAGGCGGGCTAAGAGAGGAAGATTCAACATCAACTGGCAAGGAACAAGGTAAATTAATCTCATGCAGTACAGCATGTAGACAGTAGTTCTAACATATATAATCAATTTTAGTCCACCGACGCCATCAGCACCACAAGCCTGAGCCAGACATGGAAGAAGCAGACTCGTTTGCCCAAGAATTCGACACTCGTATCCCCTCTAACCACGCCAAACCCGCCCTCAGTGATGCATACCAGCACAGCGGCAAAGATGCAAAACACCCGAAACGACCATCAAGGGAAGAACTAAGCGAGGATGAAAGACGTAGGATGGACAAGGAAGAGGAAGACGTGCAGCGGCATAATGAAGATATGGAGCATCGGCACGGCCGGGCAGCCAGTCAGATCACGCAGGATGGAAAGGTTGAAACGATAGACGAGATGGAAGAGGTACGGTTCAAGAGCGAGGAGTAGCAAGCAAGATATCCCAAGAAAGGCGGGTTGAAGTATTGTTTGAGGTAGTCCAGGACAATGCGCCGGACCGGATGTTTGCGGGAATATGCAGAATGCTGCAGCTGTGGTGTCACCCGTCTTACTTGATATGGGGAAGAGGAGCGGGAAGGAAGAAAGAAAAAGAGCCGAATGCCATGCAGGTGGATGTGAGACTTTGCTCTCTAGTTGTGACTGAAATGTTTCATGCATGTAATTATGTATGTGCTTTGTTCTGTGTTCTTTGCAAAGTAACCTATGTATGTCTTCGACAAAGAATTTGACACAGTGATGTAAAATAGAAATCAAGAGAAACAGGCTTGCTCAGTCAATCGAGACTTTCCATCTTTGGTATTCTTTCTCTCCTTGACCTTGACTTCGGTACTAGTGAACATATATGTCTATCAAGTGAGTGCGTGGGATAAAAAAAAAGATTCAGTCTAGGGGGTATTAGATATCAGAGGAACGCTCAAAATACAGAACTTCTCTCATACATTCTTGCCTCAGGTATACAATCAAGCAAAAACTAATCCTCAAATATCAAACCAGCGCAATAAATCAAGTCCGGAAAGCAAAAACAAAGAATCAATGCGCGTGCGTGTAGTGTGGTATTTGGTATAGTACAAGAGTTAGAATGCGTTGTTTTATTCCGGGTATCCTTTGATGGGATGTTTGTTCCATGTGCTACCACCAGGGCGATTTTTTTGCAGCTGAGTATAGTCAAGGACATCAGGGACAGTATCATTGCCAACGAGATAGAGAGACAGGGATCCACGGGGGCCTGGTTCACATAGCATAGCCTCTCTGTGCTGATGAAGAAATAAAGAGCATGTCTTCTGAGATATCCGGGTTGACTGCAGTCCAATGTTTCCTTCTCCGTAAGTATTGACTGCGGTTGCCAAGCAGCTGTGGTTGGAGTTATGCCAGTCAATAACCGGTTAACTCATCGAATATATTCTGCCCCCAGAGATCTGAACGAAATTTCCGCCCATTTGGTCTCTCGAAAATGAAGGGCCTGGCTCGAAAATTTTTCTGCGCCTCCCCAGGTTCATGTGAAGCGCTTGTTGTGGTCGTACCAAGACAAGTTGTGGAAGGGTTCGGGTAACTTGAGCCAGGGTCACTGTCCTGCTGGTGTTTCAAGTCTGTAGGGCCAAAATGTGATATGTTCCTCCGACAGGGTCTAGCCAGTCACACAAAAGGGGCCATATATCATATCCTGTCCTTCTTTACTTTTTCTTTTCTTTTTTGTTATTTTGGTATAAATGGCCGTTGAAAATAGTGGGGGTGCGACAGGGGATGGTTAAAGAAATCAAAAAGGGATGGTACAAAAGAATCTCACCGCTACCAGAGTAATGAAACAAAATTTCCAGAATGAGTGTCAAATATGATAGGTTGTTGAAAGAAAAAGGAGACGCTCAGAAAAGGAATGAAAAAAGTGTAAGGCTAGGCTTGCTAACGAAATGGAAAACATGACTTTTGCATAAGAAAGTAGTGTGAAGGAGTCAACCTTGTAGAAGAGGGGTATCTTCGGAGATCGCATCATCCTGGGCATCGGTGCCGTTCATGGTGCCGTAGGAACGACCGTTGGGCTCCGTTGGCTTGTTGACTCCAGCCTCGAGCTCCGGCTTCTGGGGATTTATGTATTCGAAATAAACGCCCATGATCAGAAGGGTACCTTGCAGCATCGAAGTTACAACGTAAACACCCCAGGTGCTCCACCCTTCCATGCCCAGTCTCTCGGCCAAGCTGATGGCCCAGACTATGGCACCGGGGGTCTGGATGCACATCATCTGGATACTCAGACTGCCCACCCGGCGTAGACGCCATGTGGTGTATATCTGTGGAAAATATTGGATGGAAGAGAGGATGGTGGCCGAGACACCAAGGATATTCGCCCACATCTGTCGGCTAGATGGATAGCTAAAGACGACCGTAAAGCCTAGAATGATCACAGCGATAGCATGGACAAGGCATATTGCTCCCACGGTGAGAGCAGTCCGGAAATTATGTGATTTTTCGGGAGTTGCGGATGTCGAAACGGGGGTTGGGGGAGTTCGGGGGAAATATACAACAAAAAGAATAAGGCTAAGATGCAAAAGTCAGCCAAAGAGAGCAACTGCATAATGGTCTTTCTGTGGCAGAACCTACAAGATGATAAAACATAGTGACTGGACCCCAACCTGCAAAATGCCTAAAAGGCCAGCAAAACAGGCAAAGCCACTGATATCACTGCAGCAGGCGATATCGCGAGCACTTTTCGGGAGAACAAGGATGTTTGCAAACCCAAACGTCCCCGACGTTGTCCCCAGCAGTATAAAATAGGGAGATATGCCAAAGGAGGTGCCCCGTGAGATGATACGGTAGTGCTGGGGTAGATATGACAGCAAGATGCCGAGGAAGATCAGTCTAGATCGGTAGAGAAGCGTTGCGAATAAGTTAGCCGCGGTTCTTCAGCCGACAAAAGAGAGGCGGATCTTGACTTACATAGAGAAGGTAAAGCTAACAGCACCGGGAGAGGCGAGTTGCTTGCATTCTTCGCTCAAATTCACCATCGTTTCCTATAGAACTGCTGGCGAGGTGCGGATAGACAGGGGGGTATGGATCCAACGAGCGCACATGAGTGATTATATAGAGGTGAAGGAAACCGAGAAAGAAGCGCAGGGGACGACCGTCGGGTTTCAGGATGCAGGTACGGCCACTGGAGAGACGTGTCTTTGAGAGGGTTATTCGCGCAGAGACTTTGCGTTCTGTGTCTCTGCCTGTCTGCTGCTCCGTATTCTCGTCTTCCCCTTCCAAGCCGCAGGCGCAAAAACTTGAGGTTGAGAGGATGCGCCTTGTCCGCCCAATAAGGTGCACAGGCCTAAGGGTTCTAGCCAATCATGACGCGACGATCTGACAGACTACGGAAGGCCTAACTGTTTTAGGACTAGCTTTATATACGGGGCCACAGCCAGCCAATAAGAACGATATGTGTTAAGGGAAGGATTAGGTAAGCGTACTCACTGCCTGGATCAGGTTAGCCTGTATTAGTCACTCATCACGTTACTTGTGCCTCGGCCGGCCTGCTCGGCCAGCTTTGGGTCCTCATTTCATTTTGATTAGGTCCACAGAAAAGTGCCGACGGAACATAACTACATACAACGGCTATAGGAGATATGCAAAGCAAAGAAGTTTGAGGATGTTGGCGGTGAGGCCATGGTAGGCTATGACAGCAATTCCATGGGTAAAGGATGCTGGAGGCTAAGAGCCAGGGAAGACCTTAACCTGGAGCTGCAGAGATGTTGCCCCTCAGTCCTTGCCTTCTCCCCTACGTCACACAACACGTCATAGTAACAAGAGGCAGGACGAACAAAATAAAGCTCCTGCCCTGCCTGGGATCTTGATTAACGACGCCAATAGAGAGTATATATTCAACACTGGGCGGGCTCGCTGTCCGTTATTTTCCTTGGTGGCTCATGCAGGCGGCCCCTTCGATAATTCAAAGACAACGTTTGCTTAACAAACGCACCACTTGGCTGCTTTTCATTCGCATGGGACTCATTTGTTGATACTCGGAACCAACGCTATCATGAAGTGGCTATTGACTGGGCTAATCATAGCTCTGACGGTGTCGGAGGCCGTGGGCTCCAGAGACTGGTTCAGCAAAGCTGGTACTGTTGCTCTCTTTCCCCTCCCTGCAGCCAGCTTGTTATGGCCGCCAACAACTCATACATTGGAGAATTGATCATGGCTAACACGTCACGGTGGCCGCAGTTTACAACAAATGGCATGAGACTGAACTTGAACGCTGGCTCTCGGACCATGGTGAGTGAATAACCAGCATTTTTGTAGCCGGCGGCCTGAAAACCTTATTAATCGACTTAAACCATCTATAGACGTTCCATACCCTTCTCCAGCAGATCGCAAGGACCTGGAAGAACTGGTGAAGAGTAACTGGGAGTCGTATATTACCGAACCAGCTTCAAAGACAGCTGAAGAGATTTCTGGTTCATTCAATGACGCCAAAGAATGGATATTTGACTCGTAGGCTTTCATCAACCCCTCGAAATAAAGACGGAACATGGCTAATAATTCTGTTTAGATGGAGTGACTCGCAGTTGAAAGCATTTTTAGACCGCCATGGGATTCCATGTCCCCAGCCTAAGAAAAGGGACACTCTCCTGTCAACAGCCCGCCGCAACTATGAAGCAATCGCTCAGAAGCTTGGTCAATCGGTCAACTACCCAGGAAACTGGTTATATGAACACTGGTCTGAGTCTGAGCTAAAGGAGTATCTCGATAGCCATGGCTACCCCGTCCCTCAGCCAACAACCCGTGACAAGCTTATTGCTGCCGTGCGCCGTAATTCGCGTCGTGCTGGTATAGAAGGCCAGAAATCTGCCGCTGCTGCTTCAGCATCCATGGCAGCTGCGCAGGAAACTCTTGCTGAGGCTCTCTTCAACGCCTGGTCAGAGTCTGATTTCAAGAAATTCTTTGATGAACATGGCATCAAGGTGCCTCAAGGTTCCAAGAGGAACGAAATGTTAGCTTTGGCGCGCAAGCACCGTCAAGCTCTGCTGGAGAAACCTTCTGCATCAATGGCTTCTGTTTATGGGGCTGCTACTTCCAAGGCTGGAAACGAATTCGCTCGAGCCACGGATGATGCACAGCTGAAGATGGAAGATGCCTTCAACCAAGCTATCAATGGATGGTCTAATACTCGTCTTAAGGCCTACTTGGATGCCCGTGGTATCCCAGTACCCCAGAGTGATAAGAGGGATGAACTACTCGCCAAGGTACGGCTTCATGGACACAAGGCCGCTTCTGGATACACTGCTTGGACTTTTGATACCTGGAACAAAGAGAACCTTGGGTAATAAACTACCTGCCCTTTACTCCGTGCATGTTACAGAATTCTCACTGACGATGAATAAATATAGAAAATACTTGTCTTCTCAACACAAAAAGGCTCTTGAAGGCGTCGAGTATACCCGTGTTGAGCTTTTAAAGCAGGCTCAAGATGCGTACAACCGAGCCTCAAAGACCGGTGGACCCGACTTTACTTCTATTACCAATTATCTTGCTCAAGTTACTGGTTCCATGAAAGACACCAACTTCAATACGTGGTCAAAGGATGATATTGAAAGTTTCCTGGCCTCTTATGGGATCAAGCCAACTCGCGGCTCGAGTATTGAAGAGCTGAGAAGGCAGGCAAAGGATAATGCTGATTACTTCCGCTATGGAATAACGAGGCAGGAAGCCTCGATGTTCTCCAGACTCCAGAGCCTTGGCCAGTGGGCTTGGGATCAATTGAAACTTGGGGCTCTCAGCGGCCGGGCAGAGGGCCAGAAGGCAGCTCAAGAAGTTAAAGAAAAAGCCACTAAGGCTAATGATGAACTTTAAACGGTTTATCACAAACTCAGAAGCTGATGTCAAAATATGTATTGGGAAGGATGTTTAGTTTGTTAAATCTGGACCTGTGTTATAAGTTAATGACTGTTGAACACTCTTACGGAATTTAGTTTAATGCCCAAGCGAATGTTTTCCCCCATTATCACCTGTATATCCGTACTCTGCTAACTAGGCCTTCTACCCTAGAATAATGCTAATTAGGTAGTGTGTTTTGCTATTATCGTTCAACCATAGTCAAAATGTCATTATTATAGCCGTTCAATCACTAGCCACATGTATCCATAAGCAGCAGACCTGGACGGGCTCCAGCCATTGATAGAACCCATTTCATTAAAAAGACTTGATGCATCATTCTTTTAGAGCGGGATCACCTTCAGCGACCAGCTTCCCAACGACAAGATACTTCTCTAAAAACCGTTCCTCCCACCCTCTCAGGTTCTCAAGTTCCTCTTGTCCCAGTCCTTTCAAATCATCTAGTGGTCCTTTGAGATCTTTGGTAAGCATCTCCTCATCAAAACTCTGGCAGGCTAATCCACGAGTAGCATCTCGACCGGCGAAGTTCTCATATGGTCCGCCCTAGGTAAACAGGGAAAGTCAATGATAGTATAGATAAACTGATGAAGGAAGACGTACTGGTCCGTAAAAATTCCTGCCCGGAGTAACGTCAAAAACGCGTCCTCGAACTGCAAGGTAAACAGGAGCTCCGTTTTTTCCGTTGAACGGTAGGAGATCAGTAGGTGAGAAGGTGCGAAAGACGGTTGGTGGTGGGGCTGTTGGTAATGTCACAGGCTTCTTTGGTTTGAACTGCATATAAATCACAATGATGAAGAGGGAGAATAAAATGAGATTGATTGGGGAGGCGATTGATGCCCTGGAATCGAGAAATTGGGTCAGTATTGGGGCAGATGGGCAGGCGGATAAGTCGACGATGTAGATCGGGTGCCCGGCTTACACTTCGGCAGGCGGAGAGCTATCTTCTACTCCATCTAGTTAGCTGCTGTGGCCCGAAGTATCAGCAATAGGATACGCTTACCTGACGCCATCTTTAAATGCAAAGCTGTCCTGTCAGCGCAGTATTGCAGACGTTGCAAGGCTGATAGATTGTTGTTATCAACCCCAAAACAAGTAGAGAGCAAGCTCCGCCTTATTGAGATCGACTTATGTCATCAAAGGCTGGTGGATTATGTCATCGCTAATTATATCCTGGCCCTTTTTCTGCCGGTCGTCACCGCCTGCTTCTTTGGGATGAAACGAGAGTAATCTCCTTAGTCAGCCATATCGGGTGAAGTTTCCCGCCGCTTTTAACACGAAGGTTACGTGATCAGGCACATTTTGTTTTATTTTTGGAAATCAGTCCTTAAAGCAGCCTGGGCCAGCGCTTAGCTTTGGACTAGCGCGGTTTTGCTGGGCTGAGTTTACTCCGGAACGCCCATGAGATATCAAGGGTCGTGATCGCTGAGCATGATCTGACAAAGCCTTGTCGCCGGCCGGACGTTGGTTGCTCTGCAGGCAGAGAGAGAGAGAGAGAGAGAGAGAGAAGGAGGCTGAGCTTCTCGTTTGACATCTTTTTCCTTCACCATTTGATTCCTTCATTTTGATTCCTTCATGCCCGGTCTGGGACTGGAACGCTTGTTCTTTCGGCAGTCTTTCACAAACGGAGTACATTCATTTCTCTTGTTCATTTCCGAACTCGGTCGTATTTGATGGAGAGTAACACCCTTCAAAGACAGCGTCCTCTTCTCCTTAAATATCTTTGACTTGTTATATCTATTTGCCTTCTCTGGACATATTTGATCATCCTATTCACCGGCCAACAAAACTTCTCAACCAACAGCCTCCGAGCCGTGCTCAAAACGATACCACTTACCTGCATTTGCAAAACACACAATTCCCTCTTTTTTTAACGACTGGATTATGTGGAAGAAGATTCACAAACCCCGGGACTGGGCAAAGCCTCAAGGCCAGGAGGCCACGGTTTCGGCGAGTGAAAAAATCCACGCGATGTCTGGATTTGGCCATGGAGGATATACTCATCCACATGGACTACAACCTTCCCAGTCGTATGTAAAAACTTCTCAAACGTTCTCTCACATAGTATATAGTCTAACAAACGGGAAATGGTAGGAATATGATAGTATCTGAGCCTCTCCCGAGACCTTCGCTCCAGTCAGCGCACGCACGAAACCCTTCTTCAGTTTATTCTCAAGATTTAATGGTGCATCATCCACATAACCACGGTGAGCCACGTCAGTCTTACTCCTCGACATATCGTTCGGAGTATGGGGATCGTGATGTGTCTCCTCCGGTTTCTCCTATTCGTGAACACTATCCCTCGTCTAGGGAGAGTCGTGATGTTTCCCCTATCGAAGAGCCCAAGGGCAACTGGATTGCCGATATGCATAATAAGGATAATCGCCCGGCTCCCAGGGCAACATATGCATCTAATTCCAATGGAGATATGAAACCTCTTACCTCAGGAAGACAACCTCTAACGAAATTGGATGGCTACTCAAGGGACATGTCAGGAGGCGATAAGGGTAAATACCACCAAGATATTCAGGGAATCGTGAAACCTGAAGGATATTCTAGGGCTGGCGGTCGTTCGAAACCTCGATTTGATATAGGGCCAGAAACCGGGCGCGTGAATGTTCCCAAAACCCGGTGTCGAACGGATTGTGATACATCTGCTAATAGTAACCCTCCTCCGCCACCGCTAAAGGACAGAAGTTATAGAGGTCCCTCCAGCACAAGACTTATTGACGACAAGCCTGTAACAACAAACCCCAGACCCAAGGACAACAAAGCACTTCCAATGGCACCTAAGCCAAGACCAGCCGTTCCTCAAAAGGACAAAGTACTTGTGAGACCCGCTCCTGCTCCCTTGAGTATCCCTAATTCAACGTACTCAAGTCTCTTTGAGGATTCGTTACAAACTGCCTCCGCGTCAACTTGGGAGACTGGCAAGTTTGTTGGTACTGCTGATCAGCCTGAGCAAGACTCCAGTAAAGGGAAAGATGAACTCGGTGACTTTTTGACAGAAAGGTTCCAAGGAATAGCACTGTCACAAGAACCGCGCAGCCGTTTCAGTGCCACAACTTATGCCACGACTGAACCTGGAAGCCCTCCACCAATCTCAGAGAGTTTTGATCAACCACTGCCGGGTATTGGGTCTAGAATGCACCAGATCTCTGCCAAAAATACCACACGCAAACCTACCCCTTCACAAATGACTACTGTCTCTGAGACAGGGACAGGACCGCAAACCCAGCCTGAAACAAACATTACTACTCGAATCGACGATATCAAATCAAAGCTGGCAGATCTTGCTCGTCGAAAGACTAATATCGACACTATGATCCATGAGTTGACGCAAGTAATTCAGCCTAGCTCGATAGCATACGATATGGCCACCAGAAGCGAAGTGAATAAAACTGTGACAAGCCTAAACAACGAGCTAGCAGATATCAAAAAGGAAGAACATGAGCTGGGCCTGAAACTGCTTCGTGCATACAAGAAGAGAGACAAAGGTGACATTTATGCCAACGAACCAACGTTATGGGTCAAACGGGTTACGAGTTAGGAACATATGTACATTATTAAATACCATAACGCTAATCGGGAGAGTGTATATTCAGCTTCTTATCTAATATCCATTCGGATCTGTGCAGTGCATACAGGGTGCGCCTGGCATGGTAGGAGTGATAAAAAAGCTAAGACTTTACAGGCGATCTATTATTCAGGGCTGGATGATCGAGCGTAGAAAAGCTTTGTCGCACTTCCTAACCCCCACCATTGGAAACGAAAAGGAAAGACGTCAACTCATAGTTTCGTAATGCAGCGTGATGCGGTGAAGCTCCGCGGGTGGTAGTGATCCGTCAGTCTGGCCGTGAAAGTCGAAAGCCGTGTAGTTTGAAGGAGGCATCCAATATGGGATCGATTATTTCTTTCCAGACTTCTTGATTCCCTGCTGACCAGTGTTCATAGGGCCTTTCTTGCCCTTAGCCAGCTCCTGAAGCTCCTTCTTGGCTTTGGCATCTACATTGTACGTTAGCGGCACGGAAACGTATGATCAAGGAGCATGATACTGCGTATAAGGCATACCAGCTTTCTGCTTTTCTCTAAAAGCAAGATCCTCCTCATCAAGCTCCCTTTTCTCTTTCTTTGGGGCCTTGAGGGGTTTGGCCTTGCCGCCTGGAGTGGGGTGAGTCGTCGTTAGAACAGAGGCTCGAACAGAAACATAGGCGCGGAGACAGTCAGCTTACCTTCACGAGATGCACCACCCATGGCTGCTTGAGCTTGGCCGTTTGTCAGAGGATGTGTCGAGGGAGTGAGTTGCGTTTGATGGAAAAATTCCAGCGTTGCCGTTGGAATCCTCAGTCGTAGCCTCGAACTGATAAGATCTTTTTCTGTTTGGCGCGAAAGGAGCTAGTCCTGTTTGGGCCTAGTGGAAGAACCTTTTTTTGCCTCACTCTTCTTTTGACATCGCCAACTTCGAACACCAGAACAAGCCACTCGCTGTCTGCAAACACGGCGACATCTTTGCCATCTCTCTCATTCTCTCCCTCTACGCTGTCATCGGCAGGTTTATACAGCCTCTTTCGCACATCAAGCCAAGATAAATTACTCTTTACCCAAGAAATGCCTCTTGCAAAGTAAGCTGGTTGGAAGTCAAGTTTGTTGAGTTGAATGCCATCCACATTCGCCCAACACTATCTTCATTTAGCTATTCCAGTCAAGAAAAGCACAAGCAGAACTTGGGAGATTCCTTGACTAACCGAATCACCTTTTATTTCCTTATAAGCTCGTTTCGATTTTTCGATTAAGCCAACCGTACCGAGTCGAAATTTTGGTGATGGCTGCACAGCGGTCAAGGTCTCCATCGGTCCCATCAGAGGGTGAGATCATCGAGTCAGACTCAGATACGAAGGCAACTACGTCGCAAACCTCTCTTTTTAATGACACCAACGTTGACCGTAACCCCAGAAACGATGCTCTACCTCCAAAGTCCCCTAGTTCGCGGCCGTACCGCTCTGAACGCTCAAGGTCCCGCTCGCCATACTACAGATCTTCTCGCGGCGAAAAACGAAGACGAGATGACTACTATGACTATGATAGGGGCAATCGTGGGGGGCGTGTGAAGTTCTCAAATGGCACATACGATGACAGCTACCATCGCCGTGGGAGTTCTCGTAGGCACAACCAACGGCCATACTACGATCACGATAGGAACGATAGCTATGACCGGGGCAGCCGGCATTTGCAGTATAGCGACGATTACGACAGGAGGCCAGACAAACGTCCGAGAACGCGAAGCCGTTCTCCTTACCGAGACCCTAGAAAACAGAAACAGTACTCGGGTGATGAAGCCTCAAACAAGGACGCCTTGGAGAAAGATGGCAAGGGCATGGCCCGCGGGCAGATGGAGATTAAGTTGTCTACAGAACAGTCAGTGAGCGAACGAGGAAATCCCTCAGTTAACGCTCAAACTTGGAAGCAAAAGGCTGAAAATGGAGAATCTCAGATACAGCAGAATCGTTCCATCACTGAAACTAGTACAGATGATAAGTAAGTGGACTCACTCTACTCAGACTCTGCCAGTCTATCGATGACCTTACTAATTTTTCCCTCTTAGACCGTCTGTTCAAGGCAAAGACGAGGATACTGAAATGTTCATAGAACCAGTTGATGAAGCTACACTGATTGAACAACGACGGAAACGCCGTGAAGCTATAAAGGCTAAGTATCGTGATGCACCGAAGCCTCTTATCGTCCAAGCTTTGAAGCCTGTCAACCCACCCGAGTCCGCGACAAATGGCTCTGCTAAATCCACTTCAAATGCAGATGAAGCTGGTAAGGTTTTTCGTCGTTCAATATATATTCAAGTAGCGTAACTAATGATTATATAGCATCATCCGCCCCATCACCAATGATAACTCCTATTGACACACCCGGCTCGCAGTCACCTGCTAATTTTGAAGTTTCAAAGGATGAGGATCTTGCCAACACGGATTTAAGTGATAGGAGTGGAATCAATAAGGAAGAACCGTGTGCCGCTGATTATGACCCGACTTCCGATATGAGAGAAGATAAGAAGAGACATGACAAGCGTCACTTTGGAGATGATCTTTCTGCTGCCTCTTATGACGAGACTAAGACGGGCCAACTTACTACAGCTGCTCAAGAAGCAGAGAAACCGAATCCAGTAAATGTTAAAGATGATTTCGACATGTTTGCCGAGGGTGACGACGATATTTTTGCTGAAGAGCCGCCGTCGTCTATGCGGCCAAATGGCCCAACGGGAATTCCAAAGGCCCAGGAACTAGACATGAGCATGCTCGATAATTGGGATGACCCTGAAGGCTACTATAACGTCATGCTGGGTGAGTTGATCAACGGTCGGTATCATGTTCAGCAGATCCTAGGCAAGGGAATGTTCTCTTCCGTTGTACGTGCTACAGACTCGAAGACGGGGAAACTGGTGGCAGTGAAGATTGTTCGGAACAATGATACCATGAGGAAAGCAGGCATGACGGAAATCAATATACTGCAGTTGCTACAAAACGCAGACCCTGAGGACAAGAAACACATTATCAGGTTTGACAGACATTTTGACCACAAAAATCACCTGTGCATGGTTTTTGAGAATCTCAGCATGAACCTTCGCGAGGTCCTCAAGAAGTTTGGTAGAGATGTTGGTATCAATCTACGAGCCATCCGAGCGTATGCTCAGCAAATGTTCCTCGGCTTAAGCCTTCTTCGCAAATGCAACATCCTCCACGCAGATATTAAACCCGACAACCTTCTGGTTAATGAGAATAGAAACATTCTCAAGATATGTGACCTTGGTTCTGCCTCCCTCGCCTCAGAAAATGAGATCACCCCTTATCTCGTCAGTCGGTTCTACCGAGCCCCTGAAATCATACTTGGAATACCATATGATCATAGCCTGGACGTCTGGTCTATAGGCTGCACATTATTCGAGCTTTACTCGGGGAAAATACTTTTTACAGGACGCAATAACAACCAGATGCTCCGGTCCATCATGGAATGCCGCGGCAAATTTCCGCCCAAGTTCCTACGACGCGCAACCCTGGCACATCTACACTTTGACGATCTTCTCAATTTCCGCAGTCTCGAGGAAGACAAGATTACAGGCCGCATGGTGACCAAGATCCTTGACTTTAAGAAGCCCTCGCGAGACCTGAAGTCTCGGTTGATTGGGAAAGGGGCCAGACTCAATGACGCAGAATCCAAGGAGATAATGATGTTCATTGACCTCCTTGACCGATGTTTGAATCTGAACCCAGAGAAACGCTGTACTCCTTCGGAAGCACTTCGCCATCCATTCATTGCCAGGCATAGCAAAGTTTGAATCTGGTAAAGTACAGGCGATCTCCGGAAGGCTGGTGAATATTGGGGAAATTCTGCGTGTCCCGCAAATCTCAGCCATTAAGTCTGATCCGTTTGAAACTGAAAAAGCATGGATACGGGCACACCGCGTCTTTAGTCTATAGGACAGATATATATATATATAAAATTTAGCATTTCTTTTACATATCTTTTAGCTGTCCACTATCGAATACACTAAGCATCCATGTAAAGTCCTTTGTTGCAGGCGATGGTCGGCCGATGAAGACTAGTTGACGGTTAAGTTTGCAGTCGTTATCCGAGAGGTCATGCGTCCCAGCATGCGCCACATACGATCGCACTTTCGCTGTCGAGCCTCGTAAGCAGCCTTCGTCGCATTCTGGAAGCCCCGTGGCTTAGTTAGCCAGCCGTCTGTTCCCATTAGTGATAGTTGTCGCTCGCTTGCAACGGGCAACAGACCTTCTGAACATCTCTATGGGGGGGGGGAACTCCAGCTCATCACCTGACTGATCATTTTCTAAGGTTCAACGTCGGCCGAAGTGCTTTTTGGTCGCTGGAGGATCTATCTTTCTGACAATCTCGATAACGGCCGAAACACCAGCCGTAATGTGATATTCGCATGGTACGTACAGAGATGCCCAAAGGAGAAGCCAGGTAGGCAAGCTAAAACTGGAGACATGCTGGCTGTGATGCTGATCCGGCTTTGTTATCATAGATAGAGAGGAGAAGTACGCCGTCCTCTGGACACACAAGGCTGTATATTTCTACAGAGTACTCCGTATGGAGCAACCAATATGTACAACTAACTACGTATTCCATGTGCATGCAGCATGCAGCATGTTGGAGACGCGGGCCTTAACAAGAAGCTGACGCCATGTTCGAACACGGAGGATTTACTGCCGTCATTCATGCTCCATGGACATGGGAAAGAGAGAGAACCCTCAGATGAAAGCGCATGAATAGTGTGCAAAAATGGAAGTCATGTCATGTTCCACTCTGCAGTCGGGCGTCACGCATAAAGAAAGGCGTTTCACTTAGCCTTGCAAGTCATACGTGCGAGATCCCTCGGGATTCAGTTCAGCCGTTAGCCTCCCATTCTCCTTCGCTTAAAGGGCTTTGCTTTGACGGCGGCGGCAGCAGCAACACCGGATGGGGAAAGTAATGCTCATAGGGCAATATCCCGGGCATGAAACGACGATAATTTAGGCACCCAGACGGGGAAATTATTATTATTAGGTTCCAGGTGGACAAAAGGAGTATCCTAGTCAAGCGCCCGGGAAGCCGGCGCAGTTACATAGTACGTTTCAGATGGACGGGGTGAACTCACATCTTTTATGCTACTATTAACCGGGATTGATAATCATATAGCAAGAGACCATCGAAGGTGATAAGTCATATTCAGAGATCGTGGGCTCACAACGGTCCCCAACGCTTCCCCCTTCAAAAAAGAACAAGAACATATCAAATTAAAGGTGTGGATATCAATTTAAAATGCAACCATGCGGTTAGGTATAGGGGTGTTAGCATTATTAAATGCACAAAAAGCAGGGGTAGAGTGAGCTCAAGCAAGCTTCAAGATCCAAGATGCCTCACAGCCCATACAACCAGGGCACCTGGGAGCCCGGACATGCACCGTGGTGCTCTTCATCGATGAGCTGAGACCACGGAGATGCGGAAACATGGCCTCTCAGACACTGCAAAGCCCTGGTTCCTGGTCATAATAATCAATGCGAGGCGACCTAAGGTGGTCCATCTCTCGTCTCTTTCGCGGACGAGGACAGGCCCGATCCGCCCCGCACGTTCTTACTCAATCGACTGCATAGGCAGCCAGTGCCAGCCATGTCGATAATAATAACAGAGCATCAGCATCTCCAAGGGTATACGTCGCTGCAGAGCTAGCGGGAAGTATGAAGATGGGATCTGATAGTCCTAAGCCGTGAAACGGAATTCTCAAAGCCAGAGTTCCCCGTCTAGAACGGATCTGAATGACGTGGGAGTGGTCTTCGACTAATTTGAACGCCCCGGTACCTCAATGACTATCACTAATCGAGCTTCGCTACGCCCGAGCCCGTTTTCTTTTGAGATGGACATGGCTCCCGTTACGGTGATTGTTCGCGCATACACTCTGACCGTTGGGTATAATGATGAAATGATGAGACAAGAAACTGAAGGAAGAAAAGAAAAGACGGCTCCAGGCTATTGCAAATAGCGTCATATGCAAAATATTAATAGTGTCACTCGGTTGCTCAAACGAATATGCAATAGAGCAACAACCGTTATCGTGTATAGGTTACTCCCGGCAACGGCCGAAGGGCAGGGAAGCCAGAGGGAGGAGAAGAGGGGGACAGCAAGAGATCTCTTCCCACCTCTACGGAGTATCTATCTAGCACCATTTTCATCGCCTTTGGACAATGAAAAAAAAAAAAATAAAATGCTTGCCACTCTGCATGTCTCATTAGAAACCACAGATGCGCCCTGCGGTGTCGTAGAAGAGCCTCTACACAGCGTGACATTTTGGACGTACCAGCATGCTGCGGTATGTCGAGGGACTGCACATCTGAGAAAGCCGTTCTGTACTCTGTACAACAGCAACAGCAACAGCTGGACACCTCCAATATCAACGCCCTTATGACCCTGCGCCAGGCATCCAAAAAAAAAAAATGTCACAATGTCACACCAGCATGCAAACTAGCAAAAGCTTGGCGGATTAAGGTGGTGCCCTGAGCTTTTGTCCAAGCATTTTCCTCCTCCCAAGTTCAATTTTCATGCAAGGCCGTGGGGATCCCATCGCCCGCTCCGTACAACGCCCAGCGCCCTTGAGCATCGGGCTAGCGCTATGCACGAGGACGGTGCAAGTGGGCTAATGGCTGGAGACAGCCGTCGGCTATAGCAGTACTACTTCTATCCTGGCTCAGCAGCAGTGGACCGACCAGTCGGAGAAATAACAGTAGCAAGATGAAGTGATACAGGCTGAGCAGATCATATATTGGCCATCATTGTGAGTGGGTAAATGGGCGCCCTCTGTTTGACATTGCGATAGCATGAATGGCTCTCTTCCTGTTCCTTTTGGGACGACTTGCAGGGAAGTCTGGCTGAGTAACTGATAACTGCTTGAAGACAGCGGCCTGCCTGACTTTTCTTTTCACCCTCTCCTGTACTCCGTACAGCACATGACATGCGAATAATGATCTTCAGCTGGGGGATTGATACGCATACCTGATGGAGGGCAAACTGCTGGCCAAGTGTGGAAATAATGTGGCTATATACACATACTTCCAGCCAGGCAGTGCGCTATATGTGTCCATCGTATCACTATGCAGCCACCTCCAAGGGGAGTAATGAAGAAAAGGTTATCTATATGTTCAAAAGTGGGTGTTTGAATTCCCAGGCAGGATGGAACCATGATGGGCTGGTTCACCAGGCACATCCGCAAAAGCTACTGATATTGCCTCTCTACAGCCTGTGATGTATACTTCAAGTACTCAGTATCCAGGACCCAAGACGGCCACGATAACTGAACAGGCTACACACACACAAACAAACAAACAAACACATCTGGGGCCATGGTTTTCTTTGGCTGCTAGGAAACGTATCGGAGCTATCCAAACACCTTGTGCCTTTTTAAGGTTCGTGTCACTGCATAGGTCGTGGCTGGACGGGCTTTTCGGTGGACGGGAAGACCGGTAGCAAGTCCTCACATGCGATCTCATTGGACCGACGTGTCACCGTTTGAATAGTGTACTCTTCAAGCAATATGAGGGAGGTTGGTGGGTGATATAGCTGATCAGGAGATGTACAAGATGAAGGGGGGAAAGGCTCAAGTTTAACTCAGGATCTCTCTCAAGTCACATCTTTCTCTCAGCTAAGGAAGACCGCCCCCCACCCTCTCTGAGGGAAAAAGGATGAAAGGATAACACCTTACCCTGTATGTTGGGATATTACTTTACCCGTAACTCTTGAGATAGAGTTAACACGACGTTGCACAGGTATCTGCTATCCTGATGCCCATATCCTAATCGGGGCTAGGAAGGAGAAGGCCATCCATGGATTGATGCCCAGGGCAGCTCAAACCGAGATCTGTGCGTCCTATTGGGGAGCCGGGTCGATGGTAAACTGCAAGAAGGAGAAACCCGAGCTGAGGTTTCTCTTCTCTTTTTGGGTTTGGGAATGAGTGAAAAAGCAACCACAGGTCAGTTTCCAAACAAACAGACAACGGGAGGAATGGCGAAAAAAGAAATAAACTACGGAGTAGGGAGTTTTCTTTTATTGTAGCGGGTGTGAGGGGAGAGTGTTGTCTCCATGAATAGTCGTGGGTGGGATATCAAACTTCTTTCTCCAGGCCAAGAATACGGACGAAACCGAAGCTGTGCATCGTCCGCACGAATGTCAGATGCATTGTTGGGCCTGGAACTACCTCGTGGAACATCTGATAGAAGTGCAGGTGGCCATAACTGCACCTTCAACACGCTGAATTCCGTATTGCGGGAAGGAAAATCGATATCTGTTCTCAAATTAGGACCAAGCCTGCCTTTCCAACCTTCTTCGACAGCCCCTGAGGGAAAAGAAACGGGACGGGCATGCACAGGTCATGGACGAGACCCCCAATAACCATCCCGTCTGTCAGAGGCCGGTCACCGATTCATTAAGGTTGCTGAAGTCTGGGTATCGAGGATGTAGCATCAACCTTTTCCTCTGTATTTGGGAGAAGATAGAGACAAGCGAAGGCTGGACATTGATGACGACTCCTCCAAGGCTGGGGGAGGGGGACTGGAAGGGGGTATTATTGGCATGAAACCAAACATACATTGAACTGACATCTACAGTAGGAGACAGGCAGCGCAAACACATGGTCAAGGCCGCTTTTCTCCAGGCCTGATCGAGATGTTGAATTTCTTTTGAAGCTCCAGATTGATCTAACTATGTAAGTCGTGACTTTGCAGAAAAACGCGGGCTGAATAACCAACATCCCGATATCCATATCTTGATCTGCATGAAAACCTTCTATCTCGCCTGCAGTGCTCCGTGGCTGCATATATACCTCGACGCACCAGCCCATATTAACTCCCCTACATTTACGGAGTACACACCAGTACTCCATACTCTGTGCAAAAAGAGATGTCTATGCTGCCGTGTTTTCCTTTTTTTCTATATCTGTTCAACCGCCAATCACTGTTGTTCATTCATCCAGGGTTCAGGACTTGATATCTAGCAGGATCTTACGTATTTCCCAAGAATCCATGCAACTTTGTCCATACACACACATATCTGTCAGTCAGTGAATGTATGTGTTTGAATGTATGAAGCGCTCCATACACCATTCATCGAACATGTATCTTGTGCGCAACTGGTCAAACATCCAACGAAGCCAAAACCAATATACAAGGGGCGAATGATATCATGCCAAAAGTTACTCGTATAAGGAGTAATTTCCTCCCATCATCCTGCTCCTCAACCGATACACTGGCGTGGATAGAGGTCCTTGCTGCTGGTTCATAATCTCCACTATAAACGGAAAGGGGGAAGGGTAGAAAGGGACAATCGCGCAACAGCGAACATGGATTGATACTCAATGCGAAAACTCTTTTAAAACACATAACTACTTGTATTCTCGACCAGCCTCTCCATCCCCATAACCCTGGTAGTCGGGGCAAGGAGGCTGGGAGGGAACAAAAGGAGAAACACGGTCGATCAACGTGCAAGCCATTCCCCGGCAGCAGCTTATGTTGTCCAATTTGCTAAGTATGCTTGTCGAATTGAATCTTGCGCTTTGATGCCGGGGCCCCTTGCTCTTTCATGGACGGAACGGGTTGCAAGGACAGTCGAGAGATCCCGAGGGTTAATATCGTTCTTTAATTAAATTCCCCTCCATGGAGGTTGCGGTATATGCACGAAGTTTGAGTGTCTGTGCGCTAATGGAAGCCTTGTTACCTGGAAGATAGAGAAGATCATTACTCCATGGCCCTATACAGAGGATACCATACTCCGTACTAAGTATAGCATCGCCATGTCGACAGCATTGTTGCTGGATTCTGGAACAACTTAGTCATATCCTTGCTGATTGATGATGTATTTCTTTTCGGTCATTGATGTTGTAAGCTTCATGCTTTCAACAGAATTTGTGTATCTGTACGGAGTATACGAGGATTCTTTTCTGACATGTATACAATCCTGCTTTGACTTGACCATCCAACCTCGCACATGGCTTTCCCGTCCGACCAGTGCGAAGTAGTATAGTTGGTGAGCGTATGTATGCAAGTGTGCCCACCTTGAAACGACAAACACGGCACGGACAAAAAAAAGGTTAAGCGGGCATGAGCTGGGGCTGAATTTGTAGCCTCTGTGATAACAGCATCGTCCACATTGATACCACTACTAACCAATCGGCCATTCGTAAATAGTTGGCATTTCAGCCAAAAAAAGGGACGGAGCGTGTTCGCATTTCGAAGTACTTTAACGCAGCCGTCAAGGGTGATTTCCCCATGCTTAGTGATGTGGGAGAAAAAGGCCTCATCTTGGAATTGAAGGTAAAAAAAGGAATCCATCGATTCCCTCGCACGTTCTCAATGGGCACAACTCACATACGGATATTCCATCCTTGAAGATGCAAGGAGGCGCTCCTCCAGCTTCCCAATTTGTTCGCTTAAAATATTATCCATTCAACCATCAGTCGCGCAGCTTGGGAGGCCTTGTTTCTTCTTCCAAGGGAGAAAGAAAGAAACTGCAACGTCATGTTGGAGAAGTGAAAGACGTACTTCCTTGCCTTGCATGCAACGATGGCGATGCCGAAGGAGAGGATGATCGAATGGAACGTTCCATATACGAGGCAATGGAAACCCTTCCAAGGCTGGAGAATGACTCCGTAGTCAGGGCCAATATTGATGCTTCGTCGCTACTGGAGACAAATTCTCCGACCCCCTTCGAGACTATTCCCATCCAAGACGAAGGGCTGTGCTTGGTGGCTTTTCCTCTCTCCTTTCTTTTTACCCTTGGATCATTCTTGGTCCGTCCCGTAATGCAAGCGATGTTGATAACTCACATGAGAGATAATAGCTGGAGCAGAGATGATCCGGGCCAAACTGCAGCCGACCCGTGTTTTCTGGTTGCCCTCGTCAGGATAAAATGTAACTCGTCCATGTACGGGGTACTCCATACAGAGTAGCCTTCTTGACGCTCCATCTTGCATACTTTTTCTTCCTTTTGCTAGTCGCTGATGAAAGGATAATGATAAGAAGCAAAAAGGTGGCGCGAAGTTGAAGTTGAAGACGAGGATGAAAAGGCGGTGTCAAACTGCCGAAGCTGAGCCGAGCCGAGGCTGGGCAGAAAAGGGGACGAGGGATGGCCCGAAAGGGAAAAGTCATGATGAATAAGCATCACATGACATACTGCTTATATAAGACATGAGATGGCCGAAAGAAGCAAAAATAGACAACATCCAGAGAGAGAGCGCGAGAAAGACGGCAAGTCGAAGAGCAAGACGAAAGGCGATACTCCGTACGGAGATTGATAGAGAGACAAGACGGGGGCCAATAGCCGACAGGGCTTCTTTGAGACAAATGGAGCTTGACGCCCTCCAGTACTAGCCAGGTCAGGGAGCTGGTTGCCTGACTTTCAACGCTCTTTTTTCCCTCGCTACCTGTCTTCTGACCATCTGTCCCCTTTTCGAACCCTTGCCATCTTGACCTGTACGTCAAGCCCAGTTTGAAATTCGATGAGCATTAGTGAGAGTCTAATATAGATAGTTGTGCTAACAATGGGCGTATATAAATAGAGATGACTCGAACAGCTTGCCAAGTCCATGCACAAACCAGTGGCTGAATAACGCGAGATCAGTGCTTGTTGTAGAACGCTCGACATCTCCCTTCGATCAGCGCCTGTAAGGAGCTGTGAAATCCTTGGGAGGAAGTTTTTTGGATATTCGTTTACTTAAACCCACAGGAGGATGTGCCTCCTGCTTAACACAAGATCAGCGGGTTAAGTCCTCTCTCCATACGGATATACAGGAGTCAGCTCTTGCCGGTTGTGCGTCTTTATGCGTGGCGGGCTAAAATTATGCAACGAAATGCCGTATCCAGTGGGGACCACATCATGGTGATAACTCATGTATATCGTACATTAGTGACCACGCTCCATGCAGCACTCCTCTATCCAACGAGAGCGAGCGAGATGTGTGATGGAAAAGGCTGGTCAAAGAACTAACGACTCCCTTTTCCAGGTGACTTGGTCGCGCGAGGCAAAAAGGGCCCAAGGAGTTGGTTATTATCACTGACGGAACGAGAACGAGCCTCAGCCCAAGAACTAGGCTCACCCATGGAAGTGCGAATGAACCATGGTGGTGGTTCGAGTCCAGAGTACGTTATTATTCATACGCCGATGGCAAGCTAGAGCAAGCTTTGGTAGCAAGTCGTATCCAGACTCTGGGTGAATGGACGGAGTTGAAAGATGGTTAAGATGAGAAACCAAGACGAAGGCCTGCCCTTTTCAGTCACCCTCCGCCCCATGTCAAGAGTATCCATGTCCATGTTCGAGTCCCAGGCCAGGTTCTGTACACTGTTAGCTTCTCTCCCAGCCCGTCACCGACACACGCACACACACCAAACAGATCGATGGACAGACGCAGGACGTAAGTCGGACGTGACGAGGTTCATCCTTCCACGTCTGTTGGCTTGGGCCTTCAACTTAATTTATGCGAGGGACTCGAAGCAACCTTTGCAGGGATGGGTCCATCATGAGCCAACGAACAGAAAATCAGCCACATTCCGTGCTTTGCTTTTCCTTCGGATGATGGATGCAAAGTTGCCTATTCTGGGGTTAGTTGGAGAGAGTGTGTGTATGACTCTTTGGCGCTAGTCAAGATGATGCCCATGGTATGGGGAAGGGTGGGGAGCGGCGGTCGCAGAGGGAGGGTAATTCCCATCATCGATAAGGATACGCGAGTTTCTTATTCTCCTTGTTAGTCAACGTCGACTCGCGGCCCCCTTCAAGGATGTTGGGCCAACCATCGCTTTGGCGCGCCTTGCCCTGGAGGGTTTCTCCCAGCCCTTGAGCACGGAGAATACTGACCGAGCCCATAGGATAACGGACATTCATGCGCTGTAAGAAGTCGATAAGAGGCGACAGGTCTTGGCAGGGATCTTCCCACTGACGTTCTCTTTTGCATCTTCTTTGGGATGTAACTACTCCGTACTTCTCTTGACCAAAAGGAGAACTATGGAAGGGATTATTAAGAAACTAGCCACTGCCACGACATGAACTATTCTTTGTTGGCTCAACCTGCTGATGCAAATAGCTTGAACTGCGCCTTTGCATAGAGTACGGATACGGATGAGATAAACTGCGAGGGAATGGGAGCGTAGCCGCTGAGTCTCAGGATAGGAAATGAGAGACTCCGTAGTAAGAAGGGTCCCTTCACCGACATCATCAACATCTCCTGAGAGTCAGTCTAGCTGATGGAAGAAGTCTCCAGCAAGTCATATCCCAACAACCCGAACGGTGGTTCCTGAATGCGTACTTTTTTTTTTTGATCACCGAGATCAGATGAGCAGTGTCCTTCTCCCTGAAGCTACCCAATGGCAATTGCCACAATAAACTTCGCATAATCTCCTAGCCACCTCTTCCAGCGAATCAGGCACAAGGCTACGTTGGCTTGAGCTGGCTTCTTTCCAGTCAAAAATCTCGTCAAGGCAGCAGAAACAACAGAAGAAGCAAAAAAAAGTTTCTTAAAGTGGACAGAGAATGAGGATGACACCGCTAGAAATAGAAATACGTGTTAAGACAGAAATTGCATTTAATATGGTGATGGTCTATTGAAGCCCAGGGGATTCTCCGCACGATCCTTGCACTGAAACCAATACAAGGTCACCAGCCGTGTTCGAAAAGGGCCCAAGGTCACCAGTTAGATTTCAGCCCGATCATCCAACATGGTACAGGGGCAGTGTCATGCATGCAAAATTTAATAAAAAAAAAAAAAGCATACATAGCAATTTATAACAGCCATGATATGAATCAGATTGCTTTTTGCAAAGTTCCCGAGGCCAGCACAGAGTGATGGAATCTACGCAAGCAAGGACATCCAAGCCCCAAGGAAACAGATCGACTTCTTTCTTTTTTACTGTTTTTGATTCGTGTCCAGAGGGCTATCATCAACATGACCAAGCTTCGAAGTGCACCACCCAAGAACCACAAGCCTCCTGGCCTCCCCAATAATCGTTGCTCTTAATTATCCACAGGGCATGCCGAAGCTCCGCAAGCCTCGCATCGCACCAACTCTGCATGTCGAGTCTCTTTCTCTTCGTCAAATCAACCCTTCGGCCACCTCTGTTCTCTGTCCTGCACTGCGGGTCGCTAAACTAGTTAGTTGAATGAAAACCCAAGGGCCAGGAAGGGGGGAGCAGGACGTTATGCAGTGCCGCCTATCATCACGCAGGAAGAAGGGCATCCAAGGCAGTTAACTTCTCACTCTTCTCACCACAACCAGGCTTTGATCTGAGAGATGACGGTTATGTTTTGCCTCACCGCAGCAGGGTCGATAATTTGGAGTCACTCAGAGATTGCTGCTCGATGCTCCGTATACAACCATGCACACCCAACATCCATCTTGCATAATGGTAATACTCGAAGCCTGGCCAACTAGACTAGCATTAACTTTCCCTTTCCCTTGTTGAACTGTGTTTGCTTTCGTTTCTTTTTCCTTCTGCTGCTGCTCCTTCGAACTGGACTGTTTTTACTCTTCTGCCTTTTTTCTGGATCAGGTTGGACAGAGATGCTGACATCAGAGCCCAAGGAAGATGAAGAAGACGAGGAAGAAGAAAAGAAAGCCAGCCATGCTCCACCGCAGAGGTAAATCTCCACGGGCCACACGGCACTGTCCACAGTATCCTGGCTTCGTGTGTCTCGATTTGCCATCTTGCCTGCCGTTTGATTCGTTCCAGAAAACACCATCGATCTTTGACCTGTTTCGTCTTACGACTGGGAGTCGACGCAAAAAAAAAATAAAGGGTCCACGTCAGGGAACGAGAAGGAAAAGGCACCATTCAGCTTCCAATAAGGGTAGCCAGGAAGACCAAGATTGGCGCTTAGTTAAGCTGGCCTACCTTCTCCTTTAACCTTCAGCGCGACCATCCATCGCCCTATATGACAAGAGAACTCGTTCATATACGCAACCGTTGTCAACAAATCCTGATTCAGCCGAAACATCCCAGGGTGGAGAAGCAGTCTGTCTTCTATATGATGTGGACACGGCTAGTTTCATCATAGGGCCAACATGCTCCACGAACCCCATTGGCCGTCCTTGATTAGGTAACAGCCATGGTCGACCTCAAACTTCGTGTGAGCACAAGCTACGACAACATATACGGAGTACGCAGCACTATGTACTATGTAGGTAGGGGCTCAAAAGAGACAAGGAAAAAGAAAATCTGAAAAGGAACGACAGCAGAGAACAGTGAGCAAAGAGGCAGATGTGCATGATTAGCGCCCTTCTGAGCGAAAGGAGAAAGGGGGGGGGGAGGAGGAGGGAACGATCTTTTCGTTTCTCTTGCTGCTCTTTTTTTTTTTTACTATGCAGCCACTGCATTGACCCGCCGTCTCTCCCCTCTGCATCAAGGGGGGATAACAGCCGGGGACTCAGCGGACGGAGAAAGGCAGAAGCTGCAGCAGAAGGACACCCAGCATCAGCCAAAGAGAGAGTGTGTGGAAGACCCACGCCCCAGGCTTGCTTCAGCGCAGGACAGTAGTGCAATTTCGCTCGCAGTGTCTTGCTCCTGCGAGGATGGCTGGCGCAGACTAGCCATTGGCGGGCGCCCTGCAGATTTGCTTTTTCCTGTTATATTGTACACATCTCCATCTTTCTCTTCTCTCTTCTTCCTTTTTCCCGTCGTTTCTTTTTCCTTCTCTTTTGCTTTTTTTTTTCTTTTGCAACAGGTGTGACCCATGGACCATCTGGCAGTGGCGTTCCCTTTCGCTCGTCCCCCATGGAGCCTGGTCCGCCTTGTTTCTTACGGAGCTAAGCTGCGTGAAGGACCGACTCTGCACCAATCATGCTCCATCTCCATCTTTAACCCGAGGCCGCTTGCGGTACCCTCAGATAGAGGTATTTCCCGCCACCACCTGCCTGCCTGCTCCCCCCCAGCCAGCGATAGGGAGAGTTGTGTGTGAGATGGGCGAGCAGTGACGATTCTACACTAACCCTTGGAGGCCCGCTGCTCCCTCTCGGCATTTCTATCTTCCTCCGATTATATGTACCTATCCATGCTCGGACACTCATCATCATCATCATAGTCATCTATATCCTTCCCGTCTCGCCCTCCAATTCACCCCATTTCTTCTCCCCTTGCACGTTCCTTTTCCTGTTATCAAAGTCTTGATCACGGTCCTTTAAACCCAAAACTCCCTCCTCTCCCTATCGCTCCTCTTTCCGGCTCTGGAACTAGCTCTCCCTATTTCTCTCCTCTGCTACGACTGTCATCATCGCCCTAAGGTCTTTTACTTGGCCATCCCCTACCAGTCCCATATCGCCTCCGCTTCGCCTTGATTTAAAAATACCCGTCTCTGCCGTTTTACCCTTTTTTTTTTTTCGCCTCATCCACCAGTTCTGGACCTCCCAGCCAACCAACCACAAGGACCTTAAACCTTCTCAAGCAAAACCATACTTAGCCGCAGAGATATATATACCTTTCGTTCTTTTTCGTTTCGTGCCCTATATTACCCTGCCTCCTACCTATCCTACCTTCCTCTCAAGATCGATAACGGGCCAGATGGACTCCTGAGCCATAGGAACATCATCCCGCTCTCTCACTGTCTCACTCTCTCTTTTAATATACTCCTTTCTCTCTGCGGGTGTTGTCGACAAAAAACAAAAAAGGGTTCGTTTACTTGATTCTTTTCTTGGGAGCTTTTATTTTGGACCACATTGCCACCTCCGGACTTTGGAATACCCCTTCTACCTTCCTCTCCTTTTACCATCAACCAACCAACAGTTATATACGTCCGCAACTTGCTTTGCCCCTTTGAGGTATAACAGGCCATGCATCTCCCAACTCCACCACAGTCACCCCAACCAGTCTCCTATTGCGATGCTCCAGAGGACAAGCTTGGGCTACTCCTAGCCAACCGACTAGAGCTTACCGGCATACTGGGTGTAGGTGCTTATGGAGTGGTATATTCTGCTATCGACATCCAGACAAATACTCCATATGCCGTCAAGGCATTGAACAAGGCCGGCCTGGATCCCAGACAGCGAAAGTTCCAGCAACGGGAAATCAAACTACATCATATGGCCAGCCATCATCCCAACGTTGTTTCTTTGGTCCGCATCATGGATTCTCATGATTGTACTTTTGTTGTTATCGAGTTTTGTCCAGAGGGCGATCTGTTTTCCAATATCACCGAACGAGGCCACTTCGTAGGAAATGATTTCCTAGCAAAGAGGGCCTTCCTCCAGATTTTGGATGCCGTTGAATTCTGCCACAGCATAGGGATCTATCACCGGGATCTGAAGCCGGAAAACATACTGGTGTCTGACCGTGGGATGAACGTTAAGCTTGCGGACTTTGGCCTCGCAACAACAGACGCCTATACATCCGACTTTGGCTGTGGCTCTACGTTCTACATGTCTCCTGGTATGTATTTATTTCCCATTGATTTGGTCTTTTTTTTTTTACTCTGACTAACAGTTGGAATAGAATGTCAACAATCCACCCCAGCCGCGTATGCTTCTGCCCCCAATGACGTTTGGAGTCTTGGAGTTATCCTGGTCAACTTGTCTTGCGGCCGCAACCCCTGGAAACGAGCTTCTCCAGAGGACCCTACCTTCTTGGCCTATCTAAAGAACCCACAGTTCCTGAGGACAATCCTTCCACTATCCGTGGAACTCAATGCTATCCTGAGACGCATCTTTGAATGTGATCCTCAAAAGAGAATCACGATCCCGGAGCTGCGCAAGTTGATCCTGGAATGCCCAAGGTTTACTGTCCGCCCATCGGTCCCAATCCTCTCCCCAGTGGTCACCCCTCCAACCCAGAGCTTACAGTGCCTCAAGGAGCCAGTAGAATTTGTGCCATTCAACAACTCTTACCCTCCATCCTCACCAGCAGCAGAGCTCATCGAACCACAATACTCCAGTTCCGCTGTTTCAGACACCTCTTTGTCTGACGATGACTCGGTCTCCTCATGCTCGTCAACTGAATCCATCAGCAACTTCCAACATCGCTTCGTCCCTGCTGTTATCCCACCTAACTTTTGGGGCTCCTTTATTCCTATCAACCACCCCGGGCAGAAGCTGACCACACGACATAGGCCTCTGGAGCAACCCATGCCTATCACCGTTCAATCATAATTTCGCCTGGACTTCGAATCTTAATTTTACGCCAACGAATCTCCTTTCAATTAACCTTTCTCTGCTTCGGAATATACGTTTCTTAACCAGTTTAATATTCTTCCGATGGACCCTCCCTCGAAAACAATACCAAGGAGTTTTAACGGACGGGGCCATTCTACTTTTTTTCATCACCACGGTTCCAGTTTGGATTTTAGCTGACAAGCTCCCGAGAAGAAAAAAACACCGCTTTTTCGGAAACGTTTCTTCAATTTCTGCTCATTCCAGCCAGCGTTTGACGAATTTCATGGATCACACTTCTCTATTTCAACACGTGTCTTGATACAATCGCTACTTTTCCTTTGCCTTTTCTCTTCCCCTACATAATATCTATTTTGTGCAGGCTGGGCAATTTTTTTATTTTTTCACTTTTCGTTGCAGCCTATGCCTTTCGTGTCATATGTATTACGTTCACCGGCTTGTCTGCTTTTCTCCTTTTCGTTTGGGACGGATGAAAATGACGAATTAACTTCTCTGGCGTTTTTCATGTTGAAATCCTCGAAGCGGGTTGTTTTTGGGGTTTTTTTCTTTTTGGGGGCGTTTTCATTCAAATACTTGTCTGGGAGGCGGAATACTTTTTTTGCGTGTACTCATGCGGGTTGTTTTAAGATGCATTTGGAGGCCTACTCATTTTTTGCTTACCTTTTTTTCTCCCCTTACCATTTACCAATAGAGGTTTACTTGCGGGAGTGTGTCTTTTGCGTTTTGATGGGATGATGAAATTCTCGCTTTCGAAACTGATACCCAGAATTTATATACATGTTCAACAAAACCCATTATTTTACCCAACTTGGAGCACACGAACTATACCTGTGCATCCAGAAAGATCTGTTTGGATGAACCAGCTATTAAATGCGTTCCTCCATCCCCCTTAATGTATATAGTGACAGTCAATACAAATATTTATAGACTGATCAGCTCCTTGACGACTCTACTTCGCATCCGGACAATGGTCGTACTTCCAGACGTGGTACAGCCTGCTGGTCGCCTTGATAGACAAGAGGAAAGGCAGACTAGGATACCTAACGCCCGTGTTATATGTATCGCATCTTATGTGGTTTCTCTGCGCTGCTCGTGTACAGCTATGGCTGACTATTGCTGACCAACTTGACGCCCGACTCACCTCGCAGCCTCGTCCGTCCCTTTTCTTTTCTTCCAGCGAGGCAGCCAGCCCCAGGGAGAGAGTTAGCCAGTTCGGGATCGATGTCCGTTCGCAGTCCTCCATCGTCTCTCTGTCGCTGGTCTTGTGTCTCCCCGTTTGCTCATCCACTCTCCGTATTCAGATGCAGGGGACTCGAGCTCTTTTCCTAACTGGGTCTATTTTCAGCACTCTTCAAGAAATGATACACTCCCAGTAGCTAGTGAAAGAGAAGATAGCCCCGTCTGGATCTTCTTCCCCTTTCTTTTCCTTCGCTCCCTTTTTTTTTTTTTCTTTTTGGTTTTCGGCATGTCGTCTGGGTGTGGTTATGTATCTATTTCTCCATCTCGGGGCGCTGCTTCCAACCCCCTTTTGGCAAAACGAGGATTTCATCTTCAAGGCGATGCGAGATGTGCAGAGAATAATCCTCCTCCACCACCCCCATACTGCATCTAGCTCGTAAAACGAGTTCGGGGCCATGGTTCCATCCTTCACTAGCGACGACAGATCGGCAGGCTGATAGGCCCTCCCAGGGAGATCAAGCCACTTGGGCAACGCTCGCTGCTGACCGTCGTCCTTTTTCTGACGCAGGCCAGTTCTCAAGCACAAGTCGACCTAGACGCAGCGGACTTTGCAGCCAGAAACGGGCTACTATTGATTCGGTTGGTCATCCGTACATTTCCATTGCAGCCAGGCGGGGCGCAACCCCGTTATTTGGTGATTTGGCTTGAAGAGAGATGCAGCCGTGGGGGCGAAGTTCACGGTGTCTCTCTCGATGGTCTTCTTCGTTTCTTTTTTGCTTCTCAAGACTGAGATGAAATCTATCCATACAGCATGGCGACAGCTAACGGGGTCTAACGAATGTCGGAAAGAAGGCCGTCTCCTGGAGTACGTGAGATGTGAGCCTTGTGCATGAATTAGATTGTTTGCTGATGGAGGATGCTCGGAATACCCATCCTCGCTGGTCAGGGGGCCTTTTGCTCGACATATTGAAATAACTACGGGAGGATATGCTCTGTGTCCAGCATCTTCCGATTACATGGCCAGCTCTTGTTTCCCTGCATGGATTTACTCTTTTCATGCTCGTTTGGTTACGAAGTACTCCGTACTCCGGACTTACTTTCTGGCAATCATCTGTCTATATTGGGCTGCCGAGTCACCTTCTAGCCGATTGCATGTATAAATAAATGCATGTACAGAGTAGATATGCAGATGAAGGGATCACATGGAGTGCAGGAAAAATCATTCGATGTTTCTCGATGACCTCCTACCAGCCATGCAAGTGGTAAGTAGACCCATGAGGAGATACGCTGGCAGCAGCAAGGGTTGGGAAGAAGGAGATGCATGTTTCTTCTTAATCATCGCTGGCATGATTGTCTGCCTGCTAGTCGCCTAGAAAGAAAAAACCAAGACTGTCACCCTGCCGGCTGCCGGCTCCAGGGCTCTGCATCTCCATCTGACAATGCATCCAGGCCTTAAGCAGCAATATGCCGTGGCTCACTTGTTGAATCCCCGGCTGCTTTGTGGGGGGGCATGGCTTCGCTGCATGAAGGACAAGCTGCATAACCATACAACTACTTAGAGATACTATACATATTATGGAGTCTTTCCGTTGCGGATATTTTATGTAACCCCTTTTTTGAAATATAACGGAAATACCTGCTGAATTAAGCACCTCTTAAGTTCAAGGCAGATAAAGACCTTTATTGTCTGCGCACTAGTTAGTCAGAACAGAGACTCAATATCAGGAAGGCTGATATTCAACATATATCCTGTCTATAGTAGAGAGGACTATAAAGGAGGTCCGAGGAAAACAGAGATACCCTCTCCTCAATCATTCATGCGACCCCCTGGCATGGCTTGCTGGGTAGATAATGCAAGAAAATGCTTTAAACCTAGGAGTTCATATAAGGTCATGCCCGGAACCCTCCAGGAAAACCAGTTGGTCGAAGGTTTAAACATTTTAAAGCATGCAGTTTGCATCTGCCTCCTACTCTTGCAATCCTTGAACTTGCTGGGGGTGATAAACCAATGCGGTTGGAACCCAAATAAGGCTGTTGAGATATGTTCAGGATGGACTTAGAAGCAACTGCTGGGGTGGAGATAGCCGTGGGTAAGAACTTAGTCTTAGGTTCAGTGATGTGTACAAGGAAGATGCATAAAGTATGGAGTATATTTGGTCGATTAAGCAACAGGGAGAGATGGGGGAAAGGGGTGTGCCTTGTTCTACGACTCCGCCCGCCTTCCTGTTGTCTACATATTCCTTCCTCCGGTGACCATTATAGTTTGGCCATTGACATAGCTAAACAGTGGGCTGCAGACACCAAGAATAGACCTCGCGGCTTCCGTTGCACTCGCCGCTCGTCGAAGGGGAATATCAGCGTATGCCTCCTGAGACTCCTTGGTCTGGGTAGGCAGCTGAGAGCCGGGGATGCCGAGAGCAACCTTCTCGCCGTCTGGAGTGGTGATGAAGGCCCCGGTCTCCTTGGCCTGGGTCAATCGAGTGAGGACGAATCCAAAGGCAATAGTATTGGCTCGCACACCGAATTTTGGTCCCCATTCCTTAGCAATGGTTTTGGTCAGACCGACCATACCTGCCTTTCCAACCGCATAGTTTGCTTGTCCACTGAGGAAATGCGTAGTTAGAACCTTTTCTTTACCCATTGATTCTCTTTTCAAGCCAGAGAGGGAATGGGCGTGACATACGCGTTTCCATGAATTCCACTGGTGCTGCTGATGTTCACGATTATTCTTGGTTCACCGTCCTTTACCCGGAAGTATGGAGCAGCAGCTTGAACGAGTTTGAAAGGAGCAGTGGCATGAACAGCAATGATGGTGTCCCATTGCTTCTCAGTAAGCTATAATGTGTTTGGTTTGTCAACCAGCTGAGTCCATACAAATATCCAAACAAAATAAAAAAAAAAAGTCAACTGGTACAAATTCGAAGGGGGGGGGTATACGGCACCTTGTGGATGACTCCGTCCCAGGTGAATCCAGCGTTGTTCACGATAATATGGATCTTCCCGTTTCCGAACTCAGCGGCCCTTTGTACGAGTCTCTTCAGGTACGCTCCATCCTGTACGTCTCCTGCAACGGCAATTGCTCTACCAGGAGATGCATCATTGATTGCTTTGGCAACGGCCTCGGCCTTGGCTATATGGTATCATTGATGTATGAGCTTATTCTGTCTTTTTTCCCAGTGTCTACCGAGGAAACCTCATAAGGTATTCATTGGTTCTAGTTGGATATTGGATATGGTCTTACTGACAGCTGTCAAGGTCAGCGACGACAACTTTGGCACCCTCGTTGGCGAAAAGCCTAGCAGCCTCTGCCCCTATGCCCTGTCCCGACCCGGTTATAATGGCTACCTGACCAGCAAGCATGCCTTGGGGGTAGTTGAGGTGCGCAGAGACCTGGGTCAGACGGTCTTGAGGAGCCATGATTGCGTTCGGGGGGGTGCGTACAGGAGTAGCTCGGTAAAGTGGAGATAAGTATACGCAAGAACAAAAGAGAGTGAATATAGCAAGCACAAGGCAAAACAGTGTATACACAATCTATAAGGAGTCGAGATGTAGATGGGGCGATGATGCAGGCCGGCTTCCGAGGCAAGCATGCGGTGTAGAGGAAAGACGACGTTGGGGAGGCCAAGAAGGGGAAATGCCGAGGTCCAGCACAGCTTGCGACTGGGCGAAACACCCGAAAATGCCGACGGGAGGCATGCCAAACTCATTATTGTTGCTATTATACTATACGAGAGCAGAGCGCCATTGTGTTGGGTTGCTGGTTGAGAGAGACAAGAGAAGGCAGCAGTGGGTGGGAGTATCGATATTATTATCAATATTAATAGTCTAGTAGCTATAATTTACATAGGTTATTGGTGTGTTGGAGGGTGGTTTTTGACAGTCATCGCTGTAGGTCAGTCGGTCAGCATTGAGTAGCCAGGCTGTGCCGGTAGTCAAAGGCCGCCAGGAGGCCAGTCAGATGGGCGCCGGCCGCAAGGACAACCAGGACATGGAATATCTGATGCGAGTGCCCGATGATGTCGTACTTGCCCGGATGCAGACACTCAGGCACCCTGGCAGCATATATGGCTGCCCCGATGATATAAAGGGCCCCCTGAGTTATCAGCCAGTCCAGCCCAATCTGCTGGCGCGCCTGGCTGAATCCAAGCACCACTACGCCGTGCGTAACGGGGAACACAGCAGAGAGGCCCAATGCTACAAACATGGCTGCTCGAAACGGCCGCAGCGCCGGTTTGCGAAAACGGGGGATTGTCGCGACGGCTGCACACCCGGCTCCGAGGACCACGATCATGCCCCAGTAGAGTCTCTGGAGCTGTGGCGTACAGTAAAAGCCATAGTAGATGCTGGGGATAAAGCTGCCAGTGATCAGCCCTATTATTCCGAGGTAGTCGCAAGCATTGCCGATGTAAGCAACCCACGGCGAGTGGTTTGATATCGTGTGGTATAGGGCACTCATCCCAAGACAGAACGCCGCACCGGCGAAGAAACAGCTGAACACGACGATGTCCGCCGGCGTTGCCGTGTGGTACCGTGGCGAGAGGGCGCGGTAGAGGACGAACGACGTCGGGAGGGTAAGGAGAGCCGGCAGCAGGTGGGTGTAGATGTTGACGGTTTCATTGTGGACGTAGGTCAGCGAGTGGAAGCTCCGCAGGAACGAGGCAGAGGCTGGGCGGTAGCCGGTATGGATGTGGTGGTTATCCTGCAGCCAGCGAGGCAGAGCATCCCAGTGGACTGTTGCAGTCCAGCTCTCCTGCTCCAGCACTTCTGCCTCTGCCTCTGCCTCTGCCTTTATCTGCTGCTGGTGCTGCGATAGCTCTGCCTCCTCCCTCTTGTAGACGGCGGCGGCAGCAGTGGTGACTGCTCGGCGCTGCAGAAGAGACATTTTCTCTTTCTGTTTGTTTGTTTTGCTGTCTTCTTCTTCTTCTTCTTCTCACAACATGCTTCTTCCTGGATCCTTGATACCAACAACCAGCAACAGCAGCCCAGCAGCACAGGAGAGAGGCCTGTGAAGCCCTCTCAGCTTTGTTGTCTTCTCTTATCTCAACATCTTTTTCTCAACATCTTTCTTTATCAGCACGTGAAAGTCTGCAAACAGTGCAAACTGGCGGCGCGCATGAGGTCATGGCGGGAGAGAGTCGCCGGTAAGCAAGAAAGACACAACGACGAGGACGAGGACGAGGACGCGGACGCGGACGAGGAAGACAGCCAAAAGCTGCGACTCGGGCAGCGAGGGTCGCGTCTGTTCACGGCTGGGTGGTTCGAGTGCTCACGTCTTGTCTTTTTTCTTCATCTAGTGCGAGCCATGGAGGGCCCGCGGTCGAGCAATTCCTCTCCCTCCAGAAGTCGACTGAGACCGCCGGTGGTCGATCCATTAGAGCAGGCAGGGTTCGTTTCTAAGGGAGATACCGTGTAGGATGCCCCCCAATATCCATATAACGCTTTGCTTCTTTCCTTCTATCGTTTTTATCGCGTTGGTGGTAGTGGTGGTAGCTAAACTGTTCTCTGCTTCAACAGGCTGCTCAACGTGAAGGCACAGTTCGCCTACTATGAGAGAATCATGGAGCGGTACTTGAAATTCTGCAACGACTACTCAAGTGACATCGATGCAGCCTTTGCCTCCCTGCCTAAGTATTCGACCGAAGATGCAACCAAGAATCCGCCAGTGGCTGGCGCTTCCACCGCTAATAAAGAGTCTCCGCCCAACCAGGCACCACAAAACAAGTCCTCTCGACCTGAGACCCTGTCCGATTCAGCATCAAAGGACCTCTCAGTGCTGCTCCTATCACTCCGCAAACTGCGAGAAGGCGTCGTTGCAACCGCGTCCGAGACTCCGTTGGAGTTTGCACAGCATGTCCACGTCTTCTGCATTCGAATGGGAATCCTTGCCGCACACCCTCCGTCCTATTATGTGCCACTGCGGCGTTTGCTTCATGAGCTGAACGAACCATCGAGCGCCCTCAGTGAATCCGATTTGCACGAGTTTACCTCCTACCTCATTCTCGACTATGTCTGCCGGCGCTCTGACCTCAACCTTGCATTCGAACTCCGCGCAAAGTCTAAAGCCGCCTTTGGATATTACAACATCACTGTCGATAATATCGTTTCTGCCTTGCTGCATGACAATTGGGTACTCTACTGGAAATCCGGGAGGCATGTGGACGGGTATACGAGGTCACTGATGAGCTGGTCTGATTCCTATATGCGATGCAGGGCCCTCAAGGCTATCGCGAAAACTTATTTGACGGCAGACATACGCTTTATCATCGAATGTTGCACAGGTTCGCCAGACGGCTGCACGTGGGAGGAATTGGTCAAGTTGGAAGGTATCGGATGGCGAAGAGAAGGAGACAAGGCCGTAATCCGGATTAGGAAGCCCAAGGCTGCGTGAATGAGCCTTTATCCAGCTGGCATCCGAATGCCAAGAGCCCATAATCCATTGCCAGTGGTGGTAACGGTTTTGCCAAAAGGGACGGCTCCATTGTGGAATTGAACGGCCTGGGTTTTGAAGGTATGACAGTTCCAGCCATGAAGGTGATAGGTGGTTAACCATACTAGGGTATTGGACTAATGCACGCAAACAGGCCATTTTTGAACGAGAGATATGATAAATATGAGTCAAAAAACGACAGGAAAAAATAAAAATAAGTAAATGAAAAAAAAAGAAAAGGAATGCACTCCAACAAGAGGTTTAGATCTTAAAGGCCCCATTTGGTATTTCCCAGTTGCGATGCTCTGATTGGGGATGTTCGGCCACCCGCTCTGCCAATGCTTCCTTGAGGGCCCCTGAATTCTCCGAGCAAAGTTCGTACACGGTGGCTAGATTAAACGTGAGGCTTTGGAAAGAGTTGTGGTCATCAACAAGCGCCTCTAGGATTTCGCGTGACTTGATAGCAGGAGTTAGTTAGCCTTCCTCCATGTTGGTATAAAAAAAGGAAATCCCCAAAAATAAATTAAATAAAAAAAAATTACACATGGGTATCTCAGTTAAAAAGAAATTTGGTCTTACCTGTTTTAGATCCCCAACATACAAAAGGCAGACAGCAAGGTTCTGCTTGATGAGAACCTCGTCATCCGTGCCAGTGTAGGTTTTTAGAAGGTCGTTCCAACCAGTGACAGCTTCATCGAATTTACCCTCGGCCATCTTTAGTAACGGCTCAACGATGTTGGCTGACGGGTTAGAGACACTAGAAAATAGATCCTTCGCAGAATCTACATCTCCTACCCTTAGGTGCAAAAGAGCTCTTTGTTGCAGTCTGTGGGCGTCACTCTTGGATGGTGATGCCATACTAGCCAGAGATCGGCGAGCAGCCTCCAAGTCACCCATTTCAACCAAGGCGTTAACAACACGGATACCTAGATCACCGAGCCTGGCTTTCCACAGTGCTTTTTCCTCAGCCCCGACACTAGGACGTATGATATGTCTCCTAGCTTCTAATCCAAGGTCATAAAGTCCAGATATACCTCTCCTGGTATCACTAAACCCAATACTCTGTAGCCTTACGGCAATAACACGAAGTGGCCAGGGAGCAAGGTGAGCTTTTTCCGGGGGCTCCTGGGAGCTACCGTCCTCCTTTGGAAGATCAGGTTTGACGTCTACATAGTAGAATGAAGAATTCAAATCTTGCAGGGCTTTTGATTCCTCTGCTGCTAGGAGAGTATTTCCCGTAAGCAGAAGACAGGTTAGGCGAGTATACAAGAGGGAAAATATCGCGGAATAGTCAGTGGAAGTTATCAGGCTGGAGGTTAGGATCGTAGCGGCAAAATGTGCTGCGGGAAGGTAATGGCCTTTTTTGCATAGGTCATCAAGCTGTTGTAGTGCCGATTCCAACGGCTGACCGGGCAGCAAGCTTGGGAACTCTGAACGGAAAGGTAGGGGTATTTCCAACTGCGAGATAGGGTGGAATATCTCAGGCTGGTGCAGGAAGGAGAAGTTCTGGGCCACTTGGATATGTGGGCTATCCTTGGGTGATGCAATTAAGTCTCTTGCAGGGTGAAATGGAAGTGAACTGGTCTTGGAGTCTCGATTCCCAGATGCGGCGGCTGGCGTTGGAGAACGGGTATTTGGTCTACCAGACACAAAATTCGTCAGAGACGCCAACCTGCGCGTTTAATAAGGAAGTTAGAATCGTACTCATCCGGGATATCTAACGGTCCCTTTGTTGAGCTACGCGGCCGAGTAGCTGGGCCATCATGTCAGTCTGCACTGCTCTAGGTCGAACAAGATGAGAAGACATACCTTTTACAGACACATTCCGCCGATGCTGTGAGCCGGAGGGTTCCATGGTGGACACATACACTCACATGCCCACACGCTTCCTCTCTCTCTCTCTCTCTCTCTCTCTCTTCCTTTCTCTCTATCCTCTGTTCTTTGAACTGCAGCAGCCTGTGTCCATCCTGCTCCCAGCACACTCTGGCCTAAGAGGTTGAAGTCATGGAAAGCTTGGACGGGAAGAAGAGGGTTTCTGCCAGGCGGTGAGTGCACGGACCACATGAGCCCCCTGATTACTTCATCACTTTTCTCTCTTTGGGAGGAAGAAAGAAGACATGCAAAGCATCAAACAAGCCAGCAAGCCATCAACAAGGGAGCTTCTGCAGACTTGCTTTGAGGCCACTCTCTCTCTCCATTGCTGTTTTCCGTCTTTCTTTCTGCTGGTCGCCTTGTCTAATAGCGTAATAGCGAGTTCCGCATGCCCGGCCGGGGCCCTCGATATCGACCAACCCTAGAAGCCGTGGACCAAGAAGCCGAATCGCAGTTCGAGCAAACACCAATTCCGTCGCATTTAAAGATGTCGCCTGCAAACAAATACTCCGTTATTCTGCCTACCTACAATGAGCGCCGGAACCTTCCAATCATTTGCTGGCTGATTGAAAAGACTTTCCGTGAGAAGTGAGTGTCGAGTATCCCAATGGCTGCTGGCATCCCCCCCTCACCCCTTATCTAGCCCCTCTAATTTATTGCAACAATTCCACATTAGAATTGGCATGCTAACGGGATAATTTTATAACTATTTAGCAAGCTTAACTGGGAAGTTATCATAGTTGATGATGGCTCCCCAGATGGTACACTCGAGATTTCAAAGCAGCTCCAGGCTGCCTATGGCGAGCAACACATTGTCTTGAAGCCTCGTGAAGGCAAGCTTGGCCTTGGAACCGCATATGTCCACGGCCTTAAGTTCGCTACTGGAAACTTCATTATTATAATGGACGCGGACTTCAGCCACCATCCCAAATTCATCCCGGAGATGATCAAGATTCAGGAAAGCACCAAGGCCGATATTGTCACTGGAACTAGATACGCTTCGCGTGGAAACTTGCGCGGCGGTGTGTATGGATGGGACCTGATCCGAAAGCTCACATCCCGTGGAGCCAATTTAATTGCCGATGTTGCATTGATGCCAGGTGTCAGCGATCTGACTGGTAGCTTCCGCCTCTACAAGAAACCGGTTCTGGAGAAAGTGATCAAAGTTACCGAGAGCAAAGGATATACCTTCCAGATGGAGATGATGGTTCGTGCAAAGGCAATGGGATACAAGGTCGAGGAATGCCCTATTACCTTTGTCGACCGTGTCTACGGCGAGAGCAAGCTCGGCGGTGAGGAGATTGTCGAGTACCTCAAGGGTGTTTTCACTTTGTGGCTCAAGGTTTAATGTAATTGAGATGGCCTTTCCAATTTCTATCTTTTTGTCTCCCCTACTTTCTAAAGGGTTATTTTCCTTCGTGCACGGCGAATTATGGGGGCATCGGAGGGTCAGGTTACAGGCACTGTTATCAATGGGGGAAGGTTGTCCTTTTTTACACTATGAGGTTCTGACCTGACATGTTATTAAAGACTTTTAATACCTGCGTCAATATGTCGAAATAGAATACCCAATAAAACATATTCAAGGTACTTCTATTATTCCTATCTTTGGGGGCATATCAAGATTGTTCGAGTCCGGCAAGGAATTTCTGGACTCTCGATAGCAAGTCCTGTACAGGTTTAACTTGCCACTTCCCTTGAGGGGAGTGTCTTGCTCCAGGGACAACGCCGCTATTCTCATTCCAAATAGCAGGATTATCACTACCAGCCTTAGTAGCGGTTTCCCACCTCTTGAGCAAACTTTCCATATCCACCCACTCCGGTATGTATTCATCAGAGCCTCCAGGCAAGACAAGGATTGATCCTTTCAAGTGGCCTCTTTTCCCAATCATGCCGAATGTCTCTTGCAGCCGTTTGTCTTCAAGGTCAGAACTAAACAGGTCATCCTCCAGTGGTGATTCTGGGCTATCTGGGCTGGTTAGGCTCAAAAACCGCTTGCTGCTGACCGCAACGCTTGACGGAAACCCTATGCGTGATGTCATTGAGATGGGCAAGATATAGCCGTTATCTTTTTCATTTAGGTTGGACTTTGCAACATCAACCAGTTCATAAAATATTTCGTTTACAACCTCCGCGGAGTCATTGGCAGTACCGGTTTCGAGTATGGAAAGAGTGGACTCTCGATCGGAGACTGGTGCTTGGAGAATAGCGCCATCTACTGCTGGTCTGGTCTGCTCTGGGGCTTGGGTGTAGAGATAATGCAAAACATCTTGACTTCCCGTCGAATGCCCCATTATTGCAACCTTGCCAGGTTCGTTGGCGGCTTCACCCTGATATTCACGTGCTTTGAGGGCTTTGACATAGTCGATACATCGTCCCAGCTCTTCCACGTCCTTATCAAGGCTGCTCATCCCCCATCCGGTATGCGATGATGAGAGCAGAACAAAAAACACGGACCAATTTGTTGATTCAAGAGAGACAGCCAGATCATTCATAAATGGTACGGTACATAAACCGTCTGAGAGCCCCGCAATCAGTAACAATGCATGAGGTTTCGCCTTGCTGGCAGTGAGTGACTTGTACTCAAAGGTGTTGAGGCCTGCTGACTGAAAATCGCCGTCAGCTTGCGTTCTGAAGGTTGAAAGGAGAGCTGGGTAATTATCAGAAGTCAGTGTAGTATATAGCCCATACATATTGATGAAGCACACCAGCCCTCATGGTTGGGGGAGATTCTGGGTCCATCTCCTCGACAACGTATCGTCTATGGGTATTTATTTTCCCCTATTATCCTATCTGTGGGATCTCCTATTGAGTGCAAGAAGAACTATTTATACAGGTTGAACGTGCTCGATTGATAGTTGCCTTGGAGGAACAAATTGGTGAGATGTCCGTCGTTGCACGGAAGTTCCGCTAATTAGCTAACTTAACTAGCTAGCCTTAAAGTTAAAAACAGGAGCTTCCCTGGAGCGGAAAGCTTAAATCTGCCAGGGGCGGGCATTTCATATATCTGAACAACCACTTCCATATCTCTAAACTATGGAGAGCAGTGGTGTGTTTGAGCGAACGGCCAGTAGTGGGAAAAAGAGAGCTAACTGTCTCGTATGCAGTTTATATGGCGAGTATTTTCCGATGCATAACGCCTGTATAAAATATCCTGGGGATATATAGAAGGGCGTAAGACAAGCTATTCATGAGCCAGATCCTCCACACGGAGCAAACCACTCCCCATCCCGGCACATGCCCATCCGGAGCACGATGCATTTGGATTCCAGGCAATAGCTGTGATGGCAGTTTGTTCTTCATATACAGTCATCATGCCCACCTGGCCTGTCTCCTTATCCTGAGCTGATGAACCCTTGGCTAGGCTCGCTGTTTCTGCCTTGAATCCATCATAGAATTTAACTACTGGTCCCGGAGTGATGTTATTATTTTCCCCATTAATCCATTCTTGCGAAAACCAGGTCTGCTGCCACTGCTTTTCCTTGGAATGAATGAGCTTTCGGAGGGGGTTGTTCCCTATCACCGCTCCTCCCGCGTTTCCTGCGAGAATGCAGGGCTGATGTAAACTTGCAGTCGCTAAGGAGGTAATAATACTTCGAGACTTAAGTGCAGCAAGGCTCGAAAAGAAGCGGCGGAGAGGAAGAAGCCGAACAAAGTCTCCTTCGTCATTGGTAATAAAGGATCGTAAAAAAGGGGAGTAGACGAGGCACTGAGTCCCTATCCTCAGCCGAAGCGCATCAACCACTTCCGCTGCTGGATCTTGGAGGGATACCAGCCGCGTCTGGCCACCGACGGAGGTTGCTGCAATAATATAGGGATGGGTAGGATAAGCTGAAGCAACGTTAAGTATGTATGTGTCGTGGATTGGGACGTATAGATAAGGCTCAGAGTTGGTAAGTGATTCTCTTCGAGCCGATTGGGTTAAGCTCCATACACCAATAAACCCGTTTGCACATCCGATAGCTATATCTGTGGGAGACAGCCAGGTGAAGCAAGTACAAACTGTTGATGGAGGTTTGACTTGGAAAGCTGGTGTTTTTAGATGAACTGATAACCAGTTAGATAGATATGGTTCGAGAAGGGCAATATAACATGCTGTACATACCATACTTGGTTTCACTTTTGCTGTCGCTTAAGTCAACATTGAAGACTTTAACAGTGCCATCGCTCCAAAGCCCTGCTAGGAGGGCGGGTCTCGTGGTCTTACTATCATTTCCATCATCTGAACCCCGGTTGACGGAAATAGGGCACCAGCAAAGGCGGCTTATTGTGCCAAATTCCGTGCAGATAACCATATGCAAGAATGGGGGTTTATTCATGTTCAGTTTTCGAAGTCCACTCTTGGGGTCCCTGGCTTCAAACCTCCAAATCTGGATTGCTGCAGGATATGGCGGCGAAGGAGTAAATGCAGGGGCCCCTCTGATATTTCCATCATCAAACTGTGCTTTCTGACTGTCAAAGATAGGAGCTACAATGGCCAGGAATTGAGAGTTCCCATTGTAATTATGAGCCCAGCTAAGACATTGAATTTTATTCCCGAGGTTTATGATCCAACCCTCCCGGGCTTTAACTCGGTTAGGTGCGTCTGGAGCCCGCTCATTTGCTTGTGAGGCGGATGCTTCTTCTGACTCCTGTTTTATAGCAATGGATTCTGTAGAAGGCCATGCTGAAGAGAAGTCAAATGACTCATCGCGTCCTAACAAGCATGTAGTTTGAGCATCCGATGGGCCGATTAGCACGGTTGTCTTCGGTACCTCCTTACTGGGTAGATGAGTATTTGCTACATCTTCAGTAATAGGGAGAATTTGCTGTTTCCCACGGAACCGGGCCCCTATATCACTATAAAACCAGTCCCAGCCTGTAGTGGACTCACGAATATTCATCTCTCTGTCGACCCCAAATATGTCTTTATTTCCGCGCGAATTCCAGCCAATGCACATCTGGAGGCTTTCTCTACTTGGGAAAGTCAAATCTATCCCCCTTGACCAAATGTCTCTGGTATGTATTATGGGTAGAATGTCTTGATCCCCAGACCCGAATGTCAACCTTAGTTGAAGAGTCTTAGAAGAATGGTTAGACGGTTTCAGCAAGCCGCGTGAGTAAGTTTGGGTATTTGGCTGGTCTTGCTTTTGCGCTAATGCCATATTTTTCTCTGTTAGCGGTATATCCGAAAGTAAAACTGAGGCTCGACCCCTGGGGTTGGATTGGCGCGTCCCCGGTACTACCCAGGGAATATCATCAGTGGTGACTTACGCCGGTCTAAGTTTCTTCCCATCTTCTTCCGCCGTTTATTGATACCCTCATCGGCCTCATATTCCTCGTCTGAAAATTCAGATGCTGGATATTGTGTGACTACCTCGTCTTCATAGTCTGGGTCTGGTACAGGTGTTGAGCCGTTGGTTTCAGCAACAACATTCTGTTGCTCGGCTGCACTCATTGCATCCATGCCTTACTTTGGGTATCATACCTTCCCTTCGTGTCAAGGTATAGTGGTATATAACTGTTGTAGAATAGAGTGGTGGGAATATTCACGCTGGAGTGAACTCCAACTGGCGCATGTCTATTACCTTAAGCTAATAACTATTACATAATCATATCTGGGTCGAAGAAGCAAAGAAGAATTTGTGTACCTAGAGCATGAATAATAGTAAAAGAGATATCAAGATACTAGAATCTTTAAGTGTAGGGTGGTTTCAAGTCATATTAATTTCTATCTTCCCGGTAATGGTGTAATGGCTGGCACATTATCATCTAATACATTAAAAGCCCAGAATACAATTTAATTCAGTAAACCCCAAAAAACTCCAGTCAATGCATACATGCAATAGTCTTAAACGCCGCAAATATTAGCACTGCTGACAGCTAGTATCTTTCCCCGACAATCTATGTAGCCGTATAATCCCCGCAGGAACCATGGTGCGAGTATTCAATTGTGAAAGCCCTAGGATCCAGAGTAACCGGGGGCGAGTTTATGCACCAGCATAGGGGATAATCGAAGGCATGTGAAATGTCATAGAAGCAGCCGGTATAGGACTGTTGGCTGCACCAGTTGGAAGTGGCATATGAGAGGATACCGGCGGGTAGGTCGTAGTAGGCGCAGTTGGAAATTGCGATGTTACAGAGGTATGCTTGGTTGACGTGGCACGGGTAGTAGTTGTAGGCATAGATGTTGTTGTTGTTGTGGTAACCTGACTTGATGAGGTAGTGGCAGGTGTTGACACTGGAGAGCTTGATGTTGTAGTTGATGTGGTTGACATCGATGTGGGCGTGTTTGGTGGAGGTGTAGTCGTTGTTATTGTTGTTTGAGGTGTTGTCGACGATGGTGAGGTATAAGATGTCGTCGAGGTAATGGTCGTAGTAGTAGTTGTCGAAACAGAAGGCTGCACTGTGTGGGTGATCGTTGCTGTATGGGTGACTGGAGGTAGAGTCGAGCCAGGTTTATCAACAGTGACCGTCGCATATATATCGGTTGAAGGTGTTTCAGGCCCTCCGTCAACCTGGACAACTGAGTAAGGTACCCCCCGGGGCAGATGAGGTATTAGCGGCAGTGAGCTCGACAGGTGAGCGAGCAGTGCTGCCGATAGCAAGACCTTCTTGAACCTAAGCTGCATATCTGCGGTATGCTTTAGCCAGACCGAAGGTAGGATTCTCAATCTACACTTCTGTATCTCGAAGGACGGTGGGTGTTATTAGAGGATATTATATATTTCATCAAAGATCTTTAAATAGCTTTCGGGACGTCGTTAGGCGTAACTTCATGAAAACAGGATATCATATATCATCAGCCACAAATAAAGGAAAGGTCATAAAAGAAACAAGAAATCATCTCCGTTCGGTGTTCTGTTTTCTGGAGATGGGACTTGGTGAGCCCCCGGTTTTTGTGCATTTCGCCATTCAGAAATGCGGTGGTTGGGATTCCCAGCCACCGAGTTTCTCCAAATGAATCGCTACTGGAGTCTTCCGGTTGGAGGACGTAACCATTCATTTCTCTTTGACAAATGAAAGAGCGTGGAGCGCAGTCGGCTCCATGTCATGCGCGTAATCCATATCCATGCCCGGAGAGTCCCTCCGCCTTGCATCTGCATCTCCGTCGCGGCTCCTTTGGAGATTGCTTGTTGCCAGCCAAATTCCGGGGAAGTTTTTAGTGTTTTCGGACAGGGCTAAAAGCAGCGAGTGAAATGGAGTGCGATCCATGACTAAGCTAAAACAGCGCCATATTATTCCGTATATGGTCTAGCGCAGGTGCTTCCTGTTTCGGGTTAGCGTTGTTTAGCTCATCTTGGGCAGGAGACTCCAACTCGGCTTCTGGATGATGTTTTGACGACAGCCAGCTTGTTTGATATCGAGATGAGCTTTTCTCCTGCTAACTGTGTTCTAGTGGCCTCTAGCTGATTGCCTATTACCTGTTTCTTCTTTACGGTGCTATACACTTTGCGCGCTTAACACCAGGTTCCAGGTTGGAGACCTATTGCGGCCCACGATGGCCAGTGCCCCCCATGTCCCGGAAGACCAGAGTCGCCTCCTGGAAGAGGCTCTTGGGGTGGTACGACAGCAGTCGCATATGATGCGAAGATGTCTGGAAACACCTGGGAAGCTGATGGATGCGTTGAAATGCGGGTAAGTAAAGGAGACTGGCCAACCTCTATACTAGGCTGACGCAATATTTAATCTCTACATTCGCACATGCCCTGGATACTATACAATCCGCTAACACCCATTTTTAATCATCAATTGCAGATCTACGCTGGTAGCTGAGCTTAGAACACCTACATTGGGGCCAAAGCAATACTACGAATTGTATATGGCGGTATTCGATGCGCTTCGTCACCTGTCAGACTACCTTCGAGAATCTCATCCAGTGAATCACTTGGCGGATTTGTATGAGCTGGTTCAGTATGCTGGAAACATTGTCCCCCGCCTCTATCTTATGATTACCGTGGGCACCGTATACATGTCTATTCCGGATGCTCCAGTCAAGGAAATTATGAAGGATATGATGGAAATGAGTCGAGGTGTACAACACCCAATCCGCGGATTATTCTTGAGATATTATCTCTCTGGCCAAGCGCGGGACTATCTACCCATGGGTTCTGGCGATGGACCCCAAGGTAACCTCCAAGATTCCACCAACTTTGTTCTGACCAATTTTGTGGAAATGAATAAGCTATGGGTACGATTACAGCACCAAGGCCATTCCCGGGAACGAGAGAAGCGAACACAGGAGAGAAAAGAACTAGAGCTCCTTGTTGGAAGCAATCTGGTTCGTCTTAGCCAGCTGGTTGATTTGGAGGCGTACAAATCAGCTATATTGCAGCCTCTCCTGGAGCAGGTAGTTCAGTGCCGAGACGTGCTTGCGCAAGAGTACTTACTGGAAGGTAAGCTTTGAACGTCGTTCAATTTGACCGAGTATCTACTAATACATCCTTACAGTGATAACAAAAGTATTTCCGGATGAATATCACTTGCACACGTTGGACTCAATGTTATCTGCTATCGCAAGATTAAATCCGCATGTTGATATGAAAAAAATTGTCATTGGTCTCATGGATAGGCTGTCAACTTATGCTACTCGTGGTTCTGAAAAAAGTGATGATCCCGAAGTAAGAAAGAAGGCCGAAGAAGAGGCAACAGTGCGGCTATTGGAAAAACTCCAACTGTCAAAGGAAACAGGTGAGGCTCCTCCAGCCTCTGACAAACAGGAAACAGCAGATAAAGAAAAAGGAATTGTGCAATCGGAAAATGGTATTAACCAGCCCGGTGAAGGAGAAAGCGGCAAAGACACAAAGCCAGAATCTGTGGAGGACCAGCAAGAAACCGGGGAGGCAACTTTTTTGCCTGGGAATATCAAGCTTTACGAAATCTTCTACGATCAAGTGCTCAATCTGGTGAAGACTCGAGGAATTCCCATTCAAGATACCATTGCCCTTTTAGTTTCATTGACAAACCTTGCCCTGTGAGTTAAAGAAAAATACTGCTGATCTTCTCAAAGTCCAATGCTGACAGGCGTATAGGAATATATATCCAGACCGACTAGGTATCTATCCCCACTAACCTTTTTCAAACCAATGTGCTAACTGTTAGAAGAATATGTTGATCAAGTACTTCAGTACGCCACGAAGACTGCGACTGAGCACTCTGATAGTGCAGACTTCCATTCTGCGCCAGCCCAGTCAAGCATATTAAACCTTTTACTTGCTCCTCTCCAGTCATACGTTTCTATATTCACCGCACTATCTCTTCCAAATTATATCCCTTTCTTCGCCGCACAGTCGTATTCAACCCGAAGGGCAGTTGCTGGTGAAGTTGCACGAAATATTTTGCGAAATAGGACATTAATTACTTCACCCGAGAATCTGGATAATGTCCTCCAGATTCTACGAGTTTTGATCAGGGAAGGAATGCAACAACCAGCTGGCTACCCTGGCGCTCAATCTCAGCGACGTGGAGGTGAAACCGAGGAGACAATCGAAGAGCAAGGCTGGCTGGCGCGAATAGTTCATTTAGTCCAAGGGTCAGACAATGATACGCAACTCAAGGTAAGTTCGAGATTCTTTTGAAATCAACGTTCTTTACAAAGAGCTAATGGTTTTCAAAGCTATTACAAGCATTGCGAACAGCCTATTTGGATGGAAATGAGCGTATAAGATACACCACACCATCTATAATAACATCCTCCATCAAGCTGGCCCGCAAGTTCAAGGCCCGCGAGCACTTTGATGATAACTGGCAATCTCAGTCATCTGCGCTCTTTAGGTTCATGCATCAATGTATCAGCAGTTTGTACCAGCGTGTGAACTCTGGTTGTGCTGATCTTGCATTGCGCCTCTTTGTACTTTGTGGACAAACAGCGGATGAAACTGGTTTTGAAGAAGTCAGCTATGAATTCTTCGCACAGGCTTTTACTGTTTATGAAGATTCTATTAGCGACTCGAGGGCGCAATTCCAAGCTGTCTGTATCATCTCAAGTGCCTTGCACGGATGCAGGAATTTTGGAAGAGAGAACTATGATACTCTCATCACCAAGGCTGCCCTTCACGGTAGTAAGCTTCTGAAAAAACCAGATCAATGCCGTGCAGTTTACTTGGCAAGCCATCTTTGGTGGGTCGTCGAAAGCCCACAGAAGGAAGGAGATGAACCTAATATTGTAAGCCTATTCTCATTAATACCTACTTCGTTTTATCGTATTTACAACTCACGATTCTATTCTTGCAGGTTTATCGTGATGGTAAACGTGTTCTGGAATGCCTTCAGCGCGCGCTTCGTGTGGCAGATGCTTGCATGGATACTGCTGTATCCGTGGAGCTCTTCATCGAGATACTGAATCGCTATGTTTACTATTTCGACCAGCAAAACGAGACAGTGACGACGAAATATCTCAATGGCCTTATCGAGCTCATATATTCTAATCTTCAGTCAAACCAGACCGAGGGAGTTCCAAGTTCAAGCCTGGAAAGCCCTAGACGCCATTTTGAACGAACTTTGGATTATATCAAATCTAGGGGGTGGGAAGGAGTTGTGACAGAGCCACCCAGACAATAAATAAACCGGGGGCTTATGAGAAGGTGATGATACGATATAATATAATCCCGCGTTTTGCTCACTGTTCTTTGCATTGTAGTCAGATGTATAATGCGACGGCAATTTGTTTAATAGATCTACCACTTCGCTTCGGTTAGGCTCACCCAGTCTTCTTCATTCCTACATACATATACATGTGTACACTACAGGGAGAATAATAAGTAACTCTTCAACGACGTTGAATAGAGCGTCTTCTAATTGAAAAGGGGGCGGTAACTGAATTCAATTGCTGAAAACGCCTCATGCATCCGATTATTCATCGTAAGGGCAAAATGCAGAAACGAGAACTACCCATAACAGTACGCCAGCTGCCCCCGCCGGCATACCAGCCAGTAGCATTATTTGCTTTCCTTGCTGAAAGTACAGTACATGAAAATTTCGTATGCACCCTAAGCAGGGAAATGTTTAACAAAGAAATGGAAGAAGAGCAAAGCCGAGGTTTTATTGTAACAATGCAAGAGGGTAAAGGGGAAGTTGAGAAAGACATGCCATGGAACCACGAAAGCAAGTAATAGACGAAGAGTGCAACGGCTGGAGAGCAAGGAAATGAGGTTGAGGAAACAAGCATTGGTATCTAGGACTCCTAAGGAGTGTCGAGGGAGGATAGCGTAGGGAATGAGAATGGAGGGGATGAATGATAAGAGCCAGTAGTTAGGTTGGAGTGACGGTAAGAAAGGTTGAGAAGCGTTGTAAGAGGAACGTCAAAAGGGAAAAAGCCAAGACTCCTTTTGGGGGCTAGTGATACCATTTTCGCAGCAAACATCCTAGCATCCAGCGGGAGGGGGAGCGTTGGTAGAAGGGAAGTATCTGGGATTGGAGCTACCAGCGCTGGCCGCAGTGCCGCCGCTGCCGCTACCTATGTGGGCAGGGTAGCTATTTCTCGGGACTGGGCTGCCAATATCTCCAGGAGATGTGTTGGGCATAGTGGCAGATAATGGGCTAGTGCTTTCGGGCTCGAACTTGATGAAGGTCCCGCGAGGCCCGGCATAGTCAACAATAAGAGAGCCGCCACCATTCTGTGAATTGCCTTCGGTATCACAGATATCCACAATCTCTTCTAAAGTAATTGGTGCGTCAAGTGGCGGGTTAAGCTGCTCGATTTGCCGTAGGACTTGGTTTGTGCTATGGAAACCGGAGCTTTCAGGAGAGCTAGCTGTGAGCTTTTTACACGCTTGACTAACCAGGAGACGGATAGTGACTGGTCTCGGGGTATGGGGATGGTGAGGTCTTCCAATAATACCGAAGGCTCCAGTGGACCATGTAGGGCCTTTAGAAGTTAGTTAGTACTTGCATGAGACTGTAGAAGGTTTAATTACGTTAAAAACTTACTTGGACCGGCACCCCAAGACGTACTGGCAAATCCTGGAGGTCCAAACGGAATTGCCGAACCCCATGTGCCACCGCTAGATGGTGCCCCTAGAGGAAAGTTTGAGGTAGTGGTAGCTAAGAATGGATACAGTCAGATATCAAATGTATGTAAATAGCAGATTGGGCTTAGTGAAGCATGACTTACATCCCAACGATTCGGAGAATAGAGGGGTCGTCCCGAACGCCATTCTTCCGGCTCCCGGAGCGGGTATTGGTTGCGAAGGCACAGTATTAAGGGGGAGGTCCGTATCATCCAACAGTGCACTGCTTCCCAGCTGAGTACTAAGTTCATCAACGTCCGACTGGCCGGCCTTTGAGCGGTCCTTTCCATGGTCATGAACAGTACTAGACGGCCGCTGGATAGGGGCCGGGCGGGACCCTATAGGTTGATTGAGGGGAAGAGGCTCATTAGCACTCCTATCAATTGCCGCAGAGAGCTGACTAGTATGTCCATGCCCATGGGAGAGACTCTCACGGGGTATCTGGAGAGGTTGTGGGCCAAGAGTTCCCGATGTCATTAGCGGGGAGTGGAAAGCCAATGGGTTGTGGGTTGATTCCAAGCCAAATCCTCTGCTCTGAGAAGCATGTCTAGGAACGATTCCTGGTGGAGCGGAGAGACCGTCTGGTGACCCAATTCCTCTAAACTGACCAGCAAGGGGGTTCGGGTACATGGGGTTCTCATGGCTCAAAGATCCACGATGTCCCATTCCTGGCACTCCAGCACTGGGGATACCATTTAAATTTGGCAGAGCATTGAATCCTGGCGGAGGTTGGCCACTGCGGCCTGGCCCTCCCAAAGGTGACAGAGGCGCAGCTTGTTGCGGGTGGTGAAGGCTGCTCGGATGTGGTGCCATTCCCTTATTTGACACAACGCTGGACGCACCAGATGAATGCGCAGCTCCAGGCGAAATTGAGTTTTGCAGGGTATCGGCGTATGCAGGTTGAGAGCGAGGTGACGAAGCATGGGAGTCCTGCTGGGAAGCTTGCCTAGCTCGAACGGGCGTTGGCGCTTTTGGTATCACAGGCGTAGCAACCTGGAAATGAGGTGACTGAAGCAGATTTGGAGGTTGTGGATGGTGGAGCCCTGGCGGATAATACGCTGCTCCAGGCTGTGAAGTCCGCTTTGCACCTTGAGCTGGTAGATGTTGCTCGGGCTGAATAGATCCCAACTCATCCCGTCTGTGTTCACGATCAGCCTTCGCCGCAGCGGCAGCAGCAGCGGCATCTTTTTCTCGTTTTTCTTGCTCTGCTTTAGCCTTCTGTTCACGCTCTTCTCTGGCTTTTCGCTCTCGTTGCTCCTTTTCTTTGGCCTCCCGTTCTTCCCGTTCCTTTCTCTTTGCCTCCTCGCGTTTCTTCTTCTCTCTCTCCTTTTGCTCTCGTTGCTTTCTCTCAGCTTCTGCCTGACGTTCACGCTCCTCCTTCAGCCGTCTTTGGCGATCAGCTTCTTTCCGGAGTCGCTCTTCCTCCTGAGCTTTCTTTTCAGCTTCCTTTTTCTTCCTTTGCTCTTCTCTCTTCCGTTGCTGTTCTTTGAGCTTCGCCTCTTCTGCTGCTTTTTGGGCAGCAAGCTCGGCGGCTCGTTCAGCCTCCCGTCTAGCTTTCTCCTCGTCTTTGGCTTGTTTCTGTAAGCGCTTTTTGTCCTTTTTCTTTTGCGCTTCTTTGGCTTTCTTTGCTTCGCGCTCTTCATCCAGCCGGTTCTCTTCTTCAAGTTCCTCTATAAGCCGTTGCTGTCTTTCACGGGCAACCTTTTCTCGATAAGCTGTCAGAACCCGTTGCTCGAACATTCTAGCGGCGAATATCTGGAACATCCGCCGCCCTTCTTCCATTCGTTGCTCCTCCGTCATCGCATCCTGTGGCAAAGTAATTAGTATGGATACGTTTTCCTATCGTCCCTGAGAACCATTGCTTAAAACAAACCATTTCGTCTTCTTCAAATTCATCGTCTTCCTGGCTATCATAGTCTTCATCCTCGTCATCGTCATAGTCTTCATCGTCTAATGGAGCTCCATGATTATGACCAGCTTGCATAGGTGGATGGCCCGCCGAAGCGAGATATTGTGTCTCCTCTTCACGCTGCATCCGCCGTTCTGCTAACTGTTCCATCATATCAATGAAATGTTTCCCGTCATTTTTTAGTAAATCGTCTGCTACTGTCAGGATTCCATCTGTAATATCATCCATTAGTGGTCGTCCATAACCTTAGTAGATGACGAATGATGAAAGGGAAAGAATCTTACCCTTCACTGTTAGACTATTTCCAAAGGCAAAGAAGTCGGCTCTAGTTGTCCTAGTGTCCACGTCGAGGTCATCATCACTATAAGGTTCCTCGTCTTCTTCATCTTCGTCGTCGTAATCTTCCTCTAGTTCCTCGTCCTCCTCGTCTTCTGGCAGTTCGTGTACTCGCCCTCGTGGCGGGTGTTGGGTGTTCGGTATGTGAGAGTGAGAGTGAGAGTGCGAGTGGGAGTGCGAGTGGGAATGAGCGTGGTGATGATGGTGGTGGTGATGGTGTAGAGATCGAATAGGTGTTTGGTATAACCGGGGCGGTAGTCGAAGCGAAGTGCCGTTCTCAAAGGAGGCCTGGTTATTGTTGGCATACTGTTCCAGCTCTTCGTAATATGCGTCATATAATACCTCCAGCTCCTCCTCAATGGCTGTTCGTTTCCTCCCGCATACCGTGCAGCTGCAAGAATGCTTTTGCTGCTCCTTCATTTTCCGCAATACAGCTTCCTTCTCGACCTTGACTAGCGAACGGCGTTCCTCTTCGCCTAGCTGTAGCCAGAATTCTTTAATATTCTCCCGCTCTTCATGAGTTGACGTGTTCCATATGCGATCCTTGGATATTCTGTGAGCTGATCGATAGGCATTGACGAGGGGCGGCGGTACTCCAACAGGGCGTGCCGAAGAGGTAAGGGGCGGTGGGGGTGGTGGTGGTGTTGAGTGAGATGTAGAGCTCCCTTCAGCAGTCTGGCCTCCATTCCGACCCTTTTTGCCTTTCTTCTTTTTGCTCTTCCGACTTCCAGCATTATTCTGGGGTTGACTCGAGCCTCCATCGTTATTATTACTGTTATTATTATGTTGTTGATGATCGTCATGTTGGTTGCGTGAAAAATTCCGGTCGTCGTCCGAATACCATGCGCCAGGGTTGTCAGTCGACTCGCTCTTGGTGTTAGACATACGTTGCTGCGTTGAGCTGCAGGTGTGCCCAAGCCTGGTGCCAGTATCATACCCATCACTGCCATCCTGACCGTTTCTGTTTGTGGGGGTAGACGCATCACTACGTTGCTGTTCCGCGGCTAAACGAGCGGCTTGTTTCTGCCGCCGCTTCTGCTTCTTCCGGTTGACGGTAGGAGCCTGTAGATTCGATGTTTGGTTAACCAAGCACTTAACCGGCAAGCTACCTGGACTTACGCCTTCTGTGGGTGGCATTGTGGACGTCGTGGTGCTAGCATTGGCTGGAGTGCTAACTGTGTTGGAGGAGGTTGGATTTTGACCCGATGAACCTGCTGGCACTGTAGCTGATCGTTTCGAGTTGGAAGGCATTATTCTAAGGGGAAAGATAGCTAGGCCCGTTAACTTTTCTGCAAGCGCGTAAAAAGGAAGAAACGCAACGCCTCCAGAGTGCGGGAGTGACGACCGAAATTTGAAGGTTCCGTCCCCCGAAGGTTGTTGCAAAAGTAATTAAGAAAAAAAGGGCACGAGGAGATTGAGGAAAGGCTAAGACACTGAACGAAGGCGGTTCTTACTCTGAAGCCTGTAGGCGGATCTGAGCAAGCCCTCCAGGAGGAGCGACGGACGGCAGAGAGAGACAGTGCAAGCTCTCCGAGGCGCTTAGACAGGAGATCTGGTCCGGAGGTATCGCGAGGTTGACGGAGGGCGGGGAGAAGGGGTTTTGACGCCGGCGATGACCAACGAAAAAAGAAACAGGCGCCGCGAGAAAGGACAGCGAGGGCAGGCTCGGGGTGCTGGCAAGGGCCCAGGAGGTCTAGCTGGTGGGAAACGAGTGCGTCTCGCGCTGGCGGCTCTGGTCGCTGACTTCGTCCTCTTCGTCACTCTTCGCCTTTTTGATATTGGGTGGTGCAAACGGCAAAATGCAGCGAGGACAACCCAATCTGGCAAGATTAGACGCGGCAAGCGACGCTCGCCAGGCGCCTTGTTGCTCACCGCCCAACGGGGCCAGCGAGGCGTAATTTTGATACCGCAGGGCTGTAACTTTGCGGCGGGTGCCTGGCGCGAGGAAGCGTGTAAATTTCGGCGCTACCACGGTACGGCCTGTATTACGCTTTCAGGCCCAGTGAAATAAAAAAAAAAGGCGATAAGTAAGAAAACTCAGCCGCCTTTTTTTTTTGCTTATCCGTAGTTCTTAGTTTTATATTAAGTCTCGGCTAAGTAATGTTATATATCAGTTTAATTGATGCTAAGCGGGCGATGAAGGGCGGCGGGTTAGAAAGCTAGAGAAAAGAGAAGAAGCAAAAAAAGGGACAAGGAAGCGCGGAGAAGGATCGCGACTGAAACCTGAAAACACAACAAGAGACTCTTGCTGGCTCTTGATCATCTCACTAATCAGTCCAGCCTTTTCTTTTCTTTTACGGAGTAGTGTGTGTATTACCCAACTGTTTGTCGGTGGCTACGAGCTCTCTGGGAAGAAGCAAAAGGCGGTTGACAAACAAACTCTCCCTAGGCGAGGACTCCCTTTGCGCTGGCCCTCTTACTTCCGTATTATCGTTCCCTCCAGATACTGGCGTGCTTGAGACGTGAGCTCGCGCTGAAAGAGCCTGGCCGTGTGCGATCGATCCGACGGCGGAGTGCATTATCCATTATTGTTATTGCCTGAGAAGGCGAGACACGCAACCGCCAGCGAGACTGCAGGAAGAAACAGACGCTCCTCCAGGGACCCTGCTTGTCTCGCACCGGATCCTCAAGGCAGACGGGGAAGACGGCATTGCGCATATGGTTGGCTAAGGTGATTACGTTCCTGTCTAGCTCATAATTGCTCCGCCTGTTCCAACCTTGGGCCAGCGTGCAGCCTCACCTGATGGAGCGTAGCTGACACCCGCTCGCTTTCGTGTTAGACACTCAGACATGGGAGTTTGAATAGTTCCGATATCCACCCCTACTAAATCCACGTCTCCATCCATCGATCTCCACGAGAAACTTCTCGCCGTCTATCCCTCTGTGACTGTCGAGAACTAGAATTCCCTCTACAAATTCGCGAATAAAACCGTCATCGTTCACCTCCTCTCCTCGCTGCTCGACCTCCCTTACAAATGGCGCAGCAACAGGCAGACAATGTTATGCGAAGGTGCGTGGCAAGGATGTCTCATAAAAATATACATATATATTAAGATCCCGATGGATGACTGCATCGCAGTCAGGAACCCGTTTTTCATCCTTGGAAGGGCCATCGCGATCTTGGGGAAAGGGTTTTCCTTCTATCTTCGAGCCAATATGCTGACGGGGGTAATAATAGGAAGCTGGTAATAATAGGGGATGGTGCGTGTGGGAAGACGAGTCTTCTCAGCGTATTCACACTGGGTTACTTCCCTACAGTAAGTGCAATCTCACGTTGATCTGACTCCTGTTTAATTACAGATAAACTAATTTTTTATTCTCTTCTGCATATAGCACTACGTAAGTAATGCTTAGACCAAAATAGTACCTCTTAGCAGCGTTCTTACCTTCTTGTCAACAAAAGGTGCCTACAGTGTTCGAGAACTACGTTACAGACTGCCGGGTGGACGGCCGGTCAGTACAGCTTGCTCTGTGGGATACCGCAGGACAGGAAGACTACGAACGACTGCGCCCATTAGCATACTCAAAGGCACATGTCCTCCTAATCGCATTCTCAGTCGATACCCCTGATTCTCTGGAAAACGTCAAGCACAAGGTTTGCCCTCCCTTGCATCACTACTGCCATGAGGTTCTATTCCTTTCTAACAAAAAGAGAACTAGTGGATTGAGGAGGCAAATGAGCGTTGTCCAGATGTCCCTATCATACTTGTCGGACTGAAGAAGGATCTCCGTGAAGACCCTCTCGCTATTGAAGAAATGAGAAAAAAGTCACAACGCTTCGTTTCTCCAAGAGACGGCAGTGAGGCCGCAGCTGAGATTGGAGCTAGAAAATACCTTGAATGTTCTTCTCTCACTGGTGAGGGTGTAGATGACGTGTTCGAAGCTGCCACACGCGCCGCGCTTTTGACGTTCGGAAAGACCAGAGGCCCATGCTGTGTAATCTTATAAAATACCCGCTTACAGCAGCCGCACTGCCCACACATCACGGTCCCTTCTTCTTTTTCTTCTTTTTTTTTTTTTTCGGCATACGACCTTGAAACAGCTACAGTCCACCTGACTGCTAGCTACCATAACCATGACATTCAATAGGGCTCATGAGAACCCGTATCCGACAACTGTTCATTTACCTTCCTCGACTACCAAAACGATTATCAACATGACTTTCTTTCAAAAATGGGTGGCTGGAATAAGGACGGAGGCACAGGAGCCTTTCTCCCGGTTCTATGACTTGTGTTATCATGGAATTAATTTATCCTGCTTGCATCATGTGGTGTTAACTCTGGGGTGTTTCCTTTTTATTTTATATACTTAGGTCTGGTTTTCCTTTTTTTTTTTTTTTTTCTCACTTGTGTCCCTTTGAGCTGAGCTTAGCTCCCCTTTCTCATTCGAGTACTTTATCACTTAATGGTCACTTTTAAATACAGTTCTCGTTCTAGTTTTGAAAATTGCAGCGCAGTTTACTGGGTAGCTGAGCTGGGTCGTCCAAGCCCGTACGTATGTGGAGCAACCGTAGGATAAAAAGATGTTCCTGAAATAGGGGAGAAAAATGAGAATTAAAAGAAAATGCTGCTAAATTCTACTCCATCGAACCAATTGGTGATACAAACCTATTTGCCTTATCATAGATATCTAATATACATCCATTCAATCCCTAAATCACCCATCTCGGCAGGTTCATGGGATCAGTTAAGCCCAAAGGCTACGACAAAAATGAAAAGAAGATATGGCCAACCCTGGAATCCCATCAATTATCAAGGCTTCCAAGAATAATCCCACCCATCCTTACTCGGGCTGTCCGTCTGTAGTCGTCCATATTCAATTGGGACACCGTCTGAAAACACGCCCTTCTTGTTCATCGAAGTGCGGAACAATCTTCCACCATCACCAACACCGGTGCGGAGTTCCTCACAGGCATCTTTCATGCTAGCCCATTGACGTTCAAGCTCCAATTGCTGTGCTCTCCGTTGTTTAGCAGTGTATAACTGCCAGGCTCGATGAATTGTCCAGTGACGCAAGTATCGGTTGCGTGAGAAATGGAGGGGCCGTGGAGTGAGTGGATGATTGAGGAAATAACGTATTAAAGCTATGAGAGAAAACGTGATTAATATTGGAATGGAAGTTAGAACGGTCTGGCAGATGATGATGACATATACGTACTAACTCGTCTGTCGATTTTTACAGGAGCTTTCCTAGCTTGTAATGTTGAGCTAGATGAAAATGGCCTGAGAGCATTGACGGTTGATATAATTGAGCCTGGAGCCAGTGTGTCCTTGCATGTTTGGCTTAGTAGGCCGGGTTGCTGAAATGTTGAAGGTCGAGTTGAAAGTCTGAACACACTCGTGAGCGAGTTAACAATGGGCGAAAAATGCTGTCTCATGGTTGCAGCAGGAGAGTATTAAGTATGTAATTTCGCACAAGTTTGATATGTCAGCCCTTATGTTGCGCAATGGAGGCAGTATGATGCCTTGTCTGCACCTGAGTCGCGATTTTCTCTACTCGACTTAAGATGGCTCAAAAAAAAGTTTTGTAAGTTGCTGATCTAAGCAGATGGTAAAATCTAAGCGCTACGGTCACGTGGATGGCAGAATTAAACGCGATAAACTCTAATCATGTTCTGGTTACGGACATCAGAATGCTTTATCGTTTGTTTGTTAAACACGTATAGGTACCTATGTGCAAATAACAATGTTTCAACAAGCTCGTCCGAGCGTGGCATCAGTCTAATTTAACAAAAATACTTGGTAACGCCGGTAAAATGCAGGATTCCCGTTGGTGGTACATGTAGGCACCTGTGCCATATCATGGGAGGACTGGCCGTTTTGTCTTCTTGTCATAATTCAATATTACTCTCTGGGTATGTAAGCAAGCACGCTTGTATCGGCAGTAAAGTAAGAAGGCATCCTTGAAAAGGATGAAAGCGCAGCCACCGATAACGCTTCTTCCCCATCTCGTCTGGAGTAGCCATGGCCTACCTCTCTCGTACAGAGAAGGGGTTGTCCATGTTTTCGGGAGCGCCCACTTCAATAGCCCTCCCATACCAGCGGAGATAGCTGGGAAAATCAAGGCGCCAAGTATGATGTCCGCCAGATTAGTGGTTTCGCGGAGCATATTACCTTGACGGTGTGCCATGATTTGATGAGCTTGAATGCCATTTTCATTATCATGTCCCCCTCCGGCAGGTCGCTGTCCATCATTACCAGCGCCAACACCCATTTGTAGCTCAATCTCCATGACTACCTCTGCATTGTCTGGTTCATCTTGGAAGTCACGACGGCGTCTTGGCCCGCGTACCTCCTCATCTGCGTTTAGTCGAGTACGTACTGTCGAGATCCATTCATTTTCTAAGTCTCCAAGTAATTTTCTGTAAAGTAAGTTGTAAGCGCTTTTAATGTATGGCAACGCCGCAAATGTCATGGATGCACTTGGTGGCCATAGCTGAAGGTCCATTTCCTGGTGGTAGGGATGGTGTGCTGCGAAAAACAAAACAGGAATCACAGGTAGTAAGCTGTCAGCATATTGAGTTCTCGAGAACATCAATGATATTGGTATCAACGGAAGGCCAAGATTTAGGCGAATACCCAAAGGTCCCTGCGCAGCTTCTTCAAGCAACCGTATTGTAGTTTCTCTGCCGAAAATAAGGTACATCGAGTATACACCATGGGCACAGCATCCAGCCCAAACAGTCCCTACCAAAGTGAATGCTACTCCGGGAAGTACCAGGCGGTTAAGCATGCCCTCACACTTGTGCGCGAGATCCAGAATCAGGCTATTCGGTCGTGACATATGAATCTCCGATTTGCACTGAGGGCAAAGCAGCATGGCCCCGTCCTGGTTCCTGTTGGGGCCTTCCGTATTTTCCATATCCGCGAGCCAATCTAGTAAACATGCCTCATGCGCGCTTAATGCACATGGACACGGAGACCGCCATTCTTTATTTAGGGGCGAATCTTCCGATTCGTCGGTATAGCAAATCCAACATTTCCGAAGATCACTTTCACCCGGAAATATATTCGACGTAGCCAGTTCGTCATTTAGGCAGATTGCCTCCAACTCTCTGGGAGAAAGTTCATGCGTCATTGATTCGGGGTGTGGCATTATAGGCGCAACATCGTCACTGTCATCAGAATCGACTATTCGTGCGCCGTGGCAAACCGGCACCACGGGAGCTTCGGTTTCGTTCTCAACGGGATGTTCATCGTGGCTGGCACCTTGGGCGACATTCTCACCCTCCTCCTGGGAACCGTGCTCCAAGTTAGGGGTGTCGCGATTCAACTCTTGTGAGCGGGGACGTGAAGGCGACGACATAGGTACAATAGACCGGCCAGAAGCCCACTTCGACGTTGGCAACTGTCAATATATCTTCAAGACGCAAAGTAATCGACTATTGTGGATCCGTAAATGCCTTGGAGCGCAGTGGTCACCTTTGAGAAACAAAAGAGTGATGCATGGTGAACGAGAGAACATGGAGCATCGTCGATTCCCTGTGAAGCGAAGGCTCTTGCCGCGGCCCACCTAGAAATATTATCACGTGATAAAATTCCGCCCAATGAAATTTACAGGTAGCAAGAGAACTTCTGAAGGGTATTCTAAGGCCTAATGCATGCTTTGTATTTGAAGTATGGTCCATATGTGAATATTGAGGAGCAGTAATCCTATACTCGTGTTTAACGGTTAGCGTTTAATCATATTTGGTCTTGTAGGTTGGTGATTTATAAGTCGATAAGTTAACTCATGCATTCTCGGTGGCCAACGTTGAGTCAAGGGCAAATAATAAAAGCTTGTCACCCGCGTACAGAAGCATATATCTTATCTCGCGTACTTAATAAATTAATTTATTGATATGATCCCGTAACAGAAGCTATGGAAAAGCCTCTCTAGATACAGTATCTGTATATAATATTTTAAGTAGAGAGAAGTGGAGCTGGTACTTTTAGTAATTTATCTTATGCTATATATACGAAGTAAACAAGGGGCATGTTGGGAAAAGGCATTTCTAGGTGCGAGCGCTGTGGCTCAAAGATCGGATATAGTAGGCCGGTTGTATGCTTGGGCGATAGACTGTTAATAAAGTTAAGTCTAGAATAGAAACAGCTAGCGTACGGCTAACTAACATTTGTTCTATCCTGAAGCTAAATTTAGCCTCAACTTAAATTCGCTCCTTTGAATCGGTTATTTCCAAAGTCTCTCTCAGAGTCTTACTGAGGGCTGTGCATGTGGACACAGGGAAATATCAACAACGAACAACATAGTAAAGTACGGATGGTGGAGATATTCGGCACCTAAAATATAACGACGGTAGTGCCGCTTCAAACATCTGGGCAATAGAAGAGATAATCCATTCAATTATCTGCCATATGTGAGTCATGAAAGTTGCATTTCCCTCAACTCAACAAGATTAAATAAACTAAGACGTGCGTTTTTTTAGTAAGAAAATTTTTAGTTCGCCAGGCCGACCCGAAAAGGGGAAAAAGAGTTCAAACTGGAATATCACGTTGGAGGAGACAAACACCATGGATATCAAAATCAAACGCAGGGAACATATGAAAGATGCAATATGGACAGTAAGTAGCTTCAAGGATGGCAGGGAGTTAAAGAGCTATATGAAGAAGCAAATTAAGCGAAGGGCCGATGGCATTGACGCCCAGGACGCTATCAAGAACGAAGGAAGTAGAAAGCTGGCAGCAAGAACAGAGAGGGACGGAAGGTTTTAATATCCAGATCGCTTCTTCATCAAGGCTCTTCGTTCCTTTTCTTTGGCTATATTGAGAAAGACGTTAGCTTTCCATCATGCGTAGGTATTATTTAGAATATTGATAAATGGAACATACCTTCATCATATACCAAGAACTCATGTAGGGCCTTTCCAGCAGGCACCATTGGTAGGACAGGCACCTTCTTGTCAGTCGCTATTTCCAACAATGCAGGGCCTTCACTATTTATCAGCCATTGCAGACTCGACTCTACCTGGTCAGGAGTAAGACATCTCCTAGCCTGGACACCCATAGCCTCAGAAACCTTGACGAAATCTGGGTTCTTCTGGTGTGTATGCGCAAACCTGTCCTCATAGAACAAGCTCTGCCATTGTGTGACCATGCCCTGCTCTTCGTTGTTGAGAACAATGACTTTGACGCCAATGTTGAACTGGGCAGCAGTCGAGAGTTCAGTGAGAGTCATGTTAAAAGAGGCGTCTCCATCAATGTCAATAACAAGAGCATCTGGTCGGGCAACCTTGGCGCCAATGGCAGATGGCAGGCCATAACCCATGGTTCCCAATCCACCAGAGGTAATCATTGAGCGTGGATGGCGCCAGCGGAAGTGCTGGGCAGCCCACATTTGGTGCTGACCGACACCAGTGGTGATGACGGTCTTGTCCTTTCGGTGGGCGGTCATCTCACTGAGTTTCTCGATGACTGCCTGTGGTTTGATAAGACCATTAGCTGTCTGTCGATCATAGGCTGAGAGCGGGAAGCGAGCTTTCCAGTCATTGATCTGTGCAAACCACTCTGGTCGTTCAGCGACTGGGTTAATGTGAGGGAGGAGAATGGCAAGGTTATCGGCACAGTCGCCTTCGACGGCTTCAGTGGCTTCAACAACTTTGTTGATGTTCTTGGGCATCACTTCGAAATGTACGATACCACCACGACCTTCGAGAGCAGCTGCCTTGGCCTGTGGGGCGAACTTGGCAATGTTTCCGGTAACACGGTCATCGAAGCGGGCACCCAAGGCAATGATAAGATCAGCCTCTTGCATGGCCATGTTAGCATAGGCAGAGCCGTGCATTCCGAGCATGTGCAGGGATTTTGGATCTAGCTCATCAAATCCGCCCAGTCCTTGCAGGGTTGTGGTGACAGGGATATTAGCCTTATCAGCTAGCTCCTTCAGCAGAGCTGGTCCCTCAGGGCGAGCACTGAGACCCTGACCGACATAAAGGACTGGTTTCTTAGACACATTTACCAGCTTAGCTACACGTTGTATGGAAGCCTCTAGCTGTTGCCGACCAAGTTCACGAGCTGCAATGGAAGCTGCACTGGGGTGTGCTGGTATGCTTGAAGCCATTGGGATGGCTTTTCGAAGGATACCACCAGTGACATCCTTGGGTAGATCGACCAAGACCGGTCCTGGTCGTCCGCTAGTAGCAATCTCAAACGCTTCCTTGATGCGCCTAGGAAGCTCTGCAACGTTTTTTACCATGACATTCCACTTTGTGCAAGCTCTCGAGATGCCAATAACATCAGCCTCCTGGAAAGCATCTGTACCAATGGAGGTGGTGGGGACCTGTCCACAGAAGACAACCATGGGCGTGCCATCTGAAAGGGCGTCTTGCATCGGGGTGATGACATTGGTGGCTCCGGGGCCGGAGGTGACAAGAACAACGCCAGGTTTGCCTGTGGCCCTGGCGTATCCCTCAGCCATGTGGCCGGCACCTTGTTCATGTCGGGGAAGGACGAAGTCGAAATGTGTTGAGTTGTAGATGGCATCAAAAACGGGCAAGATAGCACCACCAGGGTATCCAACTACGATGGCATACAAAGTCAGCAACTGGGGTTTCCTCACTGCCTTTTCCGCTTGGCGATTTCTGACTCACATATATGCTTGACTCCGAGACGCAGCATCATTTCATGAAATATCTGACCACCACTCAGCCCAACAAAGCTATGAGGTTTTCCCTTGGTTAGATGACTCAGTGAACACTTGGATTGTTTATTTTATTAGACATACGAGTCATCCAGGGCCGGAGCATGTCTCCTGTGAAGAGGAGAAATGTCATGTCTGTCAGCATCTTGGTTGAAGGCTGGGCTGGGAACTGGTCTTGCTTGTCTATTTTAATCCCGTCAGTTTTCACGACATTCTTGAGGATCCGGGGTGCAGCGTGTCATACGGTGAGGAGGCAGTAGCCGTGCTCTGTCCGCGCTTCGATGTATCTAGAGAGCCAGCCTTCTGCGACGGTCGTCGGTGCGGTGAGAGAGCAGAGGCTACACCAGTGGCCGAGAATTGCCTCCTGCTGGCCTGTGATGTATGTGAGAGACAATTGGCGGTGCGGAGCGCACTCCTTGACGCCCTGCTGGCGGACAGCATCATCATGGGAGGCTTTGATGATAGCTGGGAGGGAACAATGCCGGTGGTAGAGTACGGGTGCAGTGAGAAGCAAGCAGTGAGAAGCAAATCGAGTCGAGGTCGGACGGGGAGAGGCGGAGGAAGTGCAGCCTTTTAAGACGGGGGCGGAAGAGCAGCAATGTACGGGGCGTGGGCAGGCTATGACTCTTTTCGCGATCTCTCTTCTAGCTCGGCCTTTCTTTTGCCTGCGTTCGCACAGTCACTTCACCTTTTTTTTCCTGCTTTTCCTTTTTCGGAGCTAAAGAAGACGGCGGGGCGACCTCGGCCAGTCGCAGGCCGGTCATCGGAGGCTGCATGCTGTCTGATTGGTCAGTTGTCAAAGTCACGTGTAAATCACGTAACTTGTCACGTGATGTTAGCATGTGATGGTCACATGATATTGTTTGCTGAGTAAGTGATGAGGTAAGCCCATCCAAAAGAGGGCTTCGGAGCAAGAAAGAGCGAGCTTCCTTCGATCCGATCGGGCTGGAGGGCGACGACTTCCAAGTTTCCATCACGGATGGACGTTCTTGACGGTGGAAGAAACGGAAGACCAACGGCCCTTGGAGTCCCCGATGGCAGACTGCAGCCTAGGAAAGAAAGCTGAGAAGCGGGAGGTTAGTAGGCGAGCGTGTTCGCTCTGAGTATGCGTTTTGCCCATGGCTTCATTCTTGAGGCACGGTTGAGCCGTCCTTTAGAGATGGCCCTGAAGACAGAGTAACATGGTGCCTCGGCGGCAGCACATACATACAGCTGTCGTCCTGTGTTTTGGGCTTCATCTTGATGTTGGCTGCCGTGTGGGGGATGAGCGTTCGTTTATATGCCCGTCCAACCCAGCTCCAAGGGAGCGCTTGGAATCGGCCGAGTTTTTTTTTCTTTTTGGCGGGACACCCTTGTCAGGCCCTGCTTAGCAAACGTCATTAGACGTGGGGAAAGATTAGCTACGAGCCCATGCCGGCATAGGATCGAACAATATGCACGATTTTATCCATCTATCAATGCTACTATAATTTATCGCTTCCTGATGTCAACAAAAAACAGACTTTGATAACAAAAAACAGAGTTCAAGCTATCCGACGTCTGGGATCGGCTAACCATATAACTTAACTCGACGTCATTATCAAAATCACAAAAAAAAAAACACAACCCCACCATGGACGCAGAACTCGTGCCAGAAACACAATCCCTCAGGGATGTGTATGTACCAGAGCCAGACACACAACAGTCTCTAGAACCAGAGCAACAAGCCAGGTGGAATAACCTGGTTAAAGAGTTCAAGGGCCGCTATAGTGACGCGCCTGGGTTTGTTGCCCGGAGTCCTGGAAGAGTCAACATCATAGGTGAACATATCGACTATTCGCTTTACGATGTGCTTCCTACCGCCTTGAGTGTAGATGTGCTTGTAGCTGTGAAGACTATGCCAGCATCAGGCCCAGAGGCAACCATTAAAGTGGACAACACCGACCCCAGGTTTGCGGCTAGTGAATTTGTTGTCTCATCGGATCGAGAGGTGGACATCGATGCATCCAGGCCAGATTGGGTCAATTACTTCAAAGCTGGCCTTCGGGTGGCCGTTAAGTATCTGCGGGAGAAAGACTCAGCATTTGTCCCGGTAAATATCGAGGCTTTGGTCGATGGTAACGTACCACCCGGGGGTGGTATATCGAGCAGTGCTGCATTTGTCTGTGCAAGCGCTTTGGCTGTCGTTAAGGCGAATGGGCATAATATCTCCAAACAAGAGCTCTTGGACATCTCGATTGTATCTGAGCGTGCAGTAGGCGTGTACTCAGGAGGGTGTGTGTATCTCTATTCCCCAAGTCAATTTGTAGGAATGGCTAACGGTATAGCAGGATGGATCAGGCTGCTTCAATCTTCTCGCGGAGAGGATATCTTCTCTATGTCACTTTCTTCCCAAAGTTCAAAGTGCAACATGTGGCCATCCCCAAGGCCACTACTGATATCACTTTTATGGTGGCTCAGAGCTTTGTCACATCCAACAAGGCCGAAACTGCTCCCCGTCACTATAACCTTCGTGTGGCAGAATGCACTCTTGCGGCTGTTATTCTCGCTCGGAAACACAATATCACCCTTCAAAAGGATAGCAGCTCATTAGGCTATAGTCTTCGAAATTTACACCACGAGCTGATGCGCCAGGATGGTCGCCAGGATGACCCGTTCGAATATCAGCTTGACTCTCTCATTCTCATTGTGGAGGAGACTTTCAAGCAGGAGCAAGGGTATACCCGTGCCGACATCGCTGAACTCCTGCAACTCACGGTCCCACAGGTCGAGGAACAATTCCTCTCCTCATTCCCTGTGGAAGCGGAAAGATTCTATCTCCGCCAACGTGCGTTGCACTGCTTTAAGGAAGCCCGTCGTGTGCTCGATTTCAGATCGTGCCTTGCTCGCTCCCATAATCTCGATCAGCATAATTTAGAGTATCTTGGACAGCTTCTCAACGAATCCCAGGCGTCTTGTCGAGATGTCTATGACTGCACTTGTCCCGAAGTTAACGAATTGTGTGAAATTGCACGACGGGCTGGCTCACTGGGCAGCCGTCTGACGGGTGCAGGATGGGGTGGCTGTACGGTACATATGGTTCCCCTGGAGAAGGTCGAGGATGTCACAAGGGCATTGAAGGAGGAATACTATTTGAAAAGATGGCCTGACATGGACAAGGAAAAACTCAGGCAGGCAATGGTCATTAGCAAGCCGTCTAATGGATCATTTTTGTATGTCTGCCTCTTCATACTTCGTCTTGTTGAATTATGCTAACGTTGTATAGGATTACTGGTGCTGCAATAACCGATGTTCAGTGAGATTGGCATTGTATTGAATCTCTTGTAATATATATTTAGTAGTAATTGCTGTTCGAATGTTTGTCTACGTCTCTTGACTTTGGTAGGAGTTCCTGCAACGTCTCCAAATCATGGCCGTAGTCTTCAGAGTCTGTATCTTCGCAGCATTGCTAGCTTCACCCTCAGGAAGCAGATAGCTCGGTAAGTTTTCGAAAAGCCTATGTCCTTCGGCTTTTGAAATGCGGCGTATCTTCCCATAGATACCACTTAGGGAATACGGATGCACCTATATCTTAATTGCTGCCGTACTTATTTCTCCGCATAGCTTCGTCGTTTGGTATACGAATTGAGGAAACAAACTGCTTGCCTCTAGTCTCGTTCCTTCTTGTTAACAAGGTAGAAATAGATACCACAGTTAACAATGGCTGGACGTGCCAAGTCATTTCTTCGCGGGTGCTTTGGCAAAGAAAGAAGATAACTTTTGCATGCCAGAAGTATTAACTTTCTTCAAATCCCGTACCCCTCGAGACATATTCGCCTTTTTCTTCTTTTCCTCTTCTTGTGCCTTTCTCTTCTTTTCTGCTTTCTCTTCGGCGGTTTCGTCATCCTCGTACCCTCGCTTCCGTCTCGACATGTCATACATTGATCTCGATGCCTGCGCTTCTGCACGAAGATTTGCAAGATTCTGTAGATACTCATCTAGAGCGGTAAAGTCTTTTGGAGATGATGAAGAGCTTAGAGCGTCAGAAACTCTTATTGATAGATTGGGTTGGAGGTAGGAGGATTGTATAAAGGACAGGGCCGCTCGGAGACGCATAAGATGAGCTATTTCTGGGCTGTAATTTCGTTTTGGCACAGACACCTCCTCTTGAGAGTCTGCCGGTTCGGTTCGGTTGGTTGATAACGAGTTTTGTGTAGTTGCCATCTCAGGGGAGGTTTGGGAATCACTTGTACTTTGAGTTGGCTGGGTATCTTTTTCGTTTTCATTCGCTTCGTCGCCTGGTTGGGTACTTGATATTTTGCTCACGCTGATCATGGGAGGTTCCAGTGCCTGATGTACAAATCTAGCTTCAAGACTAGGAGGAAGTCCGTTCTTAACCATCCTTTCAGCTTTGGCCAGCAGCTCCTCCACAAGCTTCTTTTCACTGAACCTGAACATCATGCCATCGGCGTCAATTGTTTCGCACACTGATGCCATTCTTCTTTGAACAGTTTTTCTGAATTCTGTGGTATATAAAACCTTGCGGAGATGAGGAGAAATATCCTCGTTGGCATCTATTATATCGTCTAGAGGCTGGAAAAGGTTACGCTCTGAGCTGTGACTCGAAGGCACAATTATCGGTAGGATAAAAAACATAATGTCAACGGGTGTGGCAACATGAAGCTGGCCGGTCTTCGAAGTAAACCCATTGTCTCCCGCTGGTTGTCCCTCCGATCCTGCGTCCTTTTGCCGAGTGTCCCCGTCTGTTGAATTGACGAACAAAAAGCTCCGCGGTGTGGTGGTTGGAGGCGAAACTGACGTGAATTCGAACACGCCCAGCTTTGGGCAGAAGTAATACCTGGTCAGCCTGCTCGTTCGGGGGTTTTGAAGCTGGATAAATCGCGCGTCTTCGGAGGCAGCAGAGGGCAGGATCAATGTCTTGTAAAACTTCGGCGGCTCAGCAGCTGGTTTAACCATCGCTCCATCATCAGTAGGAGCTGGTGCCTTGCCAGAGCCAGCCCTAGTCTTCATTTTTCCGTTGTATGTAGGCCTGGTCCGTTCAGCATGCTCTGCTGCTTCATCGTCCGTCGCGAATTTGACCGCAGACAGACGACACCGAAGAAGTTCTCGTTGTCCCCTTTCGGCGCCAAAAAACACATGCCAGACCCACACGAGCTTAATTAACCTAAAAGAAGCGGCGCTTGGCGATCGCGAAATTGACGCGAGTAGAAAAACAAATATGAACGATTCATCTTTTTTCTTAATTTCTAGTCAGTTATATAAGGACAATTGACTAGCTGGGTTTTCGGTCTGAAGGCACCAGTATCTTGCGTTTATGCAGCAGTTTCGCGGACCATAGCGATGGGCGTATGAGACCTGGACCGCCGCCTTCGCTGACGCCGTATACTAAATCGTCCGGGGACATACCGCACACGTGATCGTCATCCTGGAAAGTTTCCCCGGCCACAGAATCAATATTTCATCCTGGTTTTTTATCTGAAGTGGCTGGCTATTCAGATCGTCCAGTCTACTATGAGACTGTCAGTCGCCTATTTGTCCTTGCCATGGGCCATTTCCTTCTGTTAAATAAGCAGTGGAAGTTGTTTCGCGGAAGTCGCTTCCCATACTACTCAATTACAGCCACCCTCCTCCACACAACATGCTAAATGCGAGAGATTCAGCTTGTGACTATTAAGAACTATCATTCAGAGTTTCCTGGTTCACTAGTGAGTTTATCTGGTTCCATTCAGGAAGTACAAGACAGATTTACTAAGGCTGTGATAGTGGGCGACATTCCTTGGCCTCCAAAGTCCCCTCACGCTGCGCTGATGTCCTCTCCAAACGGTCGCAAGAAGTTCGAAGAAATCCAGAATAAACGACGCGCCGCCACGGATTATGGTATATCATCTGCTAAGGCGAGACGAATATTGGACGAGAATTTAGAAGATGAAGACGACGAAGATGACGAAGAGACATTGCAACTCAAACTTGCTGCTATAGAGGCTCGGTTGAAGCTGAAGAGGCTGCAACAGAGCAAGGCACGGCTCAAGCAGGCAGATTCTGAGACAGAATCATTTGAGGGCCCTTCGGAGAGTATAAGTCCGAGGCCCGAGAGCCAAGGCTATCGTGGAAGTCGAGTATTGGGAGAACGGAAGAGGAAGGCTGCCGATACGTCATATCAGGAGAATGTTCAGGTTCCTCTTTCTCCAGTAAAGAGACCACCTCTGCCGGTGGCTCCTATATCTCCACAAAGAGTGATCTTGGGTATTGACAAGGGGCGCAAGGCACCTGACGTTTCTTTGAGACGGCCCAAGTCAATGGGTCAAAACCCCTATGATAACAAGCAAGCCACTGGGAGCCAAGCGGGAAATCTCTTTACCAGAGGATCTAGCCATGAGACACAACTGCTACCTCCCGATACCACCAGTCGGCTTGATAAATTCAAAAGCTTTAGTGATCGGATGATAGAGAGTAGGGCTAATGATAAAGAACGAAGAGATAAATCATGGGCATTACAGCGGAAGAGAACCACCGGGTTTGGTGTTGACAAGAATGAACTGGAGCGGTTCCATGCCGCAGCAAAGGAGTCAACAATTGATCTTGGAGCTGTCCCATCGACAAAACGCGAGCGATTGACCTCCCCTGTACGTGTAACGCAGTCATCTTCAACTGAAAATATACCCCCTACATCGCCGTCCAAACGAGATCGCAGTCAATTGTCACGCATTGGCCGGAGCAACTCAGAGAGCAGGGTGACCCGCACAGCTAGGAGCGAATCGTCATCCTCCTTGGGAACCGAAGTCAAGCCAGCAGATCCAACAAAGTTCGAACCCTTCTCCTCTTTACATCTATCTACACGTATTTTACCTCATTCATTCCTCAAACGCACCTTCGATTCTAAAACCACCATGCGTATACCAGACCTCCTACGAACAGTCAAGGGGCCGGATTTTGAATCTCCTGAGACAGATGGAGATTTTGTTGTTTTTGGCATTGTGGGCTCCAAGTCAGCACCCAAAGAACATAAAGACAAGAAAGCTGGGGGGAACAAGAATGACGATGAGCCTGAAGATGGGCATAACGCTAACAAATACATGGTTCTAACATTGACGGATCTGAAATGGACCATTGACCTCTTTCTGTTTTCGACGGCTTTCCCCCGTTACTATAGGCTTGCTCCTGGGACCTTAATTGCTGTCTTAAACCCTGCAATAATGCCACCCCCGCGTCATAAGATTGATACAAATGCGTTCAGCTTGACATTGCATTCATCGGAGGATACAATCCTAGAGATTGGAACTGCCCAGGACATAGGTTTCTGTAAGGCGGTTAAAAGAGACGGTAAAGTTTGTGAGTCCTGGGTTGACTCTCGCAAAACGGAATACTGTGACTTCCATGTAGAAGCACAGCTTCGCAAAACCACTTCGGGCAGAATGGAAGTTAACAGCGGACCTGGAATTTCGACAAGGTTCGGGCCTCGGTTTAGCGGGTTCCGCGGTGCAAGGCGAGAACAAAACGTTTCACAAGGAAGTGGTACTCGGAGTAATACTGATAGTGGAGGGAACTTCGATCGGGCAACAGGTACCAGATATTACGTTGCGCCGGCTGCGACTTCAGCTATTGGAAATAGACAAAGTCAATTTCCAGCAAGGAATGGCACTGCATCTAGTCTACTAGACGCAGACGATCCGTTCATAGACGCTGGATCTTTTGACCGAGGGGGGAACTCAAAGGCCGAGCGCCTTCGGAAACGCCTCGCAGACCAGGAGAGAGAGCGTACCATCGCCAGGTCACTGGGCGAATTCAAGGGCGTTGGGGCCGAATACCTTCGAGCTCATCACAAGGACACTGTAGAAGCTGAGAGCAAAGCCAATTCGACTTCTGCAACAGCTAGCTCCCACACTACTAACAATCAGAGCGGATCGAATGATACCAGTTCTGGAAACGACCCTTTCCTTGGTCTGGACAACCTTCAGAAAAATGCTAAAGGCATTAAGCTTAGACGTGGCAAGGATGGTAATGCCCAGACAACGGTGAAGAAGACGAGATTTATTACTGCCAATGGCATCCGAGAGGCCGGCAGAGATAGCCTTGGAAAGGCTACCCAGGATGCAACGGATTATAATGATGACTTGGACATTGTATAGTTTAGACACGGAGGGATTTTCATGACATTTCCTATACCCTACTAGGCGTTTACCTTCTTTTAGGGGAAGACTGAATGATAACTTGTTCTTATTGTTCTAGTTGTAGAATTTAGTATCTGATATTGGTACTAATCGCACACTATTCTATCTAAACGCGCACATTTGCAGTGACCCCCATCCATACGCCTGTACACTAAGACGACGACAATTTAGCCTGTACGCAGTGATGAGCTACAAACAAAGGATCAAAAAGAAAAGAACAAGAACAAAATAACCACATCCTAAGACCACTTGAAAGCCACTTTGTCCTGCCACTCCGTCCACTGGTAGGCATTTTGATGGTATCTTGTAAAAAAAAAGAAAAAAAAGAAAAAACCCAAGGGCAAAAATAACATATGAGATAAAAGACTGGAGCTGATATCAGGTCATGAAGGCAACTGGCAGTTGAAAGGAAAAGGAAAAAGGAGAAGGGGCACTGATTACAAAAGGTCATAGAATAAGAGAATGAAAAAGGGGGGAGGGGATAAAAAATAAAAAAAGAAAGCCAGGTTTGAGGTCCGGGAAAAATGAGAAGGTCATGAGCATGCAGTCATCGAAGGATTTGGAAAACAGGGATGAAGGTACCGAGAAGAGAAGGGGGGAAGCAGGGGAAGTGAATGAAAAGAAAGTACGAGAAGGAAAGGAAATACGGCTTAGGAGAGGTGTATCGAAAGACCACAATAAGTTGGGAGTTTAGTGGCTGCGAGACTTCTTTGAAGTTTGGTTGGAATTGCCATCAATCCCTCTCTTCTTCGTCTTGGTGGGCGTGGAGTGAGACTTGCCTCTGCGCCATCTGTCAAAGGGACTGATGCGTTTTGCTGTTGGAGTGCCAGGATCACAATGTTCAGGTCCAGAACCCGCCTTGAGGCCATGAGAGCGGAGAGAGCGCCCAGAAGCAAGTGGTGACGAGGGGGTATCTGTCTGGATGATCTGACCTTCCGGTGTGATTGGGTGCTCTGAGGATCCATTTTCAGCATGGGCAGTGGCTGGTTGGTCGGCAGTTTCAGCTGACTCTTCAACTGGCTCTTCATCCGGCTCTTCATCTTGCTCCTCCTCTGCTTCAACTATGGTTGACGGGGTGCTCGGCTCTTCTTCTTTCTCACAGGGAACAGGAGCGGCTCTAGCTTCAGGGAACAGGACACGGGGTTTAATGGATGAACGGGTCAGAGGACGGATGCGGGGTATAGACTCGGATTTGAGTTCGCTGCGAGAGGCCAAAAGACCCAAGTCATCATCATCATCTTCTTCCTCCTCTACCTCTGGTTTGAACTTGCGGAACACCTTCTTGCCTCGGCTAAGGAGAATAATTAGCATCAAATGTGACCTAGAGTAAATAAAACGCTGGATACACTTACAAAACATAGAGTAATCCGTCATCTCGACGTATAGCCTTGTCCACATTCTTGTCCCGCTTGCGGCTGCTTTCATCGAGCTTTCTGCGTTTGCCAGCCTCTGCGGCAAGCTTGGAGGAGGATGGTTCACCTTCGGCAGGCTTGCTGCGGAATGGATTGTCTGGGCTATTGTTCACTTGGGGAATTCGATCTCGAGAGTCGGTAAATATGGCTATAGGCTCCTGACTAGCCTGCTGAGGGTCAGCCTCAAAGCTCTCAAGTGAAAAGCCTGAGTACTTCTTGGAACGCTTCGGCATCATGGCTGCTGGGTCTTGGACAGACTTGGAACTGCTGGAAAATAGAGTGCGAGCTGTAGGTCCAAGGTCTTCGATTTGCTTCTTACGAGGAGTCTTCGCTGGCGTAGGAAGCATTCCGTTGGTAGCCAAGCTGCTGTTGGTATTGCCATCCATTGTGCTTCTGTATGAAGAAGAAGAGGATGAGGAGTGAGGAAGTGAAGATGAAACAGGTTCAGATCTGACTCTGTTCTTTGGTGGTGGTGAAAGAGAAGGAGAGTTCAGTCTTTCACTTCTTCGCTTAGGAGAGCTAACTTGTGAGTGTGGTGGAGAGTAAGTAGCTCTACCACTGATGCCAAGCTGATGTAGCTCCTGATCGCGTCTTAAGGCGTGTTCTTTGACAAGACCAGTCGTACTCGCGTCTAGGGCAGCAGCAGAACCGCTGAACAGATGTTGCTGGTCAGCAATGCGTTTGGACCGGCGAGGGGAATACGGCTCGTAGTTGTCGTATCGAGAGCCGTAGCGAGGAGTGGGAGGAGTCCTGATAGAGGACGGCGGCGGCGGGGTGGTAGTCATCGTTGCGTGGTTGCTGGTTACCTGGTTACCAGGCCAAAACAGGGTGTTTGTTGTATGTAGGGTCTTATCGCTGTCCTCGACTATCACGTCCTCATGGGGCTGGGTGGTTCCGGGGAACAAAACAGGCGGTAAAGCGCGGTCTCGATGCTCGGGCACTTGTCCACGGCTCCTTTCACACTGTTCTGACTGCGGTATCTGTCTCTTGCTGTCTGTTTGCCTGGTCGCTTGTCTTCTTCTCTGTGCATACAAAGTGCTGAAGAAGAAGAAAATCCGGTGGTTGGTAAGAGATGAAGTTGAAAATTGCCGTTTTAGTCTTTCCAGCCACACAAAACTAAAAAAGGAAAAAAAACAGGGACGCGCACGGCCCACTCAACAACAAAGGCCCAAAGGGGCTTAGCGTGGTCTTTGCTCCCACTTTGACATTTCAAAGATAGCTAGCTGGTGAGGGACAACAGAGAAGGACAGGAAGCAGAGGAACAGCAGAAGCAAAGGGGACAAGGAGGAAGAGCCGCGAGCGATGGCGACGCCCACAGCAGAGATGGACGGGCTACAGCTACAGGAGAAGGAAGAGCCCGGCTGGGATGCGCGGACGGAACAAGGTTCGGGACGGGCAAAGGAGAGTTACCACCAATACACCAGCGAAGAGGCACGGGAAGAGGACGATAGAGAAACAGCTCTGCGGGCAGAGCTCAAGTCGGTACGAGATATCAATGCCGTAATAGAAGGCGTTGTTGAAAGCCTGGAACGCGCAAAGGGAAACATGGAGGTATGGGACTTCTGATGTATACTGAAATGCCAAACAAACTGCTAACATGAGTCTGTGTAGAGCGTTGCCCGGACAGTTTCCTCTGCCTCTACCCTACTTGACACCTGGACTCGCATTCTTTCCCAGACGGAGCATAACAGAAGACTCGTTTTAGATCCGTCGTGGCAGGGTGCTTCTCAAGACATGGCCGATATAGAGACCGAGGCTCGTGAACGACAACAAGAGGCAGAGAGAAGAGAACTTGAGCTGCAAGAGCGGAAACTAGCACAGGAACGCAAGGCCGAGGAAGAACAGCGGAGGCGAACAGCACAAACATCGTCAACCACTAGGGCGAGGCGCGGCATTGTGAGGCCGTCGACAACACGAACAGGGGTGAATCGCACTCAAAGCGTTTCTCGAACACAGACCGGACAACCTTCTACACGAGTGCCTACGAGTACTACAAGGGGCATACCTACTGCCAGAAGAGCTGGCGTCGAGTATGGGAGAACCTCAGCGATTGCAAGGGGCCGGGGAAGGGTACGAGGGCCGTGAGACTACCGCCCTTCAAGCCAATGTAAATAGACATACAAGCGTGATACCCTCAAAGCAATGTTAGAAATGAGTGAGAAGAGCCATTTTCATCAAATGTATGGACTGTCAACCCCAAACAGCTAGCATAGTCCCTGACGTATTTACATAACGCCAAGCCTGCCCAGCAGCGTCTTAAGGTCTTCGGGATGATAACACCAAGAACCTTAGTTAGCTACCTTTAACTAGCTCCATCATCAACTGACCACATGGAGAGGCAACCACGTTCGAAGTTATCCACGTAAAGAGACGTCAACACTTCTACCCATGAGCACGCCCTAGACTACATCTTGATCTACTCTAATGGCCATGAACTTCGCGCCCTACCAGGACCAGTCCCCCGACATCGAGCGCGCGCTCTCCCCGCCCCTCGCAAATGCCAACCGCATACATGCCGCTTCTCCCCGTCACACACCCTCACCGCTGAGCCAAAACCACCCACGGAACTCGTCAAACCTTGACAGAAACACACAAAATAATGCGCAAGGGTTTGGATACGGCTATGGAAGAGACGTTGAGGGAGGCCGTATGAGCTTGGGCGCGTTCGAGACCAGTCTTCCACTACGTATGGATTACGAAGCTATGCTGGCATACCTCTTACTACCACCGGCAGGAGGAGTATTTTTACTTTTGACGGAGCATAAGAGTGATTATGTGCGGTATGTTCTGTGTCCCCTAGACCTTGTTAGGTAAAAAATATGTATGTGCTGTTCTAACTTGTGAAATAGATTCCATGCATGGCAATCTAGTTTGCTTTTCACCTTTATGTTTGTACGGATATCTTTCTGTCTAGCGATGTTTATACTTCCCTCGCCCTTATTTCTAACGAAACCTAGGTTATTCACATGTTATTTGCTTGGTCAAGTATTATATCCTGGTTATTGTTCATATTTAACCTTGGTCTTATTGGGTTCCTGAGCATGCATGCCTATCGTGACGGTGAGTAGATATATCAAAGTCTACATTATTATACTACTGACATCAGTATAGTCGATTCCTTGGAACATTATCAAGTTCCTATCTTTGGGCCATTAGCCAACTCTTTTGTTGATGACGAGTGATACCACCTATAAAAGAGTGCGCTATAGGTAACTAACTACTTAGGATAAACCCTGGCGATTTTTCTCACCCCCTCTAATGCCCATCGCTCATCTACGTTTACATTTATTTTCTTTTAATATTTTGCTATCTATGACGCATATTTGTACTCTATTCAATGTATACGACCTGTTACCCGCCATAGCATCCCAACCCTCAACTAGCTTGTCGTATTTTTTTTTTTTGTATATAGTCACCATAGAAGAATACACATAATTTACGTCTATCACTCTAAAAGAGTAGCATGAAAGCATCTATGGATATGGGGCTGCATTATTAACGAAGTCATAGCTAATAAATTGAAAACATTAAAACAAATGAAACCAAACAATTTAACTGACTCACGCTGCAATAGACAGGGGAAGGTAGGGAAGGGGGAAATAACAGACTCGTGTTAGTCTTGCTGACATGAATGACTTGCGTAGCAACAAAATATCGTAAAAGGGGTCAAGTGGATTTGTAGCTGAAGCAAGTTCAAAATGGTCATCAAGCTGATAAATATTCAGAAGGCTGAAAAAGAGTGTAAGTGCGTGAGCCGAACACAAGGGAAACGTCAGTGCAAGTAAGTGACGGCTGAGCCAATAGGGCAAATAAGTGAGTACGAGGGACAGAAAATCAAAGAAACCAGAAAAGAAAAATTGAGAACGGGCATGGAGCCCTCATATTGACCGGGAAAATATCAAGATTGTACAATCAACCCCGATAAATGACTGGGTATAACTAGTTCAAAAGACCCATGGATAAAAAGGCTGCAAAGCGAGCGATTTGAAATTAAGAAAGATGGAATGGTAGAGTTTAGCAAGGTTGAAGGTAATTGCTGGGCACTAGGCCTGGACGAGTTGGCTGGTTGGTGATTTCAGCCTCCCACCATCCATCATCTTGATGCCTTAGCACGGCGAGGATGTCTCCTTTGGCAAATCCAAGTTCTTCAGGGATGGCTGCAGTATAAGAATACATTGCACGAGCTAGAGGTAGAGTTAGATAAGAGACTCATTATCAAAGCTGTAAATATGGAGCGGAACTCACCAAAATGAAGAATTGGCCTGCCATCACGGCTGATTGTTGGAGCTTCCGCCATTATCACACTCCTGGTTCCTGAATGTTGATCCTGGGCCCCATGGCCGTAATCGGGAGTGGCGCCATAGTACATGGAATGAGGGCGTTGTTGCTGATGATGGCCATAGGCATTTCCGCCCTGATATCCTCCCTGATATCCTCCTTGATATCCTCCTTGGTATCCTCCTTGGTACTCACCTTGATAAGGCGGATAACCGTCGTTGTGACCTCCCATATGCTGGTTTACATCATTGGTCGACAGTTGGAGCTCCATTCCACTTGCACTTGCGGGCCGTTCTGGTCGTCTAAACTGGGGCTGAGGAGAGGCAGACCGTCTGACATTATTTGGGGGTGGATCATTTCGGATTCCATTGCGTGTACTGGGTCTCCCCTCGTTTCGTGGTGGTTCATTTCTTACCTCCTGTCTAACATCCTGTTTCGGTGGTTCAGTTCGTGCATCTTGTCTCACTTCTTGTCGCGGTGGTTCAGTTCGTACTTCATTCCTAACCTCATTTCTTGGTGGCTCAGCCCGTGTCTCCTGCCTTGCTTCATTACGTGGTGGTTCATTGCGGACTTCAGTTCGGATAGTATTTCTAGTCTCTGTTCTAGACTCATTGCGTACCTCTGGCCTCACATCATTCGGAGATGCTTGACGGGAGTATTGAGGAGAACGAGAGGGCTCTCGGACAATCTTGGTAGGAGTGGCAGACTGTGAGTGCGAATGTCTATATCTACTATTCATGCTCTCAGACTTATACGCAGGTGTTCTTGGCTGAGAAGCACTGCCGAGTTGAGAGCCTGGGCGTGTAGTGGTATTCTGCTGTGGTTGAGGGCTCGGGGACCTCTTAGGAATAGGGGATGTAGCCCTTGGGATAACCTGGTCAACAGTATTGGCTCTTTCCCGAGTACGAATTGGTTTGCTGAAGAGACTTTGAGTCTGACCAACATATTTGCGGGTGGTTTTGTGCATTTGCGCAGCCGTGAAAGCGGGTGATGGCGCATCTAGGCGCTTAACGGACGTATCCTTGTAAGACGGAGGAGGGCCTTCACGATGAGAAGTAGAGGGCCTATTAGATACTGGGGCAGAAGCTGGCGCTGCGGCTGGCGCGGGGGCAGGCGTAGATGTAGACGCTGGGGGAGCTGGGCTTGCAAGTCCTGCATATCTATCTGCAGATACACGAATGGATGCCTGCTTTCCAACACCCTTCAGGTCGGCGAGGGCCTGAGCAATTGGGTCAACATCTCCATTTGCAGGTTTGGCCTTGCCATTCTTAGCGGCATCAGGGGATGCAACGTCAAACACGTTGTTTCCAACGTTCAGTTGGAAATTTGCTCGGGGGTCAACAGGCTCCGGGCTGGGGGCCCGATGGTTTGGACCCAAGTCAGACTGAGTTCCCAAGAGAGCTCTTGTCTGTTTAGGCGGTGCAGCCCACGTTCTGCGATTCTGTGTTGGTGCAGGAGCAACAGACTGTGCCCGACGATCCTTTTCATGTTTGCTCTTTCTGCGGAATGGACTGTTGCTAAAGAAACCACTTCGTTTTTTCTGGACCTCTTTGGTCGATGTCGCTGTATTGGGTGGTTGGGTCTGAGTAGGGGCCGGGGCCGGGGCTGGGGCTGGAGCAGGAGCTGGAGCGGAAGCTGGGGCAGGGGCCTTGGCTGGAGCGGGTCCAGGAGCTGTTACGGGAGCTGGAGCAGGCGGCGTACCAACAGGAGTGTACTTAATTGGAGATTGATGACCACTCGGTGGCTCCATACTCGAGAAAGATGTGGGGTTAGAGAGATCACTTTGAGAATCTCTAATTGACGGAGTAGCAGTGTTCCTCTCTGATGGTGGCCCGGGGCGGCAGAACATCGTCATTCCATCAGCCGGATACTCGTTATGGGGAATACTAGCTGGTATTTCACCATGCTGGCTTGGCTGGTAATTAGGAGGGACATGCTGCTTCCTTCGTGGGTCTGACGCAGGGGATCCAGATGCTGGAGGCGGAGCAGAGGGCTTCTTTTGGGGTGTCATTGTGTTTTCGCGACTTGACTGAGCAGGGTGAGAAGATGGAATTATGTGGTGAGCAAGCTCCGAGTCGGGGTCATGGTGTGATTCGTAAGTAGAAGGCTGGGGCGAGGAGCTTCTATATGCTGGGTTGATAGTGCGCTGGAATTGCGCAACGGAGTAGTTTTCCTCCTCTGAGGCCTCAGAAGCTGTGTCGTTTAAGTCGCCGCGGCAAAAGTTGATATACTTGGGAGCATCGGGAATTTCCTGTCCAGTGGACTTCTCCTTTATAAAAGAAGCGATGTCTTTCTCGACCTCACAGTCTTCTAGTGAGACTCGAATTTTCTCATAAGACTAGAGCAAAGTAAGTTAGTTTCTAGTATCGTAGTATGTGCTTCACTCATCACTTACTGCATCGTCACTAACGCATGCAGTTGATGCTATGTTGGCATAATTCCACAAACTGCTTTTCGAAAAGTCCAGTCTTTCTTCCTCGAGATCTTGGAATTTCTAACAGTGATAGTCAGTGATCAATATCACTCTTTTTTTAAAAAAAAGAGGTGTAGTATCACTTACATCACATGCTGCTTTCCACTCTTTATTCCATCGGCCGGTAGTCTCTTCCAGCACCTTGATCGCCGCTTCATATTCGCTACTATTTGAAGCCAGCTGTATTTGGGTCTTCTCAAGCTTCGCCTTATTCTTGCGCTCCTCCTGCCCCATGACCATATGGCCTTGAGCGAGGTATCCTTTAATCCTAAGGCAGTCCTGTTCATATCTATCTCGTGACTAGTATACGTTAGCATTGAGCAGTGAAGTAGCAGGGCTGGTACGAAAGTCTCCTATGGGGGTATACCTTATTCACAGCATGAGTCTGCTGCATCTTAATCTTTAAAAGCTTCTCGATGCCATTCTGTACAATCTTCCGCCTCTCCTTCATTCCACC